GATTATCATTTGTTTTATCTGTAGAAAATAGGCAATTACACGTTATGCATCACTTCTTCTTCTTCTTCGACTTCGATTTCAGCCTGCTTTTCTTTTTGGATTTGCTTCCATAACCTTTGTCCAACCAAGAACAAACTTCAAGGGACTTTTCGGTTTAGCAACCATGAACTCTACCGATTCGACCACGCCGACCCCTTTTGCTTCAGCGATCACGTATAATTTATGAATGAAATGTTTATTTATATTTAATCTTATAACAAAATATTTTTATCTGGAGTAACGTATGCACGTTTGTATAGCGTAAGGTTTTTATTCCCCATGTTCGTATTCCGAAGCAAGATAAAACTATTCCATGGGTAAGAATCTCGACAGTATATGATTTTAATCAAGACATCGAGCAATGGTTGTAAAACATGGTTCAGATAAGCTATAGAAATCCTGGCAAATTATTTAGTTTTGTCTCTGAAAAATAATTTTTAAAAAAATACACACGAAGAGTATATTCACATGAATTACTTTCGTAGTCTAATTTTTAAGGTATTTATAATATTTTATGACAAAATACTTTTATCTGGAGTAACGTATGCACATATAGCGTACAGTTTTTATTCAGCGTGATCTTATTCCAAAGCAAGATCAAAATATTCCTTGGGTAAGAACCACGACAGTATAAGATTGTAATCAAGACATCGAAAAATTGTTGTAAAACATAGTTCAGATAAACATAGTTCAGATAAGCTATTGAAATCGTCGCAAATCATTAAATTTTGTCAATGAAATGTAAATATTAAAAAAAATACACAAGAAGAGTATTTTCACATACATTAATTTCATAGTATAAGTTTAAGTTATTTATAATATAAACATAATACAAATATATATTTTATATTTTATATAAATATATATATTTCTTAAAAATCATAAATCGAGCACATTTTTCGAAAACTTTCTTTTCTATTTTCATTTTCTTCTACGATTTTTTGTGTGTTTGTTTGATAAGAAATCTGTGAGACATTCCCTACTAAAATACTAAAATAGCCCTGTTTCAATTATCTATTTTTATTCATGTCTAACAGTAACGTACTAGCTCTTTTAAACTTTCGAAGAATTCCTTTAAGTCTGTAAGGAAATTGATTATAACCACCAACTATAGGGGAAACTCGCAACGCACTTAGTTTTTATGTATGGGTATATATATTTTTAGGGGATGTGTTATTTTTAGAATTAAAGATATGTTTTCTTTCATTTTAATATATTGTTATTTATTACACATTGTTTCAAGCGCTGCGTGGCAGATTCGATAGTGTGGCGGCTATCAAGTTATTTTTTTTCGTGTTGTGAGATGATCTAAGCACGTTGCGTATTTCCTCTTCTTTCGACGAAATAAGCACTACCGCCTAAAAGTGTTTAGGTGTGTTATTTTAATCCTCAGTATTTAAGGGAAATAACTTAATTATAGACAATGATTTTAAAAGATCCATTTCCAGTAAGCCATGTTTTATAAAGACAATAACTTGTGCGTTTCAATAATAAGTGTCGGAAAATTTAATTAAAAATGAAACAGATAAAATCTAAATGATATTTGAAAAACAATTTAAAAACAATAACGTTTAATTAACCATGTTTTACACAAGAAAAAAATAGATAACATATTTTCATTAAATATATAGTAATGTATATATAGTAAAAACCTATAATAAAAACCGTTAATAAAAGTTAATAAGCGACCAATGTATCCGGAAAAACAAATTTGACATAAACTACAAAGAATATCGTGAATGAATAAAACATAGGTTAATCACTAATTTAAATGCCAGTAATTTAAAATATTGTATGCTAAACAGTAAAAACATTACACTTAATCTGATTAGTTAGATTTTAGAGTTAACTTAAACTATTCTGAAATTCAAAGTTAATAACAGAATAATATATAATTTTTTTTATGATAAAGGGACATAACCTTGTTTTTACAGAGGTTTTAATTTTATTAATGATGTCCCGTTCTTAGACTCTATTATTTTAATACTTTTTTTTGTTTATACTTTAAAATGTTTTTAATTATATTTCAAGAGTTTTGAAAATTTAGAATGCACAAGAAAAAATATCTTACTCAAATCATAACAAATAAAAACATCATTATAATATAAAATCTAAATGAACAATATTTTAACTGCTTAATTTATGACCATACTCTAATGCAATCACTTACCTGCTTACCATAAAAATGATATAATTTTAATTTTTATTAACTGTTTGTATCCATCCAAATCGTTAATAAACGGTTAAACAAAAAGCTATTATTCATTTTATTTAATGTTTTATGAAAACGTTAAGATTTGCCTATAAATGACGTAACGTTTTTTTTTTTACTCAACTTACTTCACCGTGGTCATAACTTGTCCAGCCACATCTGGCGTCTTTTCTTTAAATTATATTCAAATAATTAGTAATTCGCCTTGCATTTGAAATATACTGTTACAGATCGGTCATGAGACAAAGCCAACCGGGTGTAAATTTCAACGAAGATTTTTACCTGAGTTGTTTCCCTTCTTATAGAAATCACATTAAAATGTTGCTTCTGGTAACTAGCCAGATCAACGCTAATTACTTAAGTATTTGTTTGATACTGAGCTTTTTTTAGGTAATCTGAGACGACATTAAAATTTTTTAAATAATTTGCATCAATATTTTAAAATATTATAAAGAGTATCAGTTTGAATTTCTGTTTAGATATATTTTTTTTAAGTCCTATAAAATTCTCCTTTTGTGGTTTTTTGTGAAATAAAGAATTATTTGTATCAAGGGAAGCATTTAATAATATTTTCATTTTGTTAAATTATTAGGTTTGTCTCCCTTACTTATAGATAAAATGATTTTAAATTTTTTAATTTGGGCTTAATATTTTAAAAATAATAATGAAAGCCAAATCCTAGATTTTCAAAATAGATTAAAAGAGTGAAAAGCGAACCGAAAATAAAATTAAGCTAAAATCAAATAGTTATTTTTTTCTAAAGTTTTCATAAGTAGTTTTTTGAATAGAAGTGTTCGATTTACATCAGTTACTTCCCTTACATTAAAACCCAATTTTGTTGAAAGTGGGTCAGGAAATTCCCTACACGTCATAGAACACGCAATCCTTAACGAAACTTATTTTTTTAAATAACGTAGGTGAACACTTTATTTTGAACTGGTCATTTAAACAGAGGTAGATCTAAGTACTTTTGTCCATCGAGTTCATTGAAATACACTCTAAAAAATAAATGTGTTGGAAGAGACACATTACTCAATGAATCATAATTATGTTTATGTTGTATTTTTTGTATAGTCTTATCAGGACAATTTTAGCACCGTAAATTTTACAACAAACGCTAGCATAGTTTCTTTACAAAAAAAAATGGAAATATTCTTCTGGAGTTAAATTTGAACTTTAAAATTATGTCCTTTATAAATATTTTCTAGATTTCTTTGTTTGATTTCAATCAAGGGAAGCATTTAATAATATTTTGAATTTGTTAAATTATTAGGTTTGTCTCCCTTTAGTTATTACACAGGGGATCTCCTTTAAATATTTATATAAAATATATCTTAAGAAAGTATGTTTTTTTTTACGTTTGGGCTTAAGATATGGTAACCTTTAAAAAAAATCAGTCTAAATTTTCTTACATATTAAAAGTGGAAAGGGTTCTTAAACAAAAATAAGCTAGAAGCAAATACTTATTGTTTATAAATGTTTTCAAAGGTGAGATTTTAGAATTTTTGCTTGGGGTCTTTATTTTATTGTTATTGTTTAATTCACCTTTTACAAATATATAGATCACACGGGTTCTGTTTAAAAAAAAAAAAAAAAAAAAGCTTTCGAAATCAAATTGGTTTTTGATAATACACCAGTTACTTCCCTTACATTAAAACACATGTTTTGTCGTAATTGGGTCAGGGAATTCCCTAATACGTCAGCGAACACGCAATCCAAAGCGAAACATTTTTTTAATAAGCAAGGTGACAACTTTATTATGAACACGTAATTTAAACAGGTAGACCTAAGTACTTTTGTCCAACGAGTTCATTAAAATACACTCTAAGAATAAACATGATGGAACATTATTCGATGAATCGTAATTATGTTTCTGTTTTATTTTTTGTATAGTCTAACCAGGACAATTTTAGCACCGTGAATTATACAACAAACGCTAGCATTGTTTCTTTTTACAAAAAATGGAAATATTCTTCTCGAGTTATATCTAAACTTTAAAATTTTGTCCTTAATAAATACTTTCTAGAAGCATTTGATGATATTTTGATTTTGTTAGATTATTAGGTTTTTCTCCCTTTTAATATTACACAGGGGATCCCCCTTTAAATATTTAAATAAAATATATCTTAAGAAAATATTTTAACTTTTGTTTACGTGTGGGCTTAAGATATGTTTACCTTAAAAAAAAATTTCTTAAATATTAAAAGTGAAAAGGGTTCTAAAAACAAAATTAAGCTAGAAGCAAATGGTTATTATTTATAAATGTTTTCAAAGGTGAGATTTTAGTTGTTTTTGTTTTAGCTTTCGAAATCTGTTTGATAATACACCAGTTACTTCCCTTACATTAAAAAGCATGTTTTGTCGAAATTGGGTCAGGGAACTCCCTAATACGTCAGCGAACACCCAACCCATAGCGAAACACTTTTTTTAAAATAAGGAAGGTGACGACTTTATTATGAACACGTCATTTAAACAGAGGTAGATCTGATTACTTTTTTCCATCGAGTCCATTTCAATATAGTCTAAAAATAAACATGATGGTACAGATACAATATTCAATGAAGCATAATTGTTGCTGTTATTTAATTTTTATATGCACCTACGAAGACATTTCTAGCTCTGTACATTTTACAACAAACGCCGGCATACATTTTCATTAAAAATATAAATATACTTGTCGAGTTAAATCTACAAATTAAATGTTTGTCATTTTTAATCATTTTCTAGTTTTATCAGTTTGCTTCTAACACTAAATATATTTCATTTTAAGATAAGCATTGTTAATATTAATATGATTAACTCCCTTGTAACTATTTTTGAACAATTTTAAAAATTAGATTCATTTTTAATTTCAGATACCACTTTGATGAGAATTCTATGGACTAATTAAGATAACTTGTTTTTTTAAAATTGTAGTGTTGCTGGAAATGTTAACAAATGCGTTAATTCTCTGTAACGCTTTTTACTATAACCCGCTATGGCTCTTTGCCTATGTAGGTCAAAGAAACCCCTTTCGGTATTGCGTGAATCTAATTTTAGCTCAGCAGATTAGCTGTTCCTTCTCGTGATTGCTGACGTAAGAGGTTTCGTTAACCGTTAACGGTAAAACGAACACGTAATTTTAAATCTAGAATTTAAATGTTCTAGAATTTTCTTGTTGTAACTTTTAACCGTTTGATGTGCTAAAAGAATGTCTGAATTTTCTTTACTTATTATACTAAAAAAAAATCCTCAGTGGGTTTTTTTCACTACTAACGGTAGCTTTTTTTTCACTACCAAATCATGAAAATCATGAAATGCATACTCCAATCAATGGAAAATTATAGAGAAAAAAGTAATAAGAACGAAATCAGATTTATAATCGAAATCCAGTTTATTTAAAAAACAATACGTTTAAAATACGACTTTTTTTAAACCCATAGAATTGTAAGGATATGCTTTACTGCTATTTATTTTCTATTTTTATTTGGTACCTGAAGCGCACGGCAATATTCCAGTTGCTTCCCTTACCATACAGCCTAATTTTGACGTATGTGGGTCAGGGAATTCCCAAACACGCGATGAGAACACGCAAACCATACCGAAACCAGGTCAATACGTCAGCAGTCAGCTAGACTGTGGACACGTCAGGAGTTTAGAGGAAAATATCTTTGTCTCTTGGGTTAAGCTCCATGCATTCTAAAAATAAATGTGATGAAAAACAAATTGAAATGTACCAATATATGTAGTCTACAACTTAAAAAAAAATCCAACTGCGCTCTAGAAATTAATTTTTTAAAATATATATTGTTTGAAACATTATATGTTTGTTTGTTTTGTTGTTTGTTTGTTTTCTAATGTGAAAAGATTGTTTTGATTTTTATACTGTTTTCTTTCGAGAGAAGTATTTACAAATAGATCTATCCATAAAATAGTAAATGATAATAAAAATATTTGCTATTCACTTTTATTTTTTATATATCCTGACAAAATAATACTTTAAAGGAAATTTAAATACAATTTCCTAATAAAACAAGCATTATTTTGCGATATTTTATACAACTGTTGAACAGAACCATAATGGTATTTATACAGGTTGATGAATTTAATACCTGATCTGGGGGGGGGGGGGGGGAGGGGGGAGGAGGGGGGTGGGTAAGCAATTTACAAAAAGAAAAAAACGCACAGTTGTTTTATCGCATTAAATACATTCAGTTACAAATTATTAAATACACTTTTAATCATATTGAAATAAAAGTTTTGATAATCTGAAATCAAAGTATAAAGAAAACTAATAGTTTTTAAGACGAGATTTTTTTACCAACAGCAATACATTTTATCAACATTATCAATATCTGAATACGTTTCTGTAACAAACACATTTCTGCAATTATTTTCATGTATAATTTTTTTCTCTCAATGTATAAATATATTATTTCACGATCTATTCATTTTCTCCAGCCATTTTAAACCGCTAGAATCAAATACCGTGTATTCTATAAATAGAAGCCGTGTCCCCTATAGGAAAACCCCGCGAGAGAATGTACCGTACTAGATCTACATTGTAACGACAACGTCAGCCGACTTTTACGGTGTTTCGGAAATATCTGGACGTTCTTTCAGGTTTTTTTTTACTCGAACATATTTTTCTTAATTCTTGGCTACTACGTGTTAGTAAAATAAAATCTTAACTTAGTCAGACCACGTAGATTTTATTTTTAGAAAATTTAGACATTTTTCTTTTTGGCTTTCTAGAAAAAAAGTTACGTGTTCGTTGATGTTTATTTAACATTTATTTTTAAACTTTTCAGAACGTTACACCTCGTTGTGTAAATATAGTTTTACATTTGTGACATTTTTGGCTAAGTTATAATGGGTTAAAATTAGAACTGATGAAATAGGACAAAACTCTCGGTCTACATACACACAAACATATACACATACATACATATACGCATACATACACAAAAAATACACTGTTTAATACACGCACTTACATACATATTTAATGCACACACATAGTAATGGATATCTAAACTGTTTCTGGTTGGAGGTGCTCTCTTAGATTGCTATTCTAGAAGCTGCAAAGATTAAATCTACCTATTAAACATCCTGATCTGAAAAATAAAAATCTAATTGTATTTTTAATATGCCCAGCTTAAATGTTTGTTGTAAATGTTGAATTGTTCACAACCATTACCATTAAAGAAAAAAGAAGATGACGTGTGTGAAAACATGAAAACATTTATATTAAATTTTTTAAATTTTACATGAAACTTTCTTGTTTTCTTTATATTATTATTTAAAATACTGTTTTTTTTCCTGTGTTGTTATTTTTAATTAGTTTTGAAAACATAAACCTTTTAGAAAAATACATATTTTCTCTGGAAAAAAAATAACTTTTAACTTCTATCAAATGTCAATTAAATTTAAAAAAAATAATGTATACCTACTGCGATGAGGTGTATCAATTATATCCATATAAACATAGATTTAAAATTTTTAACCATGCGTCTACATAAAGCTAACGAACTAAAAGTAAACTGTTGCCAAGTGTAACACTACAAATGCACATAACCGAGCTGTAAATCTGCTTTTATTCATGTCCTACAAGTATAAGGCAAAGGTTGAGGCTAAATTGGGAGACACGTAGATCTAAGCTTCGAATTTAGATTTTTCTGATGAAAATGACTGCGTCGTTGCGATAAGACAAACAGATAAAACTGAAGATACTTATCTTGGCAAACTTACACTAAAAAAAACTGCAAAGAAAATTTAAAGTCTAAATTGATGAGTGTGTAAGAGATGTTGGCAGTTCTTGTACGTTTTATAAGATGAATGCCCGCAAGTTGGCTGTTGTGATCACACACTGACAAGGACAAAGCTTAATTTAGATATGACGTACATTAATGATTTGTGATCAACAAGCTAGAAAACAGATTGCAGACTAGCCAGTGTCCAGAGGCTTAGCGAGGGGGGGGGGGGGGGCGGGGGACATATGGGTTGGAAAAATAAATTGAAAGCTTGAAGGGGGGGGGGGTGCAAATAAAAAGTTTGAGGGGGGGGGGGGGGGGTGGTGCAAATCGAAATTTTGAGGGGGGGGGGGGTGGCATATCGAAAGTTTGAGGGGGTTGCAAATCGAAATCTTGATGGGGGGTGCAAGCCGGGAAGGGTCGCTACGCCTCTGCCAGTGTCTTCATGTTGGATGGGGGGGAGGGGTTGTGTGGTGGGATCAAGGCTAGTTGCAGACTGGTCAGTTTCTACATGGGAAGTAGTGAGGGTGGAGAGAGGGTGGGGTGAGGGTTCAGATCTAAACTGTTGATGAGCTTTAATATGCATAAAATGACCGCAACAGCCCAATAGTAATTAGCACACAGAGACCACAACACAACAGTAATGTGCAGACAAAAGTAGTTGCATGTAGAAGACAACCAGAGTAAAAGAAACTCCGGAAGTAAGTGTTGATCTTAATGATTTTCATATTTAAATTGTATTACCCCATCTAGCTTTCTTTAATTTAAAATAAATAAACGAGCTCACATTTTGTGAAGTGAAGTTTATTGTGCTTAACGTTTTATGCTTAGCCTATGCATGTAATCAAGTGCAACGTAACATTATTTTTTTTTAAATTATCGAAAATTTATATAACAAAATTATTACATTTATAACGTACAATCAAGGAAGTCTACGCATAAAGGTGTATAACTGTTTCGCATTCGCTAGTTTGTAGGCGTTACTGCGGCGGGGGAATCGCTTCTTACAGTATCGATATTCTAAACATGGGGTACTAGACAGCGATGTAAACAGTTTGTAAAGAATATATTTCCCGATTTTTAATTTGTTTTATTTTTTAGTCTGGGGGTGGGGGGCGACATCTTTTTTTATTATTTTGGGGATATTTAGTTTATGGAAATAAAAATGTAAATTAGGTAAAAAAAAAACCTTTGACTTTTAATTTTAAATTACGTGTTTTGTTGAAAACTATTTATAGCATCTACGGTCCGCAGAAAAAAATAATTATTTTTGGTGCAAGTATTTCTGGAAATATCATATTTTATCTTAATATCTTGGGACCTAAGGTATGAGAGCACATTTTTTTCTCTTCGTTGTTTTATTCTTTCTTTTATAAAGCTTATCTTAATAATCAGAAAATAAGGTAGGTCTAGGAAATTAGTTACAATCTACTAAAAATCACATAGGAATAAAGTTATAAACAATTTTAAATAAAACTTTTGGATAGCTATAAAAAGGATACTTTAAAAAATATATATATGTATTTCTTATAGAAATTAAATTAAACTTTACAAATCAGAAAAAAATGCATAAACCATTGTATAAAATATTAATTTATAAAACCTATGTAGCCTATATTTTAGATAATCTTTAACAACCTAGAGCATCAATGGCCAGTCAATCTACCTCTTCCAGTACTGATATGGACTCCATCGACCTCTTGATGCTTCTAGTGGAATGGTACCGAAACAAAACAGGACTAAGGAGATGTAATGAAAAAGTTATTTTCTTTCTATTGTTACTTTACACAGTTTGTTTTTTAAAATCGTATAAATAAATCATACACACTTTGTTTTTGTCAACAGCATAACAATAACATTATATGACCTATAAAATGATTGCAATGTCTTAGGCTAAGTCACTAATGTATGTTAACTTATCTTTTATTAAGCATGTTTGCTCACACGAATTAGCATTAGCTTCTCCGTTTAAAGGTATAAATTTTACAGTGTAAAATTAAATTACATTGAATATTGAAGTTTAAGACTTATGTAAAGGTAGATACAATCTCTTCTTCTTTGTTAAACTTTCATGAGATTCTTATTTGCACTGCAAGAATGGTATCATGGTCATTTTTATTGGTCATTTGTGATGCAAGTCTTATATTGAATTTTTCTAAGTGATGTATTTAGAATGCCACAATCATTTAAGTTGATTTTAACTGTAAACATGTACTTTAGTTTAAAAAATATTCAAACAAAAGGTTCTAGAACTCTATACATAATTATAATAATTTTTTCTCCAAAGCTTACTGGCAAACATCAATGATGTTGATATATTATTATTCATTTAAATGCCGTCATGTTTAGTTTCCCTTTCAAACCTGGCGGTCTATGAGGCAAGTGAAGTAGAGTTCACTTGTTTCTGTGACCTCGGCATATGAAGAGATAGTGTGGTCAGCACTATGCCCAGCCGCCTTTACTTTCCCTAACTTGAGTTAGGTACCCATCAGAGCTGGGTGGACTCAGGGACGGTCTACTGATTGAACCCGGATTCGAACTCGATACTTTCGGGTTAGTAGTCCAGCTCTCTACCGCTAGACCACTCCGTCCCATGTTTAGCAGGCATTTATTTGCTTTGCAGATTTTGATTTCAGTTTTCAACAACTGAAGTTAGAAATAGTGGAACAGCCCCCAGTGCATTGGATCGCTTCCATCCCAGATGATGGCTCTTCTCAAACAGTGGCAAGAACTGTAGGTATTTTGATAGAATAACAACAATAACACAGGAGTTATATGAATGTACAAAACGCAATTGTAGCTCCAGCAACACTTTCAGAGTGGGGCTGTTATGATAGGGAACAAAGGCAATATTTTCACTCAAATATACACAATTACCCCCACCCTATACTAATAGTTGTTTGACATACACCGCTGTATTTCCTATAATTTATCCTGAACATTTTTAGATTAGTTATAGTAATATAGATCTCAAATAAAACTATATTACAAAATAAATAAATAAAGGTATAATCTATTCAACACTGAAAGAATGAAAAGTTTTGTTTTTCTTTGCATAAATCCGCAACAGACTTTTTAAATGTGTCAATCAAAACACACAAAAAACGGTACCAAGAGAATAGTTTAAAGGTAATTTACAAAATATGTTATACATCTCTTACATTAGTATGGCTGCGTCTTTATTGTTACAGGTTGAAATCACTTGCGCTGGAAAAGCTAGGAAAAGTGGAACCAAAGTATATATTGAAAAAAACTCGGATAATCGACAGTATATACAAATAACAAGAGGAAAATTAACTAAGAGTAACACTTCGTTTAAGCATTGTTATGATCAATCCTACATTTACTCAACCATATACATTATATACATATATATATATATATATATATATATATATATATATATATATATATATATATATATATATATATATACATATATATATATATATATATATATATATATATATATATATATATATATATATATATATATATATATATATATATATATATATATATATATATTTATATATATATATATATATATATATATATATATATATATATATATATATATATATATATATATATATAATTTTATATATATATATATATATATAATTTTATATATATATATATATAATTTTATATATATATATATATATATATAATTATATATATATATATATATATATATATATATATATATATATGTCTCAATTTCAATTAAAATGGACAATGATTGTTTACAATTGAAATTTTTTTCTGAAATTATAAATAATTAATACAATAATAATTAAAAAAAAAATAATCCCTTTTTTTATAATTGTGTGCAATTTAAAATAAGAACATCGTAAGATTGATTAATCTAAAATCACAATATGTGTACTACATCTAACCAGTGAACGAAACGTTCGACAAGACTGTCAGATTGGAATTACCAACTGGCGATCATGTTTACCTAGACCCCACTGATGATGAGATAGATATACCAATGGATGTAAACCCTACATTTGGCAGTGTGTACTGTCCCTACCCTGCTTCAAGCATGGCCACCATACGATCAAAAGAGAATGGCTACAAAGGTAAGAAGTATAGATAGTAATTTTACAGTCGGGTACCAAAATTTCATGCACTTACAAGGCAAGTGATATGAGTTAAAACGCATACGTTGGAGTTTTGAAAATGGTATTAAAATTGTATTAAAAATTGTATTAAAATTACTACTTTTTACTTATTTTTAAAAATTTAATATAGTGTAGTTAAATACTTTTATGTATATTCGTGGATAATTTTCTAAATTTATTTTACTCTATTTAAATTTAATATTATTTAATATAAATTATTTTAATTTAAGATACGTTTACTAAATGTATTGAATTTTTTTTCCATAAATGTCATAAATTATAGTTTTTAATATTTGAAAGAGTATTTTTAAATTAGGACGATTTACCTGCTGCCTACTTCTCCGTGGACGAGTAATTTGCAACTACAACGACAAATACAAATTTCCGGTTACGGACGAACAAGATATCGAGGAAATAATGCGAGATTTAAAGATGTGGAACAATGAAGACGCGGATCAGTTTATACTATGTAATGGCGGGGGTGATGTGGAGGGTAGAGGGCGAAGTGGATCTACGCAGCAATAAAAAGTTTAACATTTTTTGGAGCAAAGTTTAGAAGTGCACAGAAAACAATGGAGATAAGAATAGATCTGAATCTTTTAATAAAGAGCCTATTGACTATTGAGTTGGATAAAATGTTTGCTTTAACTTAGTTTTAGTTAGACAAATATTAAAACATATATTGAAAAGCTATTATAATTTAATATTGATTGATTACACAAAATGTTCGTTCATATTACTATGAGTAGACTAACATAAACCATTTAAACATTGTATTGTTATTTACATTTATTTATTCATATATACAATTAAACAGTTATGTTTTAACTGTCTACGACAAAGCAATAATCTATTAACACAAAAACAATCATTTAACTAATGTTTTGCATTTAAATTGTTTGATAATCATGTTTTCAATAAACTCCACTAGATTGGTTAAAAGTGTTTCCGTTGCTTTGTTTTTTTTTTTAACCTAAATCACAGAAATATCATATAAAATTATACACAATAAAAAAGTATCTTTTTCAATTTTATAACGATAATATATAAAGATCCTAATTTGCTCAGAAATGTAGAGAATCGTTAGGATTTATCTTCCAAAATTTTTAAAAAAAATTGTTTATTTCAAACAAGCAGGAAATTTTTCCAGCAAAGTCTTGAAAACTGAAGAAAAACTCCACCAAACACCTGAAAATAAACAGCCTATTGTTTTTGCTCTAAAAAAATAGAATTTCCTGAATAATATTTCTGTTTAAAAAAAAAGTTACATGTATTTTCGTTAATTTATCGAGCTTTCCTCTAAATTAATATGATTTACATTTAGTAGACACTTGTAGAAATAATTAATTTATTAGTTTATTGGTAGTATTACAGTTGAAAGCTATAGCGTTATGTTGAAGACACTTAACAACGAATATAGTTAAAAGGGTTTAAAATGATACTTCGAAACAAATCCTAATAATTAACATATGAATATGAATACCAATCTCTGCATATTTAGCATACTTACTTTTATCAAATGCGAAAATCAGTAAACCAGATGAATTCTACCTCACATAAGCATTGTTATATAATTATTATGGTCACTTTGTCTAAACAATCAAAATAAAGCTCTAGATCAAGTAATAACGAGACAAGATGCCACGTCTACCAGCCTCGTCCTATTGTTTTAAGCTCATAGGCGAGATTTTATTTGTACATCAGTAGATAACAACACCAAGCATAATACAATATTCGATACCAAAATAAGCTTCAATTCGATACTTATTTATGACTTATGAATAAAGGCAAATATAATAGTTTTAAAAAAAATCTTAACACGTATTGGCTAAGAAATCAAAATGTATGCTTTTTTGGGTGATAAATTTCAATTTACTAGTGTATTTTAATTTGACCAGTGTATTGCGTTACATTCAGATAGCTAATTTTTATTAAATTACTTTTCTTGGGGGGGGGGGGGGGGGGGAATTATGGTTATTAATTATTATTCTTTACTTGTTCGCAAAATACAACTGTTAAGTTTATGAGAAGGAATTATAAGCAAGCATACAATTATAAATTATAACCTTAACTATTTTTTCTTACATATCACAAACTATTTCTCTTTGGGAAAATTGCAATCGACGGTTTAGTTTTTAATAATATTTTTTCACTATATCACTTATTTTTTAAAGTAAAATAAAAAATGTAGGCCAACATCTTTGTGAAGATAAACTTTAATGCCTGTAATTTACTCAGACCAGGTCTGTCTCAAATTGTTTCAGACATAATACGATGAGAGGAACAACGGTAAAATGGTATTGACTTACGAGAAGTTTCTACCATTTAATAGCTTAATATATATATATATATATATATATATATATATATATATATATATATATATATATATATATATATATATATATATATATAACTGCTTAAACACAGTAAGCCAATACAAATAAATCTTGCCATCAAAAGACTGTAACATTATTGGAATTCGCTACTTCGTGTTTCTAACGAAGCGCGGTATCGAAACCTGGTTTCATATTGGTGCTGAACGGAGTAGTCGATTTTAATAATGACGTGTTAGGGGTTTGTTTGTTAGTTGCTGAAGGAAAACCTGAATTACGTATTAACATGATTGGGGATTTCCTCAAATTAAATTTTAAAATTTTCTTAAAGAAAATTTGTAATGTAAGCCATTTATATTTTTTTCAAAATTAAATGTCTCATTTTATTTTTACAGGTATTTTTATCATCCCAGTTAAAAAACTAAAATTCCCTGTAATATATAAGCATAGAAAGACCGCATAAACAGAAGATTATCACAGTAGTTTGTTCGATTCTCGTAGTCAACTCGTTCTGTTATAGGCCTAACAGTGCTTGGATTATTTAGCTGGTAATATATGTTAATACATGTGGTTAATCGTTAATTACCGTATTCAATTGTTAATTTATTATGTAATTTAAAAATTATTTACGACATTTTTAGACGTAGTTTGATTGAGATATTGGGATGTGGTTTGTTTATGTGCTGATATGGTGCTGATAGAATTTAAGTCACATACGTGTTACTGTTAGTGAAGAAAAGCCTTAAAATAATTAGTGAATTCCTACATAGTTCACAAATTGTTATCAGTCGACCTGTTTTAGTTTTAGGAGACGATATTATACTGTAAATTGAGAATGATTTAAACTGTGATTCAAACACCGTATCTATACATTCAATTACTTACTATCAGTGTTTGGTAATATTTTCTATTACTGAATTGTGTACAGAAAAAAACTGCTGTATGAAAAAAATGACTGAATCGTATTAGGTTTTTTCAACTGCACATATTCCTTTTCTGCAAGATCCTAAATACTTCAATCCCTCCTCCCCCTCCCCATCCCAAATCCCTGAACCATCCATCTCTACTGTACACACCTGCATCGGAATTTCGTGTACCGAACCAGAACAATTATTGCCAAAAAAAAAATTCAATCAAAGCTTAGAACTTGTGTAGTGGCGATTTTTGCTGTAATGTATATTTAGTCAAGAAGACCTTAAGGAGTTGATCTTGGAGAGTGAATATCTGTGTTGCTGTTCTAGATTGTCTAGGCAGCTACAAAGTTGTGATAGAATAGTTAACTGTAATTGCAAACAAAACAGATGTCAATGATTTGAAAATTTTGATATTCTCTTTTCTTATTCCAAAGTTCTAGAACTTATCAACAGCTACAAAGATGTCACATAAATTATCAAGCATTTGTCGTGAATGGTATGCTCTTAAGGTGCCAGGACCAACGGGTAATCTTTGTATTAGGCTCAACAAAATATTTCATATAAAATCAGTATCAGCAAAAATAGTATATAGGCCTGCTCCTTAAAATCATAGAATGAGCGGCAGCTGAAATCTCAAATAAAATATTTTTAAAAAAATAGTGTATCAACTTTTTATTTGCAGATACAAGAATTAATCTAACGAATCTTACTGTTGTAGTGGAGAGAATTCCAAAATGGATACCATCAGAACCAACGGGTCATTTGAAACATTCAACACAAAGATCGGTTCGTAATTTAAATGCTCATACAAGTTTATTTTAAAATCACGTCAAAAGCATGAGGCATGTGTAAAAAGGCCAAAGAAACACTATTTATAAAGCTACGTAAAGTCATTTTTTTGGTAAAAAAAAATAATAAATAAAATCATAAAAAATTTTTTTTTATTAAAAAAAAAACACATGTTTATTCATTTTAGAATAAACAAAACAGTTTTTCAGTATTTTCCAAGTCTATTTTAAAAAAATGTTAGCCGGAACTTTCCGGTCTTTAAACATGCCCACAATCAAGAATGTTTCGCTTCCAAAAAAATGTTGTTCTTAGTAATGGGAAGCACTTCAGCTTCAATTATATTTTCTTAAAATAATATATTTCAAACTTGCCTCTGTTTTATGTGTAATCACATGAACACTTAAAATGTGTTTTACGTTCTGTTAATCTAGATTCGATATTCCGTTGTATGATATTCTTTTGAATACAAACCCCAGGCAGGCACCTATGCAATAATGTATTTATTTACAGTGTGTTATTCCTGCTTTATACATATTGTATAAACAGTAATTTTGCTGTTAGTGCCAGAAACTTTTCACTATTCAACCAAAAATATAGAGAAATGGAACTATAATTTCTTAAAATTAATGCTTTAATATATTCCAATTAATGTTATTTTATAATGCCAGCTTTCAGTGGACTATGGATCAACCCAATCAGTGTCAAGTGAGATACAGGTTGAAAGAGATGTGGTTGAAATTGAGCAGGTCACCTGTACAACCTACTTAAAATTATATTTCCTTAAATTTAGAATTATGAAATTACAAATTGTACAAAATGTGTTAAAAATTATATGTGTACATTTAACTCACTAAAATAATTTTAATAGTAGTTTTTTATATTAAGAATTATAATAATGTACATTTAATTTGTCTAATGTAAAATAATTATGTTACAAAAGTTCCAGAACTCATAGTTGATCCAGTACTGACACTTCCTTTAAGAACAAGTACACAGACAATTACTGTCAATTTGAGTCGTCCAGAGAGCTCCAGCATCAAACAGAAACCAGCACAATGTGTACAAGTGAAGAAAACTTGTTATGGAAAACAAAGAGCAACTGCAACAATCAAATCGCCAGAATGGTTTTACACAGGTAGGAGCAGAGGCGTAGCGACCCTTCCCGGCGCCCGGGGAAAATTTTTCGATTTGCACCCCCCTCAAGATTTAGATTTGCACCCCCACCCCCCTCAAACTTTCGATTTGCACCCCCCTCAACCTTTCAATTTATTTTTCCAACCCATTTTGGCGCCCCTTAAGGTCGGCGCCCTGGGACATATGTCCCCCCCGCCCCCCCCCCCTCGCTACGCTACTGGGTAGGAGTTAATAATATATATATATATATATATATATATATATATATATATATATATATATATATATATATATATACGCCCAATCTAGGCCTACTTATATAGGTTTATATATATTTAAATAGTAGCAAAACTATTGTGTTGTATATTTAGATTTCTAGTAAGTGAATATTTAGATTTTCACTGAATACACTACTAATAGATTACATATTACCGACACACATTTATTGTTTGAAGGTCGATTCACTTGCTGCCTAAGAGTATCTGGTAAAGTGATATTTGGATCAGGTTATGAACAACGTATTGGAGAAATTATTCGTGAACTCCAGGAATGGGTTGCTCAGGAAGAAATTGAACTAGAGAAAATGAGTGCTCTATGGATGACTCCCCGCCAAAAGAGTGATCTCCAGGAAAAGATAGCTCTCAAGGAAAAGATCAACAGTATGGTTAACATGTTTACCTTGAATAAAAACGTTTATTATAAAAATGATCGTATACGTTATAGATTAGACGCGCTCTGGACAATTGAAGGCGAGGTGGAGAAACGATGGAAAGCTGAGCACACAGTATCATGGAGTTAAATTGCTCAAAATATCGTTTGTTAGGTTATTTTTTGTATTTTTTTCTTTCCAACACTTTACGACAGGGGACAATTAATTTTCATTTTTTTTTTTGGGGGGGGGGGGTGGGGGTGTGGGGGGTGAGTAATTTACATTCGTTTTAAATAATGGTACTGTATTTTCTGATGTAAAACATGAAAAAAATTAAAAATGAATAAACCGTAACAGAACATTTGTAACATATTTTTCAATACTTATGCTCGATAGCACAATTAAATGCTGTCACCCAATCTCAAGCTTGTAAACCTGTATCCATGCTTATTTTATTTGTCTGTACATGAAAAAAGATTACATTATGTTTGTATAAACAATTTTATTTTCAGGTTAGATCTCTGTATTATGATAAATTACATTTTAAATAAAAAATATTCTGCAGTTGAAATTTTAATAGGATTTTTTTTTTCTGCAAAAAGAAAACTACATTTAAATTTTACTGTGCTTTATCTTTTATGTGATTTCCTTGCTTTTTTATTACAATTATAATTTACTGAAAATATATTATTCGCTTTAAAAGATATTTTAACCCTGATCTTGACTGGTACGGCTTCTGTGCTTAAGAAAGAACAATATATTTCCATTCCTCCTACTTTATTTATTTTTTCAATTGAAGAGAATAATTCTTTTTAAAATTAAGTTTCATTTTTATAAACATTTTCAATTCGTCAATTTAGCTTACATCAACTGAGTCAAAACTTACGGTAAACACTTTTTTTTAAATTTTAATAATACAATACTTATTTGTTTTAAGAAAAAAAATTAAATTAATAACTCATCATTTCAACATTTAAAAAAGTAAACTATAATGACAATTTAATAATTTTGTTTTTAATCTAAAGTGAAAGTTTAAAGCATATTTTAAAAACAATTTGAATACGATTATGTAATTTAATTATTAACTTGAATCTCATACGGCATATTCTTGATATTAAATTCTTGTAAAGTATGGATAAATATATATCTGTTTAGAAATGTTTGTTTTAAACCAATATTGCTTGATATTGTATTTTGTACATTTATAAATTTCAATAACAGTATTGGCCAAAAATTTGTATGAGAAATAAAGACATCCGAAAATGCATTGTATGTTCTTTTTGAGCTAAAAATTGTGCGGTATTATCATGTCTGTGTAAAACATACTTTTTTTAGCATTTCAGTTTATTTAATGTTAAATTATTTTATAACCAGAAATTATTTCATGCATCTATTCGGAGTCACTGCCTCCCCCCTCCCTCCCAATCATTGAAAAACATTTCTGTAAGAAGCACTGCTTACAGATTAACTCTAAATTACTGAGGCATACAACATAATTGCATCTAATTCCAAACAATATGTCTCACACCATCTTACAGATTTGTAATTAAACTTTGAACGTATTGTATGAAGATTATTAAAACTCGCCATGCATTTGCATTTACTTATATTAAGTAAAGATTTGACATGGATGGGGGGTGGTTCCAAAGTTATCTCCCTTTCCCTATACTTTGCGTTTCACTGCATATATTTGAGCCTCATTTGCGGATGACCTTGTCCTTAAAAGGTCAGGAGTACAACTTGTAAAAGTTTCAATCGATATCCCAACTTATGCAGATGTTATGCATCGTGAGGAAATTCGCTTAAAATAATAATATGCATCAAGTATGAAAGTTTTGTGAACATGAAATGTAAAAACATGGTCCGGAATACTGTGAAATATTTTCATGTTTTAAAAGACACGTGAAATTAAAATTAATTGCATGATAGAGCGTGAATTGAACCATAAAGGAAAATCATACAATTATGTGGCCAATCACCCCCGTACCAATTTTTTTTTTAAAAAGATGGTTAATAAACAAACTGACACGATAGAACATTGCCTGGTTAGTTTACAGTAAATATTTGTAATCAAAGAATTGTGTTATTCATAAAACATAAACATATGGAACGCTGTGCTCGGATGGTAGAACGCATGACTGCTAATGTGAAAATCCCGAGTTCGAATCCCGGTCTAGAGTATGTAGGATACCCCTAAGTTCACCCAGCCCAAATCAGTTCCTGGGTCACTTTTTAAACAGATGAACTATACCTCATACGTATGATTGAAAGCAGAGTCAAAACGGTACCAATACACACACACACACACACACACACACATATATATATATATATATATATATATATATATATATATATATATATATATATATATATATATTATAAACATAGCTAGTTTGAGTATTATAGAACAATTGTATTAAGTGTCGAAAATGGCCAAACAGAAATCACTATAATGTTAAACATAAATTCGAGTCGTTCAATAAATAGTTAAATTTAGAATATTAGTTGAGTCATTGGACAGAAATACTGACTTCATGAATTATTTGTAGGTAAAGATATTTTGAAATGAATTTTTTTTCCACCGGCTTACTGCCACATAACATAAGTCTAAAGCGGTTTATAAAAACTTTCGTGCTAGTAAAGGTAGACATTAATCGATAGAAGGCGCGTTACGTGCCTGAGTTTTAAAACAAGACTTTTAATATTATTATTATTGGATTCGCTAGTTTGTTGCGGCACTGCGGCGGCACAGCCGCTTTTTGCAGTATCGATACTTTAAACATGGGGTCTATACGGACATATTAACAGTTGGTAAAAAATATATTTCCCGATTTTTAAATTGTTTTACTTTTTAGTCTGGGGGTGGAGGTTGAAGAAATTTATAATTTTGGGGAGTCTTTAGGTTATAGAAATAAAAATTTGAAATCAAATGAAAATATGTTTTACTTTTCTATTACGTGTTTTCTTGAAAACTATATATAGCAACTGAGGTCCGCAGAGATGGTTTTTTTTATTTATTTTTCAAGGCAAACTTTTCTGGAAATATCTTATCTTATTTTATCTTGATTTCTTGTAATCAGATGTTAGGAATACAAAATGTAAGTACGTTCTTTTTCTTTACTTTTTTTAATTTAGAAAACAAAATATGATATCATGGATTGAAAATCAGATAAATATTTTAAAAAGTTTTTAAAATTATAGATCTATTTCATTTTGTTATAAATTCATGTTGTAATTTTTTAAAAATGATATTTATAAAATTGATTTATAGATAAAATAATGAATAAAGACCTAATTAGGATTTAACTAAAGGTCATGTCAGATCATTGAGCGTGTACAGGTCGCAAATGTTTTTCACGTAATGTAAACATACTGATCAATGTTTAAATTTTTTTTATAACTGTTAATAAAAAAATTATAGAATGTGATATGTAACCTATATTTTATTAGCTTTACCTAACAAAAGAATCTCAAAGGAGAATAGGTAAGCCTCTAAATCATCCTCCGGTGTAGACTTGTAAAGATTCTAAACACGTAAATGCTGTAAAACTTAAATAATTAAGGTTCTTTAATTAAGGTTTGACCAAGCGTTTAACTGATAATTTGTTAACATAAGAATTTTATGTTTCTAAAATTAAAAAAAAAAAAATTCTTTTTATTTTTCTTTTTATTTCATGATTTGTGTCATCCAAACAGATACATAAATCACGTGACTCCCGTACAAACATGGAACCGATCAACCTGACGCTACTGTGTGTCAAATGGTACCAAAAGAAGACAGGACTGAGAACCTGTAAGGAAGGGAGTGTGGGGGGCAAATTAACTAGGAATCTGTGAACTGGGGGGGGGGGGATGAATTAACTATGTCTGGGAGCCTGTAAAAGGGGAGGGAAAATTTACTATGTCTGGGAGCTTGTAAAGGGTGAGGGGGGTGATTAACTATGTCTGGGAGCCTGTAAAGGGCGTGGGGGGGGGGGGGGTAAATTAACTAGCTAGGCCTAGGAACCTGCAAAGTAGGAGTGGGGAATTAACAAGGGCTGAGAAGCTTTAAGGAGGACTGGGGGAATTTAACTCGGGCTGAAAACCTATAAAGGTGAGCGTGCTAATAAACTAGGTCTGGTAAACTGTAAGGGGTACCATTAAACTTTGTTCTAGAATCTGTAAGAGACGGGATGCATTTAAACTAGGACTTAGAACATTAAGGAAGATGAATAAGGTCGATAAACTATAAGGGGCAGGACGGGCATTTAAAGAACTTACAAAGTATAAGAACTTAAATAATATTATTATTGAGGACAATAAAAATAAGGTTAAGAAATTTTAAGAGCTACAATCAAAATAATGTTAAACTATATTTAAAACACAAATTTTATTTTAAAACATTGAACTAAATAGATAGTACTTTAAAATGAAATTAAATAATTATTGTGTTATTTTATAAATAATTATACATAATGTATTTAACACATCTGCATTAATTTGCATTACATTTTGTTTCACATACGATATACAACTGTGTTCACATTTTTACTAGTCTTTTAACTTTGTATTTTTAGATTTTCATTTCAACTTCAGTAAACTGCATTTAAAGATAACAAAATATCCACCAGTTCAATGGATAAACTCCATTCCAGATGATGGATCTGAACACACAATCACAAGAAGTGTATGCTTTTAAAATCGCTTTACTAAAAAGAAATGATTGATTAAAATATTTATTTTTTAAAATATATTTATATTTGAACGATTTATTGGCGTCATGGTAAAGCTCTTGTTTAACTTTTAAGGTCCAAGTGTCATGTGCCCCTAATGTCAGCAAAAGAGACACAACGGTACAAGTTCAGGGAACCTCACAAAGTCAACGGCGCATTGAAATAACACAAGGGCAGATTTTGGGTGATGTTTTATTTTTTGTTGATATATGAGACCTTATTCCTATAAGTGTTAATTGGTACTAGAAAACTAATAAACAATTAACAAAACATAAGTATTGGCAAACTAATATGCAATACTCAGAACATTATGCGTTAAAAATATTTAAAAAACAATAATAACGTTTTCTTGTTTATTAAAATATAAGTTTGGATATGGTTTTTTCTAAGAAATATTATTTTGAGTATTATATTGTTTTTCCCCTAATTGTGACCTTGATTTCAAGCAGTTAATCAAAGCTTCGCGAGTTCTGTCATGTTGAAATTACACAACGGTGCCCAGATCAATTTTTATCCCAGCATGAAGATCCAGCCAAATCCACCGGTGGCAAGTCAGGCTAGCAACAGAAAGAGCTGTCCCTATTCCACCTCCAGCTCTGCTACCATACGATCGTTTGAGGGTGAATACAAAGGTGAGAAGATAATTATCTGTTTATCCCCACTTTTGTTATAGAATTAAATGTTGACTTTGAGATAATTATTAAATTTAACTTAGGGTACGGTTATTTTTTAAAGTATTTTGAAAAGTAAAAAAAATGGATTGCAACAAAAATAATACCTGGCCTTATGCACAACCATATTCAAACTTCTTAATTTATTCATTAATGTACAATTTAAAATGAGTAAAATTATTATAGTTGATCAATCAAATAATTTACCGTCTTAAACATTATCTTTTAATTAGTAGACATATTACTAAAAATATTTTTATTTACAAATTATTGTTTTTCCTAATCACGCTAATACTAATTAAATATATATTGGTTTCTGTTTGATACTTATTTATATTACAATGTGAATCATAATATATTTGTAAGTGATTTCTCTTTGCTGCAAAAGTTTAAGTAAATCTGATACATATTCGTAAACAATTATATGTATGTGTTGTTCTCTAGGTCGATTCACTTTTTGCCTCAAACTTTACGGTGAAGTTCTCTGCACTTACGAGGATGACGATGGTCTCGAGTACACAGATCAAGCGGGCATCGTAGATATCATAAGCGATCTGCAATCATGGGGGAGGAGGGGGGCAGAGGCGTTGACAGTTTGCAGCGACGGAGTGATATGGAGGGTGGAGGGAGAGGCCGACCTGCCCACCAACAGTAGTTTTGATATCACATGGAGACTGGCTTAACAGTTTTTGTAGATGAAGGGGGTGGGGTTGCATGGGGGGGGGGGGGGGGTGTATTGTTCAAACTTTACATTGATAATGTTATTTTTTTAAAATAATTCAGCTTAAAAGAAATAATAAAGTTTAAAAATTGAAAACTTTAAACAATATTTATCTTAAAGTAGACGCAGTTTGAAAAAAAATATTAGTTTTTACATAACAGTTACATTTGTGTTCATTGTAAATGTTTTTCTATGTAATTAAATAATACTTTGTTATGAAATGAAATTGCACTAAATAAAATAGAAAAATGATATTGAATTATTTAATTCATTTAAACAGGTGTATTGGTTTAATGTATATATATATATATATATATATATATATATATATATATATATATATATATATATACATGACTGTGTGTGTATGTATGTGTGTTTCTAAAATAACATTATGAATGTATATTTTAAATAAAACCAATCAATTATTCATTAAACAACATTTTAATATAATTGCATAATTGCATATAATTTGCATTTGATCAACATGCTACATTATCAAAATAAAATACATTTATGAAGGTTGAGCCTGTTGTTTGTGTAATTGTATTATAGCTTAGAATGATAAAAGCACGTAATAGCTGAATAAAATAATAATAGTAATAGAGGTTTTTTTAAAAGTTAGTCTGATGAAGTACAGTTAGACATGGAAAACACTTTCTGAGTAATCACAATTGTGTTTTATTCAATCGCTGGAAATCATTACAAAAGCTTATATTGTGAAGCCTCGAATAGCTTTACTTGTTAGTTATTACTCACTTGAGGGAGTAAAGTATTTGTGTAGTATTGTGTCGCAGTGTTCATGTTAGTTTATGTTTTTAAAATGCTTTAAAAATATGTGTACATGCAAGTTTGCATTTAAAAACTTACCATCATATCAGCCATCACAACGAAAGGAAAATGTTTACCTCTAAATAATCCTTCATTGGAGGAGGTGTAACATAAACGTACGCAGTACAGGTTTTACAAAGTATACTAGACTCTCCAACAGATCTCAATATTTCCTACTACGAACTTATTGTGAAAGATTATAACTCAGGTCAAATAATTAGCAATACTTACCTGTTTGTTGGGAACTTTTTTATATAAAAAATGAATTCAAACTGTACGCCCTACACGTATGTGTATAGTACTTTGATAGGTTAAAAAGCAAACTATATATAGATCTAAATATATATATATATATATATATATATATATATATATATATATATATATATATATATATATATATATATATATATATATATATATATATATATATATATATATATCTATATATATCTATCTCTATATATCTCTCTCTCTCTCTCTCTCTCTCTCTCTCTATATATATATATATATATATATATATATATATATATATATATATATATATATATATATATATAGTGTACTTATAAATGTCTAAAACTAAAGCAGTTACCTTCCTTTGTAACTGGATTTATTATGCTCAGTACAAGCCAATCAGACACCGACATAAAAACTCGCTTTTAAATAATGATTTACTTGTGTCGACTTTTTTCAGTGGCTTAGATAAACGAGTAAGTATCGACATACGGTATCGCAGCAACGTCAATCGTCTCGATACTCTGATTAAAAATAGCCTACAACATTTTCTGAATCTTGTCATCTATATTTAGAAAGCAAACGAATTATGAACCACGTCAGAGTTTGTTACTGCCAAAATTAAATGGAAAAATAACGGGGAAAACTGACTGCATTTATTGTCAGCTTTCAGCAGTTAATGTGTTAACGGGAGTAAGACAGTTCTATTCGGACGCTAGAGTTAAAGACTGCTTAACAAATATTTGAGTTCCTAGTAAGGCTGTTCTGTTCGGACGCTAGAGTTGAAGAGTGCTCAAAACATATTTGAGTTCCTAGTAAAGCAAGTTCTATTTGGACGGTAGCGTTAAAAGGTGTTTACGAAATCTTTTCGCTCCTAGATAAACCCATAAAACGCAATGACGTCAATTAACCTAAAGCAGCTGTGTGCTACTTGGTTTCGAACCCAAACCAACAGCCGCGTTAACGGTGAGTTTAATAATGTACCTGTCATTTCAAAGATGGATATTAATGATTTCTGATTGTGTGATTCTGTTGATGAAGCGTCTGCTCGATGAATGTAGTTGTGTTAACTTGAACATGAAAAATCTTCGTCGAGGACCATTAAAATGTGGGGATTCATTTTAATCTGGCATTAAAGTACTTGAAGAGAGTGTTTGCGGAGTTCTTTAAACAATAACATTCGCCTTTATCTATTTTGTACTGGTCCTTTTTGCTCTCTCTCTCTCAGAAGGTTGACTTCCATTAGCCAGGCAGGCCTCAGTGCAGCAAACTCCAATTTGCTATGTGAAACAATCGTAAATTCTGGAAAGAAATACTATTTATTTGTTTGTTTTTTAATTATTTTCTTTACCACTGGTATCTAAAACTCAGCTTCTTTAAAAGTTAAAACAAAAATGGCTAATTTGCTGTATGACGCTATCTGTAATGTTTTCAAAAATTACAAATTTGTATAAAAAATGGTTGTCTATAACGTTAATGGCAGCACAAAACATCAACTTGGACAACCTGAAACTGACTGTTGTTAGACGCCCCGGCCCTCAGATTGTCATCTCTAATCCTCAGTGTGTACAGTATGGCAGAACTCACACGGTAAGTCATTAGCACAGTCAGGGGCATATAAAGGCAGAACTCACACGGTAAGTCATTAGCACAGTCAGGGGCATAGATGGGCAGAACTCACACGGTAAGTCATTAGCACAGTCAGGGGCATATAAAGGCAGAACTCACACGGTAAGTCATTAGCACAGTCAGGGGCATATAAAGGCAGAACTCACACTTAAGTCATTAGCACAGTCAGGGGCATATAAAGGCAGAACTCACACTTAAGTCATTAGCACAGTCAGGGGCATATAAAGGCAGAACTCACACTTAAGTCATTAGCACAGTCAGGGGCATATAAAGGCAGAACTCACACGGTAAGTAATTAGCACAGTCAGGGGCATATAAAGGCAGAACTCACACGGTAAGTCATTAGCACACCCAGGGGCATAGATGGGCAGAACTCACACTTAAGTCATTAGCACAGTGAGGGGCATATAAAGGCAGAACTCACACTTAAGTCATTAGCACAGTGAGGGGCATAAAAAGGCAGAACTCACACGGTAAGTCATTAGCACACCCAGGGGCATAGATGGGCAGAACTCACACTTAAGTCATTAGCACAGTGAGGGGCATATAAAGGCAGAACTCACACTTAAGTCATTAGCACAGTGAGGGGCATATAAAGGCAGAACTCACACGGTAAGTCATTAGCACACCCAGGGGCATAGATGGGCAGAACTAAACTTTCCTAGGGGTGGGGGGTAAACATTGGTAAAAGTATATATTTTCTGTAAAAATTCTATTTCGGTGCCCTATCCTCTTAACCCCTTAACCCCCCCCCCCCCCCCCTCCTCCAAGGGAAGCCTGAAAGAAACACTGTATCCAACCAACAGGTTAGGATAGGATACGGTGAAGACGTTGATGACACATTTAGCGGTGTCAGAGTCGAACCGCAAGTCAGCAATAAAGAAATCCTGACGATAACAAGTGGATTAATTCAAGGTGGGAAGTTTTCATTTAATTTAAAATTAGTGAGAATTTGTAACAACATCTTGTATTAATTTTTTGTTGTTCTTCTTCTTATTTGATCTAAATTATAATGTTGAATGGGATTTCCTCCATTACAATTAAGTTTTAAGTGTCCGAATGCTGTGCTTCATACTTTTTCTATTTGCCCCACACCCCAGCCCCCAAGGATATCTAACGCCCCTCCCATAGAAAATATATACTTTAACCGGTGTTCACCCCTCCCTCTAATTATAACTCTCTATCCTCCCTCCCCCCTCCCAGGAGAAAAATGTCTTAAAGAAACATTGACCCCTATGACACTTTAACTCGGATTTCCGCGTTTTTTTTTTCTTCTGTATTTGCTTTCATAGAACAAATTACAAGGCGTCAGTTGTTTTATTTTAGAGTTTTCTCCCTCAGATGGGTAGCTGTTCCCAGCTAACGAGATTCATCTGCGTGTCGATTAGAATTCGAGACTTTAGTTAGCAAACGTACGCTCTCCCGATCAATTCATAACATTTTTGCTGTTCAATGCGTTCATTGTTTAAAGTTTTATTTCTATTCGACAGTCGCGCAAAATTTAATTATTCGCTGTCATTAAACCATGCACTAGTTAAGTGTTGTGTCTGGTGGCTTAGGAAGATATAAACTCTTCTTTAGTTTTTGTCATTCATTGTCAAGTGCACCATAAATGAAACTTTATTTAAAACCTGGTGATAAAATATTACCTTAAATTGGTATAAAACTGTCCACAGGTGTAAATAAAGGCGTGACCGTGCAGGTAGCTGAAGGGAAGTCAATTGTAATCAACCCATGTCAACAGAGGGTGGTATCGCAAGTAAAAGGGGGAAGGGCACCCGCTTTTGAAAAAAGGCCCAAAAACTGGATGTGGCCAGACACAAAATCACCAGTGGCCACCATTACATCATCTTCTGATAGCTATTACACATGTAAGGAGACGAAATTTAATTACTGTAGTTCGGGGGCGTAGCTGGGGGGGGGGTGCAAATCAAAAGTTTGAGGGGGGGTGCAAATCGAAAGTTTGAGGGGGGGTGCAAATCAAAAGTTTGAGGGGGGGGGGGGGGTGCAAATCAAAAGTTTGAGGGGGGGGGGTGCAAATCAAAAGTTTGAGGGGGGGGTGCAAATCAAAAGTTTGAGGGGGGGGGGGGTGCAAATCGGAAATTTGAAAGTTTGTCCCCGAGAAGGGTCACTACGCTTCTGGGGGGTGACACCATTAAGTGCCCCACCGGGTGACACCCGACCTCGCTACGTCACTGCTGTAGTTACTAAAGTTAATTTTTTTCAAAATAAAAAAAAAATATTTTGTACTGCTTAAGCCCATGAGACTATGCATATTACTATAAAACATATAAGATAATGTTATTTTTACGTATACTTTTGTATTTTCGTACATTTCTCTAAAGTCTCTTTATCTAACAAAATCTTGAAATTCTATCTTCCGATATTTTATCAACCACTAGCTAAATTGCGTGGCTAATGAGAATACAGGAAGGGGGGGGGGGGGGCATTTGCTCCGGGTATCGTCTATATATATAATTTTCTTCTTGGATACCATAAAAACACCAAGCTGTAAGCGAGCCTAGCAGGCCCCTCTCTTCCTCTCTAGGCATATCGCTACCACCCCCACTCCCACATGGTCTGATGAGCTGTAGTTCACGCTAAATATTTACAATCGTAGAGCCGCGTCTAGTGACAGCTATTAGGGGCCGATAATTTAGTTTGAAACTATATTAAACTTAGGGGAGCTAACTAAGAGGAGGCTGCTTTCACTGGGGGGGGGAGGGGTTGGGGGAAAGAAGGGGGGGGGGGTTATCGTCCTTAACGAACTTCTGAAAGTTTTTTAAAGCAAATATTTTCAGTGGCAGCAGTCGTACTGTCGAATTCACAAATTATGAATTACTGAAAAGTAGAAAAGAAAACAACAATATAGCGGTATATGATACGCCGCGGGTCGGCTCGTATATTTTAATAGCTATATAAAAACAAACGCCATTTAAATATTTTGTGTATCAAAAAGGCAACAGAACAAAGCCCCACCCCCCTCTAAGCTGGTAACCGAGAGAATGCGCTACGCCTTTGCGGCAATGAAATGTACGTCATCACCGCCCATCTTCTCCGCAGGTCGCTTCACCTGTTGTCTACGTCTGTCCGGCCAGGTGTTGTACGGCTGGCCAGTTGATCAGGTAAACATCATTCAGATCGTCAGGGATCGCCAGGCAGCTAACGACCCCAACGCCGTGATGTTCAGCGTGGACAGCACCGGGATCACCTGGAGGGTCGAGGGTCACCTGCAGATCCCAGGGGCGGGGAGCTATGACGTGCAGTGGAGTTAAGAACAACCAAACGCCAGTGTTATGAGAATCTACATTTCAAACTGTTACAAAAAAAATCCATTTTTTTTTCACTACAATCACAGATTGAAATTGTTTTAAATAAAATGAAACAAAACAAATTGTGAAACATTAAAATTGTAAATACAATGTCTTATTCTTATTTTTTTAAATAAGTGTTACAGTAGCGCCCTGCGGGTAAGCAACTAAAAATAAAACTTGCCACGCAAAGATCGTATTGGAATTTGCTACTTCGTGATCCTGACGAACCGCGGTATCGATACCTAGTTTCGTATTGGTGCTGAACAGAGTAGTCGTTTCTGCAATGACGTGTTGGGGTTTGTTTGTTAGTTACTGACGTAAAAAAACTATGTTAGATGTTTAAAGAATCGGGGAATTCTTATAATTAAATATATCTTTTTCGAAGTAAAATAGAAACAGTGAACAGTTTTTGTTTTCCGAAATAAAAGCTATTTAAAGTTGTTTTTATTTATACAGTGATTGTGATATTCCCAATCCAAAAATAAAATTCCCTGAGCCTAAAGTAGGCAAAAAATAACCATCGTGGCAGAAGATTTCCCATAGTAGCTTTGTGTTTGATTCTCGTTGGCAACTTCATTTACCTGATAGATTATCGCGCGAGTGTTGGGTATTTATTAAAAGGTAAGGTGTTCTAATTGTTAAAAAAATATAGCTAGTGGCTAAACACTGTTCTCGATTAATTTAACCATTATTATTAATTATGACATTTTTAGTTGTAAACCTTGTGAAATGTTAGAAAATGATTTCTTGGCATTGAACTGCAAACATTGGTGTTAAAATTACTTAAACACAAGCCAAGTTTTCTGAAATAACCGCTCACATAAATCCCCCTACTTATAAAAAATAATTACCCTTCATTTAAATGGTTGAAATAAGAATGTGAATCTACGCTTCAGTAATTCAAATAAAGTCAAACGTGAAGTAGTAGAAAGAGGTGTTTGGTTTTATTTTGAAAACAAAACTATAGTATTTACCACACTGGTCTTCAATGATATCAGAAGCCATTTAGCATTAAGAACTATGTCTCTTATACTACACGTTTATGTATCCAGACTTTTTTATTCATTCATAGAAGCTTGAGATTGCTCTTAATCCCCCCCCCCCATCACCACTTACTGATACATACACACCTGCATTTAGTCAGGATCAGAACTGCCTGTTCTGAAAACCGGTATGTCAATAGTTTTCGCAGCTCTTTTGACCTGAAGCAGTGCCACTTTTTTGTTGAATTTAGTTAAAGTTCAGAACGGTAGATTCTCAGAGTGCAGGCCACCTCAACACATTGGACATAGAGGCCTATTTGTTTAATGTCACATTTGAAAAAAAAATGAACAAATCATTTGTACAGAAAAAAAGTTGGAAAACAATATCAAACACAAACACCGCAGTTTTGGAATTCTACTATTTTATTTACTTTGTTTAATGAAGTATCACTATTTCTTGTAAAATGTAATATATTTATAGAAATGTTCTTCAGGTTCGATCATGTCAACAAATATCTTAGAAATGTGCCGTCAGTGGTATTACAATCTTCCTGAAATAAAGGGATCATGGTTTGCTGGTAACATTTTTTTCCGATTCATTTGAATCTTCTTTATATTCTAATATAACTGTAGAATCAGCGGTCACCATATTATCGAGGGTATAGAGGACAAACGCAATAAGTCCAAAAAAACATAATCTCGAGATAAATTAGTTTATAAATATTCAAATATGAAAATACTGCAAAATATTGTGTTTAAACATTCATAAAATATTAGCATTTTACTATTTTAACATTGTACATGAGTGTTCTTGTAGCTTGTATTATTGACAGTGTCAGTATAAATGTACATCGATTTCTCAAAAAAAGGGGACATACTGCATTTGTCCTCTAGACTCTCGTTATGTTCATTGTAATGTTAATTACACACATTTATTGATGTTTCCGATATAGCAATATTAGACTAAGTGTTTTAAAACCCAAAAGAAGAAAAAATAAAAGAAAATAGTTTTCTAAAAGCCATAAGTAGATATACTAAAAGAAAAAATAGTTTTCTAAAAGCCATAAGTAGATATTTTAAAAGAAAAAAGATTTCTGAAAGGTAAAAGCGTATCGCATCACAGGAACCGGACAAGACAGGATCCAGATCTACCTTCCCAACAACATCGATTCACTGATGTTTCCTACCATCTGAGGTGTAACCACTCCCAGTTACATGTACTCAATTTGAAGCCTTTTTAATAGTATACTGTAGAAGCTGAAGCACGGAAATGCAGATCTCTGACCCCGAAGTTTTTCTTGACAATGATTATTTTCTGTTTAAACTAGTCTAAAATAAAAAGTCATGTCTAATGTCGTTTAAAATAAATTCAGTCTAATAAATTGACTCAATAATCCTTCTATTACCAGCGGCCACTGAGATTAATTTAGACAACTTACGGGTGAGTCTGGGGACGACACCAAAATGGATACCATCAGCACCACGAAGCCACTTAAACCAAAGCTCAACAAGATCGGTTTGTGCCATAACAGCTTTTGAAACATTTCTTGATGTACACCATTTAACTCATAAGATAATCCATTACACATACATTATACCGATTATTGAGTTTCCATTTCTTGACTTTAAATCGCATGTATTAACAGTAAATATAAGCCCAATACTAGATTATATATATATATATATATATATATATATATATATATATATATATATATATATATATATATATATATATATATATATATTCAATGTTGAAAGCATGTTTACTTACATCACTAAAACAAACCAGCTGTCTGTTAGCTATGGGGACTACACCGGACTAACAAGTGAGATTGTTGTTGAAAAAAATGTGGATGTTACTGAAAAGGTTACCCTTACTAGAGGAAATATTGGTAATTATCGCATTTAAGAGTTTAGATCTACTTGCTACTTTTATCAGCGCGTTAGAGATTGGACACATCCCCTTACATTGTAACAACCGATTTTTTAGTGATCGAGGTTTATAACGACTCTAAAAGTCATTTTCATTTAAAACGTTTGCTTTTTATGTAAACTCTGAGCTTCTTACATCTGAATGTCACTTGTGAATGTTCAGGGCTGCAGAAAACTCTACGCTTGACTCTCCCAACAAGTTATAAGACAATTGATGTTCACCTCTCTGATCAAAGAAGATCTTATTCAGCTGTAGGACTTCAAAGGGCCACGCCAGTGAGCAGCAAATGTAATAACAGACAACAGGCTACAGCAACAATCACCTCACCAGAATCTTGCTACATTGGTAAGAACACTGAATTAGTGTACCAGGGATCATATGTGCATTTCTTTTTGTTGGTATGCATTTAAACAAAATATATATAAACATATGTACAAACACACACACACACACACACATATATATATATATATATATATATATATATATATATATATATATATGTAGCTAGGGTGGGCCTAACTACTAGTTACAAATCTGATAACGAACGAGAAGCCGAGACGCAGTATTGCAGTCTGACGCAACCGATAGCAGGTGGCTTATTGAAGTCGGACTGATAACAATCTCAAAGCCAACGCGTGCTATTTTGGGAAACGGTACGAAGAGAGTTAGAAGGCCTGTCAACTTTGATTGATAGGATGCAGATGTTATTTCACGGACTGTACGCTAGAACTGCGTAACTAGTGGTCGGAGACATCGAGTACAAGTATCGATTACGGAGGAATACAAGTATGCAGACGAGTACGGATACAAGGGATAAATAGGAGGGGACGGCAGAACTCGTTCTCTTTCCGTTTCATCGCTTGCTTTAGATCAGTCAGTCTGTGTGACATACTCAAGTTGGTTATATTGTGTTAAGAAGGACAATAGACATGTGGATTCAGTTATATGAAGCCTAGTGAGGACTGTTAGGGGGTCAGTTGATTCAGACTATTATTGTGAAACATTTCTGTTGATTCATTGTGTTATATTGAAGCATTTCTTGATTCATGTAATAAAAGGATCAATAGCGAACCTGCATCTTCGAGTCTTTCTACTGTAGTCGATGTTGTGTAGCATGAGTGGTTTAACTCGTTACAATTGGCGTTGTCGGGCAGGATAGACTCGGGGTAGGTCACATTTGGCGTTGCGAACAGGAAAGATGCAACTAGCCTAGGTCACATATATATATATATATAATATATATATATATATATATATATATATAATGTGTAACATGAATGCATCTTTCTCCAATGCTTGTTAGCCTATCATTTATTTTTTAAATTCTTTTTTTTTTTAATTTCAAATATTATTTGTTGAGATTGTATTTCTTAGAAAAAAGTTTGTTAAAATTTACGGACTTTGAAAGAAGAAGCAACAGTTCTGTTTTCGTTGAAAGTCATAGATCGTCGTAGTATGTAGTAATACTAGCATCGTTGTAATCCATAGGTCGATTTACTTGCTGTCTACGGTTGTCTGGAGAGGTAGTGATCACGTCTAGAAGTGGAGTTCACCAATCGTGCATCGGAGAAATTATACGGCAGCTACAGGCTGATAACAACTCACTTGCCAGTATGTTTACTGTCTGTGGAAAAGACGCAGTTTGGAGAGTGGAAGGCGAGGTGGAGAAACGATGGCACGATGACCACAAAGTGTCATGGGCTTAAATTTGCAATATTTTTTAAATTAGTTTGATATTATGTACCGTTTTTGATATTATATGATTTATATGTTAACGTTATAATTTAGTGCTTTAGAATATTTTTGAGACGTATGCTTATTTTAATTAAAACATGGGTCTTAAAATTATTAAGATCTTTTAAAAAATTGTTTAATATTTTTTTCAAATATATTTGTGGTTTATAGCAGCAAACTAATATAAAACAGTAAAAATACATATATTTTAATATTCTAATATTTTCTACTGACACATATACTGAAGCTATGAAATATTTAGTCTTCATTTGATGCATTTGACAGTAATCTAACCCTAAATCACAATTTAGAATAAACAAGTGACCGTGATTTTGATGTTTAAGATTAGAAAAAGTTATGTACTTTTATTTGCTTTTTTTTTAATTTTCAAAATTGAGAAAAGATGTTTTCTGTTCAATAACTTATACTGTGTAAATGCGATAGGTTTTTATTTATAACTAAGAGTATTTTAAAATGTGTTTTTTTTAAAAAGTGTTTATTTTAAATATACGAGTTGATAAATATTAATACTAAATGAAAAATATACGCAAACTTTTTATGTACTAAATAGTATAGTGAACGCATACACTGCCTTCATTTAGTAAAAAGAAAAATTAGAAACTTTTGCTTATAAAGTCCCAAAAGGTCATCAACTAACAGTTAAAGTTAAATTCATGTGGCCATCATGTGTATAGCAATATGATTTATATCTACATAAATGAAAAACAGTATTTAACAGAAAACAGTATTTTTTTTCATTTTTTTATACTTTACATTACTACACACTATCAATGATAAAAATGTTTTCAAAATTATTTTGTGTCCTTTGACAAATTTCTAGGCTTAAGTAAATTAGAATCTCATGCTAACTCTTACTAGCATCCCACTCGACTAATTTTTTATTTGACAATGTTCTATATCATTCTTAAAAGTCATTGTTATTTTCTTAATCATCAAAACATAATATATGGGCCTACACACTATAAAACCAAATATATTTGAGCTAGTATTCTTATTGAATGTGTCTTTTTTGCTTAGGGTACTCATTATCGATATGACACTGAAATTCGCACCATGACACAGAACAACGACCAACACCTCAATGAAATTGCTGAATAAATGTCTCGTACTTAAATCATTCCATTAAAACAATTATTTTGAAAAACTATGTGTATGATTTTGTGTTCTGATTTTGTGTTTGCTTTTGTGTATGATTTTTGTATGTTTTGGTGTATGTGTGTTGTGTATAACAGTGTTTGAATCGTCTAATATGTGTTTAGTTAAACACACAATAAGTGGTTCAACTTTTGATACCAATATCATCACCTAGAGAATACTGAAGTCCAAGCAAAACGATAACCATCGACATAATTCTAAAGCATGTATTACTAGAAAAACAAATAAAACCAAAATAATTATATATCAGAAAAAATGTATTATTAACAACAAAATTAACTTATGATAATTTTCAATTCAGTCTCAACGGCAGTGACAAAAAAAAAAATGGATCACTCACAAAATTATTTTTTCTTAATTTTTTTTGAACGGTAAATATATTAACGAATAAAATAAATGGTTATCTCCCTTTGGCCTCAATTTTTTTTTTTCGTTTTAGTTGAGATAATGTTACAGGGGAACTAGCTTCGGAGTGCTGGGAGACATTGTTTTAATAAAAAAAGACATTGAAGTAAAAAAAAAAAGAAATGTAGAAACGAGACATCTAAAACTCCACCGTTTCATGTTAAAACAAGTCTAGGCCTAACTGTGCGAATTTCAGACAAGTGGGTATTTATTTTACAATTTTTTTTTAAAATTGTAAAGTTTTTATGGATGTGAGTAATTTTCTATTGAATATATGAATATGCCAGTATAGATGAGTATACAATTGTTCTAAATTAATAAGTTGGGCATTTATTTAACCAAAGTAATTCCTTTTCAACATAGATAACTTACCAAGAGAATGAGATAAAATATTTTTGAAAACGTTAATATCTAAATACCACAATATTTTATGCCAATAAATGGGTGTGATATTTTATTTAACCCATTTGAAAAAAAAAAAGTATATATTGTAATGAAATGATTTGAAATGCCAATCATTTCAATGAAAATTAATATTATAATTTAAAGTGTTTAGGCTAATGTGTCTTCATAGTAACTAAATAATTATAAAAATGTTGCATTCAGTTAGTTTTAATGAAGATCTTCACATGAAAAATAACATTTATAACAAGGCTAAAATATATTTTGTATTTGTAAATGACATACGTGTTTTTTAATTATGCTTTGGTGAAGAAAAAAATCAAATCACATAGGCCTATACTAGCCAAAAGACCTAATGTAAAACATTTACCCTTCGCCTAATAAAACAAAAATATTTTTAACAAACTATCTGTTTATTCTAAAACAAGCTCAAACTCAAACTCAATATTAATCGCATCTTAAAGACGATATAAACATGTTAAATATAACATTAACGACTACATCGGATATCGGTTTTATGTTTTCCTAACTAAATAATCAGCCAAAGTACGAAGTGCTAGTTTACTTCCTATTATTTACCATGTACTGACTACTGGTCAGCAGATTACTAATTTAGATCTGATAGCTGCCAGATTGGTTCTGTAGTGGCCGTGTCTTTTCTTACCGGCCCCTTCACCGTGTTGGTCAGTTGGATTGGTCAGTACCTGAGTCAGTGGGCGTGGCTTTACACTCAGTGGTCAGTACACCTAGTCTAAATTTAGAATATGTTCAATTTGTTAAAAAAAATATCGGCCACGAAAAAGTTCAAACTTTAAAGCAGATTCTAATTCAATTTAATTCATTTATATTTTTTTAAAGAACAAAAATCAATAGGTTGGTTTTCTTCTAACACTAATTATACCTCATTTGAATATAAGTACCTCATTAAGCTTACTTAATTAAAATAAGGCCTATCCTTCAGTCAGTTTAAAAAAAAATGTAGTAGACTTACTGTTTATAAATATATAGATTACCTTATCTATAATAAACAATACTATCTACAAAACAGCGATGTATGTTTGAAATTCAAACTCAAACCTATATCACAACGTAGAAAGTATTTTACTAAAAGCAGGTAATTAGTCTGTAAAGAATCAGTTGTATATAAATATACTATAAACTGATTAAAGTATAAGAATATCTTACAAACTAGTCTATATTTTAAACTGAGATATTGCTTTGGTTCATTAGTTAAAAAATATGCGAATGTATGAAATAGTCGATACCGCCCAACTACAACATTACTTGTGTGGGAAACTCCACAAATTAATCACAATATGTTTACATTACTATTTAAATATATCATGACTAAACGTGATTATTTTATAAACACAAGCTAACTTTGCTTTCGGGGTGAAATAAAAATTACGTGTTCAATTTACCAAAAGTCAGTTTGTCACCGCTAAAAATAGCTCGCTACCTTCCCGTTTTGATACTAAAATAACTAAGAGCGCCATGCAGTGTCGGTCCGTCTATAAAACGCCGGCATTCGTTCGATCGCTGTCATTCATTACCTTACAACGGTGAAATCCTTCATCCTTGTGTTTAAATTATTTTGAAAATAATTAATTTTTTTTTCTATTTACGAGGTAAAGTATTTTATTTTTTTATACTGCATTGCCAAAAAAGTAAACTACTAATTTAATGAAGACACAGTATGTGTAATGATTTCATTTTATTTTATTAAAATAGTAGATTTAGACCTATTAATTTTATTTTAAAATTAATTTAAAGTATCAGAAATTTTTTTTTTATAATTAAACTGTCTTAAATCATTGAACCAGTTACAACTAAATTCATCAGATAGTGATATTTAACCTTAGGGCTAAAAATGAAATTATTTGTTTACATGGTCTGAGCTATTAAGTAATATCATTGCTAGACCTAGATCTAGAACTAGATAATTATATTTTAATGTTTTTCGACATTTAAAACATTCTATTTTTAAAATGATGTAAGTGATTTTACTTTACATTATTCAGAATGTTTCCTATATTCATTTCTGTTTTTGATTTTTCAGAATAAAAATCAATCTACGTTATTAAACAACCAAGTGTACCCGTTTGTCTAAATCAGAACTTTATTAGACATGGCAAAAGTCGACCTGTATGATGCGTGCATTAAGTGTTTTGGGTGTTCTCAAGGTAGATAACTGGATATATAACTAGTTTAAAAGCTGTGTAAAAGGTCTCTGGTCTTGAAGAAATTTTAGTACTGAAATCAGGCTGAAATCAAAGGGCCTATAGGGCATATAGCATGTTGACATGTAATACTTAATTGTGTTTGAAGGATCCCGTCCAACATGACATTGAGAACGAAGAAGAATAAAAAATAAATAAATAATTAAAGCTGTTTTTTTTTATTATCATACGTTTGTTTTACCTGTACTTTACTTTTCATCCTACATATTTTTGATTCTTTAAGGTCATCTAAACTTACACAAAATACAACATGAGATATCCGATATAGTTTGGGAAGATCAAAGTTTCACAGTCGACTCACACAGAGGAGCCACAAGAAAAGTGAGTTACTTCCCTTGATTTAAAAAAAAAATCAACTATAAAGTTAACTGTTACTAAAGTATAAGACAGCGCAATGGATCTGAATTAATTTTTATAACAGCTCAATGTGAACTACCAACCACACCAGAAAGAGCTGTACAGCGATGTCGAGACTACTAAGGAGTCTGAAATTATCACAAGTGTCAACATAGCCACTGGTGTTGTCATAGGTAAGCCTGCGTTTAATCCAGCTGTTTGATAAGTAGAATGATCCATCCATTGTGTACAAACTAAATAGTATCTCATTATATATTTAGCAGGGGTTCACACACAAAAATTACACAAAAAACAAAATCATCCATATTAGTATATACATATACATCTATATGTATGTAGATACATAAATAAATATATATAGCCCTATATATATATATATATATATATATATATATATATATATATATATATATATATATATATATATATATATATATTCTTTTTGTAACGTGTGGTCAACACTATGCTCACGCCTTTACTTTCCCTAACGTGAGTTAGGTACCCATCAGAGTTGGGTGGACTCAGGGACGGTCTCTTGACTTGAACCCGGATTCGAACTCGAGACTTACGGGTTGGCAGTCCAGCTCTCTACCGCTAGAGCATTTGTAATAGTAAAATAAATTGCCATCTATTAATGCAATTCTGAATTTCTCTAACTAGTAGGGTTGATTGTGTTAGGCATATTACATAAATATAAAGGAAACATTAATTTCAATATTTGTTCTGGTAGTTCAATAACAGTTTCCAGGAAAAAACAGAGCAATTCTTAGCTAACATTTGTTCTGGGCATAACACAACTTATCCACCAACAGGCACCAACAGGAAGATGAGACTCTCACTGGTAGACGCCCCTGAGCCCGTCAGAAACGCCATCGGAATGTTTCTAGACATCGACCCCAGCAAACAGTATTCAGAGAAATCAGACACGATTAAAGTGACCCTGGGTAGCGCCCATAAGATGACGTCACCTAACGGTGTAGGTACAAGCGCTCAAGCTACAGTGACAGTGAAAGAAGACAGATACAGTTGTAAGTCATTGATTGTAAAATATATATATGTATATATATATATATATATATATATATATATATATATATATATATATATATATATATATATATATATATATATATATATATATATATATATATATGTATGTATATATATATATATATATATATATATATAATTTTTTTTTTTTAGTTTTCACAAACAACATAGAATTATCTAACAACGATGATAAATTCTAACCATGATGAAATTTAGATGTCAATGATAATTTCTAAAACAGTTTTTTTTTGTTTGCTTGGGATACAGCTTTAAATGTTTGGATGGAATTAACATCAGGTTTAGTTTTAAAATATATTAAAATTACTGTTAAAAAAAGGAAAGTTCATCGTGGAGCCGTTTCACACTCGTAATGACGCCATTACGTCTAGTGTAACATGGTGCGGTTAGTGAGGGTGTCATCCAACCCCTTCTTCAACTCCACCAATTTTGCATTTGCGGTTTGGTGTCCCCCTTCTCTCCCAAATTTTTCATTATTCAACTTGAATAAATCATGGTTTTGTCAATAAATTATATTGGCTTTCAATTCGGTATCAACCCCTTAAATGAAGTCTCCAGTCGGAGACCGCACCATAGCCACCGCCTTGTAGAATGCATACTTGCTATCGGAAATTTCGTGATTTTGGAAGCTCCGGTTTGAGGCTATGTCTGCCCCCAACCGAACTCACATGTGGAGAAAGAAAATTTCCGGATATTGCATCTTGTGACATAGGTGTGAGAATGTTTGAATCTACATTTATAATAATGTTTGCCTGATTAAAACCATAGCTGGAATACGTTATGACCGTGCATGAAAGAAAGTGTATTCCAATTAACTGCAGTTCCTTGAAAATTATTTTCCATAGGTAATTTCTCCTGCACGATAAAATTGTCAGGAGATGCTATATGTAATCGCAACGGTGGATCGGAACAGCAAGATATTGCACAGATCTTTTCGGATTTGAAAGAAAAAAGTCCCAAAGAATATTCGCATATTACCGTCAATACGGAAACCCAAATCCAAGGTGAAAAACCTGTCTCTGTAAGCTTCACCATGTCTGGACAGTGTCAGTTTAGTGGACAGTTTGAGCAGACGATTGATTGGAATTAAACACGTTTTGGTTGAATTCCTGAAATAACAGCAACTCAAGCATCAGGAAATACTCGAACATTCCAAAGTCAAAACTGAGATTATTGTTTGATATATGAAATTATCTATTACATCATTCAGGAAAAATAAAATCCCGGATTGTTATATTTTTTTCGGAAATAGGTGCTATACCGAACGATTTTTTTTTTGTTTTTTTTTTTGTTTTTATTTCACATTCAGATCATTAAGTAAGAATTTTGTACAAAGCCCCTTTTTTATATCTGTAGAAACTGTTTAATGTACAGCTGATTGTTGAATTAGACTTTTGTGTATTTTTTTTTTTTTTTTTTTCTTTGTATAGTTTACATATAGTATACATTTTACATATCTTTTACCCTGCAAGAGTTGTAAGTTAAATATAAATTTAATATTAAAGAATACTTTTTTACTTTCTCGTATATACGAAGTATAGAGAAAGTATTGTAATCGTGCACAAAAATCACTTAAAATTTTAACAATTATCACCTGATTACACCTCAGTCCTTCATCACATCCGAAGTATAGAAGACTTATTTTAATCGGGCAAAAATTATCAATCCAGATTTATCAAAATTAAGAGGTTTTATGCGTAATCCAGTCTGAAAAACTGGGCTTTGCAATTCTGTCCGTATGTCTGTGTGTCTGTGTGTCTGTCCGTGTGTAAACACGATAACTTAAGTACCGTTACAGCTAGGTTGATGAAATTTCATATATAAGTATTATATCAAAATCGTAGATCCGTATCAACTTTTAAGCGATTTCCGATTACTGGAAGTGGTATTTTTTCAACTTTGAATTTTTCAAAAGCTTATACCTTGAGTACTATTTCAGATAGATAAATGAAATTTCACATGTAAGTATTAGATATAATTCGCTACCTTCTGTTAAATTTTGAGTAATTTCCGTTGACCAGAAGTAGTAATTTATGCTACTTTCGATTTCTCAAAAAACTTATGTAAATTTTTAAAGTACTAATAATATTGCGCACTATTATGCACTTTTCTATTTGACGTTCACTTGGTGTGCAATGCTTTTGTCTACCAGATTTTATTCTATTTTTAAAACTTTAAGTATTTAAAAATCGATTAAAAATCATGTATATAGCCCGAGTCCCCATCCCCTGTTGTTTTATCTAAGAATATTCGAGAAAGTTTAGGGGAGATCACTCCCGGTTTATTTAAACATGCTTTCTTTTAAATTTTTTCATTCTGCATTTTCTAATATGAATATGTCATGATGCCATAGACGTACTTATAAACATCTGAATGCCCATTAATTATATTTTAGTTACATCAATATGTTAATTAAAATGTATTTTAAATTACAAATATGCTTCAACATAAATTTTAAAAATCTTTTAAAAAGTAAGTAATTGTATTTGTATAATTAATTAAATGCATCATGTGTATCTGTATATAAACTTTTGTTTGCAAAATGTAGGCTTACTATATGCATTAATTTGAAACAGTATTCTCAATTTTTTACTATATTTTTTTTTCATTATTAAAAACCTATGATAAGGTGAATTATTTATGTGATTTCTGTTTATTTATTATGACACATTGGTTAGAGTACATATGATAATTATACCAAGGACTTTGTATTTTTGTGTGATTTCTTTTGAGTGTTTATATATATATATATATATATATATATATATATATATATATATAGTGATAACGCTCCTTTGTGAAGGGTGGGTGAGGTGGAGAAACGAAGGCACCCTGACCGCACATTATATTGGACTTAAACGTGTGATAAAATATATTGTATTGTATTAATATGTGCCATATATGATATTAAATAATTATTTTATGAGTAGTTATTTTTATATGGTAGAATATTTTCGAGATCAAGATCAATTTATCTCCCGATTTTCTGTTCATGTTTTTATGTTTAAAAAAAATAAATGTTTTTTTTTTCATTTTTTAAAAATTGAGATAATTGTGTTTTTAAAACGAACTTGTTTAGAAAAGTAAAATATATATTAATAGGTTTATATATATTTTCTGCTATTCGAATAAATTGTAGGCTAATGCCACATGGTCTTAAACTCCACAATATTTAATCTACATGAGATGCTTAGGCAATGTGTAAATCTTAACTTAGTCAAAAGCTAGCATTTGAAAATGTTAATTATTATTGAATCAATTTATTATATAATCTAGGTATATGATATATTTTCACAAATTAATTAAATAGTTTTTTTTTTGTTTTACATTTATTTAATTGTATAATGCACATTATCATTGATGAAAAGATTTTCAAAATGAGATACATATATTCATTCTAGTTTCTATAACCCTTTTCAAACATGATGGGGATTTTGTTTTCTTTTTATATTGCTCAATTTTTAAAGTTATTTTTCTTTATTGTATCAATTCTCGAAACCTACATAATATAGTGAGCATACAATGGCAGCACACGTCAGAACAACCAACACCACCCCACAGCTTCTACATAATGTATGAAACAAGATTAGCACACATTTAATGGAATTAATGGCATTCGATATTATATTTCGTACCTTTAAAACATTTTAAATGGTATCAAAACTATTGTTCTTAAGTTCTAAACGGAAATTAAAGAATTTATATAATTATGTGCTTTTTATATATAATTGTGTGTATTTTGTGTATGCTTTTGTGTAATTTGTGTATGCTTTTGTGTATTTTATGTATGCTTGTGTGTATTTTGTGTGTAATTTTGTGTATTACGTCTATGGGTTTGTGCCAAAGGAAAAAGTATTGTATAACAGAGCGTGAGTTTTCTAGAACGTGTGAAGTTAAATCCATGCGAGATGTTTCATCTTTTGATGCTAACAGGATCCTCTTTAAACTACTGAAGCCTAGAGCATACAATAACCATTGACTTAATTCCAGAAATGTATTAACATGGAACAATTATTATTACCAAAAGCTTTATATATTCACTCGTGTGTATCTTTAACACCAAACTTAGCTGAAGTCCTGGATACTAAGCCTAGCATCAGTTTCATCGGCCTTAAATACAAAAACATAAACCCATCACCGAACTGTAGGCTACATTGCTTCTTACGGAACCAGAACTTGATTTTAAACAATTGAAGAAAATAGTTATCTCCCTTGTATTATTTACACTTTAATTTTCTGTTTTCCTGAAGAGTTTAACTTCATTTGTCATGGGATAGTCTTAGACAAAGTAGGCTTGCAGTATATACATATTATTTACTGAGCATCACATATTTTGTAAACTTACACAATTTTGGATGTACAGTACTCCTGATCATCTTTTGGATGAACATGTTTCAGGGTGCTGTAAAATATTGTTTTAATACATAACGCCCAGGACTAAAAATTTGGCTTTTACTGAAATTGGCCATTCATTCCACACATTTGGGGTCTGCGGTGAAGCTCATGGTCGCCAAACCGAAAAGTCTCGAGTTCGAACCCTCGGGCAGATGAGGCTCGACATCTGGGGACAGCAACTCTTCTAAGAGAGATAACTCCAAAATTAAAGGTTAAGGAAGCAAATCCAAAAAGAAAAACAGGCTGAAATCGCAGTCAATGGCCTCAATGGCGCATGACCAGTTGACACGTATACTTAATTGTGTTGGATGGGATCCTTTCCGACATTAAAAATAAGAACGAAGAAGATGAAGAAGGTACTCATTAAATCTGGGTGGGCTCAGGTACATCCAAAATCGAGACTTTCTCGTTAGCAGTCGTGAGCTCTACTATCCAACCAAGCCATCATATAAATATAACCATATACCACAACAATAATACAATGTGATCCATCACAACATGCCATTTGAACAAGCGACAGGTCAATCTACTAAAGCATGAAAAAGATCCTATGTTGTCTGTAGTATATTCAGGGGCGTAGCGAGGGGTGCGGACCGCACCGGGTGACATCATTTAGGGGGGTGACACCAAGGCAAAAAATAGCAAAATATATAGAGAACAACTTGAGGGGTGGGGGGTGCAAATCGAAAGTTTGAGGGGGGGGTGCAAATCGAAAACTTGAGGGGGGTGCAAATCGAAAGTTTGAGGGGGGAGGAGGTGCAAATCGAAAGTTTGAAAGTTTGTCCCTGTGAAGGGTCTCTATGCCTCTGGGGGGGGGGGGGGGGGGGTAACACCATTAAGTGCCGCACCGGGTGACACCCGACCTCGCTACGCCACTGAGTATATTTACAGCAACTATTGCTCAATTGCAGAAATATGTTAACCATACATCACACACCCACAAATACTTAGATACTATAAGTATATATATATATATATATATATATATATATATATATATATATATATATATATATATATATATATATATATGTATATATATATATATATATATATATATATATATATATATATATATATATATATATATATATATATATATATATATATATAATAAATCTTGAGTTTAAGAGGTATTCTATCTATTTTATCTAGTATCGAAAAACTGTTAAGCATAGAAATCAAACTTGAACACACGTTAAAAAACGTTCTTTCTAAAATAGGTAAATTTATAATATTATCTAGATTTGTTGCCAGAAATATCTGACATCAGGAATTATTTATAGATAACGATATTTTGAAAAGTTTACACCACCAGGTTGAGAAATTCCCCATCGGCCGTCTGCCACGTAACATGGGGCTACAGCTGTCTATAAAGCCTTCGAGCTAGTATTGTATGACTTGAAATCGTGGGGACGCACTACGGACCAAAGCTTTAGATCAAGACTTATAAATATTAGTTGATTAATAATTTTTTAAAACTAAAGCGGAATAGTATAGTTAAATTACAATTTTATTACAATTAAATTCATTTTCTTTGGCCGTCTTTGACATTGATTTTAGTTCGTTAACTTTATTCATATTTGTGTTGGTTTATTCACTATGGCATCCTTTGATTTGAGCGAATTGTGTATGGATTGGGCGAGGTCTAATGAGGTTACAGGTAAGAAAGTAAATAGGAATAAATCACAACTTACTTTACTGAAACAAGTTTTAAAGTATAATTTAGATAAATGCTTAAATTTTTAAATTAATATCATGTAATTTTGAGTATCTTAGTTCAAATTAAAAAAAATAATTATTCAAATATATTTTTGTTAAACCTACACAATATGATTTAATATTTACTTAGTTTAAACAATACAAGCTAAAGTTAAATTCGTCCTGATTGATCTGTAATCTATAGCCTCAAAATCGAGTTCTCACCATGACTAAATCTTAATTTTGATTTAAATAATAAGGCAAAGAAACTGATCTGCCTTTATGTGTATTTGTCTAGGCACTAGTTTTCTTTAAGTTTTCATTGAAACAAAACTCTAACTTTTATTATACAAATAAGAAAGGCACGATCAAAGCCTATGCACCCCTTTTCTTTAACACTTCTCTACCTACGGCTGTATCTTGGTTAAACACAAATGGCGTCAACAACGAGTGCGGAAAAGGTCTCTAAGTAGTAGTAACACATAATATAAGGCCTACTGTTTAACCAGGATTACTGTAATATTTTTTTGATAAATATAATCACAAGAAAATATTTCTTGTTAAATTAAATGATTGTTAATTTAAAAAAAAAAAAAACCCAGATATTTTGAAAAGTTGGCTCATGTTAAAATTATTACAACCAGGTCAAGTTAACCTAGACAATGTCAAGCTACAGGTTGAGAACATTCAATGGAGGATAAAGCCGGAAGATTTTACCTCAAATACCGGCTCAAAGCGAAAGGTCAATATATAGAACAATAGGTTTAGTAATCACTACATATACTTGAAGGGTGGGCTGGGGAAGAGAGGGGGTAGAGGGGTCGATATAACCGGGGGAAAATTGAAAACGTATAAAAATACTATATATGTATAGGTCTGTTAAGTTTTAACACAACTATCCAACAACTCAGTCGTTTTGAAGTGAGGAAACATCTATTCATATTTAAAATTTAGTTCAACCTCCCGTACCCCTCCCCAACCGCCCGCCCCCACCCTCAAACTTGTATTTTTTACTGTTTAAAGGTAGATGGCACACGTGCCAATTTTAGATTTAAATTCCAGATATTCGCCTTTATAGTTACGAGTCATAAAAATAGTTATCCTTTCTGACGTAACAGTCAACAGATGAAGTAGAGTATTCCAATTTTTGACATTGAATAGATAACATGGTCAGCTCTAAGCTTATCCACTTTTACTTTCCCGAACTTTTACTCGGGCGCGTATCAAAGATAGGCTTTTCATGGACGTCATACGAACCCGACTCCGGGAATCGAACTCGAAACTTTCAGGTTTACAAACGTGTACTACATTTCAACCAGGTCGTTCCATATCCCGAAAAAAAAAAAAAAAAAAAAAAATTGCTTTTATCCTATTATCTAACAAGTCTGGTTTTGTATCTCACGAATGTTACTTTGAAAAAAAAATTACCTTATATTTGTATATAAAGGTTCCAATCCAAATTACTGAAGCCATAAAATTTTTTTTCAACAACGTACCTATGTAGCTGTGCATCAACTACTCACAACACCATAACGAGATGTACAGCGATATTGAGACGTCCAAAGACTCCAACGTCTCCACCAGTATCTACCTAAACAAAGGCGTTGTTACAGGTATATTGCATGTTGAGAGCATGCATGAGACAATTACACTGACTTCTTGATTTATATATACTGTTTATAAGTAAAGCAATTTTAAGGGTGTCTACTAGGTTCTGAAGTAAGCCTAAATGTATTAAATACATTCTTCAAAATAATCAATGTTTAACTAAATCTCATCGTTGTAACAAAAACAAATCAGCTATATTGATAAAACAGACTTAGATTTTATGGACAATAAATGTATCTTTCCTTTCGTGCCCAACACACATCGGGAAGCTGAAGTAGAGTTTATCTGTTTTGTATAATGTGGACAATTACTATGCCCATCGGCCATTGTTTCCATAGCGTGTCAAATACGTATCCGTGTTGGGTGTACTCAGATACCTCGTACTAGCTCGATCCTGGGTTTCGAACTCGAGTCCTTCAGGTTTGCAGTAAAACATTCTACCATTCGACCACACAGTCCCATACGCCTGTTATAACTTGTATGTTTTAACATAAAATTTTCTTTCTTAATATGTCTTTAATATATGTTCAAACATATGTAGTTTTTTGTTTTCTAAGGCATAAACAAACGACTTCGACTGCCGTTACAAAACGGCCCTCTTCAGTTAAAAGAACTGATGGGAGACTTCATGGACATAGACCCGGGTAAACCCATGTCCAGTAAAGAAGATAACATGACCCTGACTGTCGCCTCAGCCCATAAGATGGCATGGGGTACTCAGAGATCCACTCAGGCTGATGTGTCTACTCATGAGGAACATTTTACTGGTGAGGGAGAAGGGCAGAGTTTCTTCCAGGCATCTCTTCGGAGGGGCGAAGCATCCCTCCCCCCCCCCCCCCAAGAAAGTCTACCCCCCCAAAGATATGGAATTTATATAGACAATATATAATTTTAACAATGTCTGTCCCCCCCCCCCCCAAAAGTTTTAGTCCGCCCCCCCCCCCTCCCCCCACACGAAAATCTCAAGTGCCCCCCGGAGAAAAAAAGTCTGGAAGAAACACTGAAGGAGGGGGTCTTGTTATTTCTAGTGCGTAGGTCATAGGTTGCACCTATCATTGGTGAATCAGAGCGGCCCATTCAGTAATTTGATATCCAATTTTAACCAATCAAGTTTAAGGTGAGTGTCACGTGATTATGAGTTGAAGTTAGGAGATGAAGTGAAGTAAGTTTGATAGGAGTAGAAAAGCATAGATAGACATATGTTATACCCCATGAAATAGTAAAAACAAAGCTCACTGTTTAACTAATTTTAACTATTTTCTTACAGCTACTAAAACAAAACTCACTTTTTAACTAATTTTAACTATTTTCTTACAGCTACTAAAACAAAACTCACTGCTTAACTAATTTTAACTATTTTCTTACAGCTACTAAAACAAAATTCACTTTTTAACTAATTTTAACTATTTTCTTACAGCTACCTTTACCTGTAGAGTTGTCTGTAAGGGTAAGGCGTTATTCTCCCATGGCGATGAAATCGATATCGCTCAAATCGTATCTGACCAGCTGTTGACCAGTGGACTGGGCAGGGTGTTGACGGTCAAAAGAAACGACGGTTGGATCAGATCTGGACCCCCTGTGTCCTTCTCCTGGGAGCTTGAGGGCGAGTGCGAGATACACGGAGCCTTTGAGCAAATCATTCAGTGGACATGAGCTAATGTCTTTGAGTGGACAAGCTAATTTGTATTTCTATAAGCTTTTGTTTTGTTTCACAATGTATGTTTATTTGAGGGTTTGTTAAAAATCCCTTCCCCCCCCTCCATTCAGAGTTTTTTCCAGGCATCCCTTTGGGGGGGGGGGGGGGAAGCGCTCCCCCTCCCCACCCCCGAAGAAAGTATACCGCCCCCCCCCCCCCCGAATGAAATGGAATTTATATAGAAAATATATTCTTTTAACATTGTCTGCCCCCCCCCCTCCGAAAATTTTAGTTTGCTCCCCTCGCCCCACCCCCCGAAAATTTCAAGTGCCCCCCCCCCCGGAGAAAAAAGTCTGGAAGAAACACTGCCTCTATTCCACTCCAATTTCAACAAAAGCTAAAACGTTTTTTATAAATATTAAAGTTGTTCAATGTTCTACCTTCCCCCTCCCACTCCGAAAATGACCCACCTTGCTCAGCCTAAAAAACGCCACCCCCTGCATCTAAGTACGTTAAATATTTTAAAGACGACCCCAAATTAAAGCAAATTTTACATTCGTTACATCTCAAAATATTTTTAGATTCAGTTTCAGCCCAGTATTCGAACGCGTAATCATTTTGTAGTCGATACAGTAATCAAACTCAGACCTAAATGGGAATTCCTTCAATTACAACATAAATTCTCGTCTATATTTTTTTTTAAACGTGGTCAAGATATTTTTAATATTAGAATTTAGAACTCTAGAACATAAAACCATTTAAAATTATGAGCAATTCTATATTACGTGTTTCTTTCCCTTTACCCTAAAAATAGACATTGGCCATCCCGATACCGAAATCGGCGCCACGTCAATGTCTAAATGTAGAATCGAGACCAACACACCGTGATCACATCTAAGACTTCACCGTTTCAAGTTAAAGCGTATTGACCTACCTGTGCCAATGTCTTCGAACCTTAGGATTTTCATCAATTTTATAGATTAAAATAAGTTAACTGACATAAATTGTATGTATGTGAATTAATTGAATCGGACTGTAGATCTATACAGTTGTTTTAAATTAAATAAGTTAGGCTATAGTTTTACAACAACAAAAAATTATTTCTTTTATACATAGGCTACATTAACTACCAAGAAAGAATATAACATATTTTTAAAATGTTTAAATATAAGGGCCTAATTAACACCTAATTAACACAATATTTTTTGGCAAAAAAAAATGTTTTATTATGCGCAATTTAATTAAAAAAAAGTTCTTAGTATGAATTTTAATGCACTATTTAAAATGCTGATCATTACAAGTGAAAAATAATACTACAATAAATTTAAGGTAGGCCCTATGTTTACTATTTGTATGATGAGTTTTATGTAAACTTAATAATTAGAAAAGTATAGAATTCAGTTTCTTTTGTTTTTATAAAAAATAAATAAATATGTATAACGAGACTATTGCGTATTGTTTTTTTTAAAGTTACGTGAGTTTTATAAATTGTGTTTTGTATAGTATAAGCCTACGCCTTGGTGAAGATGTGAAAGAAAAAAAATCAAATCATTTAGGTTAGCAACATACCTAACGTTAAAACTTCACCCTTTGCTAAAAAAATATTTAAGGAGGTCTAAGCTTCATAATAAAATAAACCCAAACTGTATTCTTTACCTCACAGTAGATCGTAACTTGAACGATGTTAAATATAGTTGACCACAACAGTTAAATTCACTCATCTGTTTTATATTTTCCTTAAAAATATATCAACCAATTAAGACGACTAATCTAACTAAGGAAATGATGGTTTTCTCCCCTTATTTCACATGTGTATTGACCACTGGTCAGCATGCTACTGCTTCAGTTCCGATAGGTTGTGCAGATGGGTGTATCTGTTTTGACCGCCCCCATCAGCACAGGTAAGTCGTGTTGGTCAGTTTGGCTGGTCAGTGCGTGGGTCAGTGGGCGTGGCTTAAGACAGTGTTCAGCAGTCTACAGGTCAGTCAGTGTAAGTAGCCTAGAATAGAAATAGTCTAATTTGTTACCAGTTGGGTTGTTGTATTTTCTTTTTCATTAAAAAGCATGAAATGAAATTCTCTCATAGCAGAGTTGTTATTTTAAGTAGATTCTAATTAACTTAAGTAAATAAAGTTAAAGAAAAAAAAACGAAAATCAATAGCTAGTTTAATTAGTCCTAATTAATCTATAAGTCCTTTATCCATTAGCTTTTTAAAAACAATTACTGTATATATAAATACATACAGGTACACAGTCTAAAAATATTGGACAGCGCAGTTTTTAAAACAATGATGTTGGTTTGTGAGTAAAATTAAAACTGGTGTTACAAAGTAAAGTATTTTACTGACGGCAGCTAATTAGCCTATATAATTTTTGGGTATAGAGATGTATCATACTTAGATAAAAGAAAGTATATGAATATTTTACTGATTCATCATGGTAAACTAAGGAGATACTCTATTTGTTCGTTTGTTAAAACAGAGAACGGTAAAACAGTAGTCGATACCGCCCGCGAGAACATTACCTAATCTAGCGGGGAACCCCCAAATTAACAACAAAATCGGCCCCTATTCTACATTACTATTCCACCTCGTGATGACTAAATTTATTATCTTACAAAATCCAGTTAGCTTTGCTTTCGGTAAGAAATAAAAATTACGTGTTCAATTTACCAGCCGTCAGTTCGTCATCGCCAAAAATAGCTCGCCGCCTTCCCGTTACCGAAACCGAGCGTGCCACGCAATGTCGGTCCGCCTATAAAACGCCGGTGTCCGTTCGATTGTTGTCATTCGCTGTTCGACTACAAAAAAAGATTGTCATTGTTGTGTTTGAGTACCACAGTACCTCGACATAAAAAATTTATTCAATAATTGTTTTATTTCTAATATAAGGTAAGATATATTTTTTTAAATTCGTTCTAGTGAATTGTTAAACTAAAACTCAGATACTAGATTCTAGATCTAAAATTAGTAATAATATGTTTTTTTTTGTGATCTTGACTTACATTTAATTATCTTGATAATATAGTAATAGATCTAGTTGTATTAAAATGTAGCCTAATAATTAATATTTTGTATACACTTATTATTTTTTTTATCAATCTTGCATCTTTCACTTATCTACATTCAAATACATTCATACACGGAGTAGGCCTATAGATTTAATTTTATTCGCAGACTTCTAGTGCTCATAACGTTAGTAAAACAAACATTAAGTAGATCTATATCCCACTAGATCTAGATTCTAGAACTAGATTTTAGGAATCTAGTCCAAGTTGAAATAGAAGAATATTTTTATTATACTGTCGTTGTTGTTATGTCATGGGAATATTTCATGATAGGATCGAATCATGTAACCATTAACTAACGTCAACAGTAACACTAACCCTATCTCTAACTCAGGGGCGGGGGGGGGGGGGGGGGGGCGGGGGGTGCGGACCGCACCGGGTGACACCATTTAGGGGGGGGGGGTGACACCAAGGCAAAAAATAGCAAAATATATAGAGAAAAACTTGAGGGGGGTGCAAATCGAAAGTTTGAGGGGGGGGGGGGGTGCAAATAGAAAACTTGAAGGGGGGGGGGTGCAAATAGAAAACTTGCAGGGGTGTACGCCTCTAAGGGGTGAAACCATTAAGTGCCGCACCGGGTAACACCCGACCTAGCTACGCCACTGCTCTAACTTTAAACCAAGCCAGGAGCCTAGCGTTAATCCGACCCTGTATTTATGATATTATTTTACTACTAACTACCACCACCACCCCTCTCCCCTAGTTGTAGTCCATAGGAAAAAACGTACTCAAAATCAGTGACAAAATTTAACTGCCTCCAACAAAATTTTCGTATGTTTTCTTCTAACCATTTCTTACACTGAACAATCGCTACTATCATTCGTTTAGTTTATCGACTTTGTCCCAATTATAACTAAAATATATTTTTGTTTCAGTATATATTTCATCTACACATTTCAAGCAACCAGTATTGCAAGTTTGGCTGATTCAGAAATTTGAAAGAAATGGCCAAAGTAGATCTAGTTGCAGCTTGCGGTCAACATTTTCAATGCTATCAGGGTAGGTAACAGGTCTTTAGATCTACATGAAAATCTAGAGATCATTAGCTCAAAATTTGACTTAGAGAAACAGGTCTGTAGATATCAAGTCTTGAAAATGTTGAGTACATTGTGAAAGATATGTAGTCAATACATCTCATTAGTGATCCTAACTTTTTTTTTTCTTTTGATCTCCTGTTTTTCGTCGCTCTTTACTCAGCAGTATAAGTTATCAATGATAACATTGTCATGTTCTCCAAGAGAATTCAGCAGCTAATTATAATTTTAATCGACTCTAAAAAAATATTTTAAAAATCAGAAACCTTGTACTCGGGCAGATGAGGCTCGTTAGCTGGGGACAGCCACTCTTCTAGGAGAGACAACTCCAAAATTAAACAACTGCTGCCTTGTAGTTTGTTCTTGGTTGGACAAAGGCTATGGAAGCAAATCCAAAAAGAAAAGCAGGCTGAAATCGGAGTCAATGGCCTCAATGGCGCATAAACAGTTGACACGTAACGCTTAATTGTGTTGAAGGCGTGGTCGAGTCGGCAAAAAGCTCATGGTTGATAAAATCGAACAAAGTCTCGAGTTCAAACCCACTGGCAGATAAATCTCGATCCCCTTCAACACTAATAATTAAGAACGAAGAAGAAGAAGAGAAAAAGAAACCTTGTAAAATATGGTCTCTTTAAAAGTATGTAATTTTTTTATATTTTATTCCTTTGTTTTTGTTTTCTATAGGAGATCTAAACCTCAACAATATCAAACTCACTGCGTCCAATATGAGATGGGAAGATAAAAGCTTCACAGTCGACTCACAAAGGGGAGCAACGAGAAAAGTGAGTTACTTCCCTTCATCTAAAATAAAATTTAAATCGTGTTGTTTCCAAAAAGTAAAATAAAATACTAATGGAATTGTATTGATTTTTATAACAGCTACAGGTGAATTACAAACCACACCAGAGAGAGCTGTACAGCGATGTGGAGACGACTAAGGTGTCTGAAATCGTCACCAGTGTCAACATAGCCACAGGTGTTGTCATAGGTAAGCCTGGATACTCCTTACTTGTTTGCTAATTTTAGTCCCTCCACTCTCTTTCTCGCCTTATCTCTTTCTCTCTCTCTGTATTCCAAACTGCCATCCTTAAGAACTAAAGAAGGAAAGTTTTTATTTTATTAAAGTCTATGTTGTTAATAATAATCTCAATGAATATGGTAGAAGATACAATATTTTAAGAACACAATTTTATAAGCTTTATGACTGGTCGGAATTAGCTAGGTCAGTGAATATATGTCAGTACAGGTTTACACAAATATTTAGAAAATACACGGAACAATTTAACTAACTAGCTCCTAGTTGATAGTTCAACTTACTGTCTTACAAGGTATCTATAAGTCTCCACTTGTGTGTTGACTGTTGACTTACTGTCTTACAAGGTATCTATAAGTCTCCACTTGTGTATTGACAGTTCGACTTACTGTCTTACAAGGTATCTATAAGTCTCCACTTGTGTGTTGACAGTTGACTGTCTTACAAGGTATCTATAAGTCTCCACTTGTGTGTTGATAGTTAACTGTCTTACAAGGTATCTATAAGTCTCCACTTGTGTGTTGACAGTTAACTTACTGTCTTACAAGGAATCTCTAAGTCTCCACTTGTGTGTTGACAGTTCGCCTTACTGTCTTACAAGGTATCTATAAGTCTCCACTTGTGTGTTGACAATTGACTGTCTTACAAGGTTTCTATAAGTCTCCACTTGTGTATTGACAGTTCGACTTACTGTCTTACAAGGAATCTATAAGTCTCCACTTGTGTGTTGACAGTTGAATTACTGTCTTACAAGGTATCTCCAAGTCTCCACTTGTGTGTTGACAGTTGACTTACTGTCTTACAAGGTATCTATAAGTCTCTACTTGTGTGTTGATAGTTGACTTACTGTCTTACAAGGTATCTCTAAGTCTCCACTTGTGTGTTGACAATCTCTAAGTCTCCACTTGTGTGTTGACAGGCACCAACAGGAAGCTCAGACTCCCCCTGACCACCGCCCCACCCCAGGTCCGGAACGCCCTGGGGGACTTTGTGGACATCGACCCGGGCAAACAGTTCTCTGAGAAGTCGGACAAGCTGACCTTGACCCTGGGCAGCGCCCATCAAATGACGTCATTCGGGGGAGCAACTGCCGCCCAGGCAACCGTGACGGTGAAAGACGACAGATACACTTGTAAGTCACGTGTTTTATGTCTCTAAACAAGATTTTTCAATACATATTTTTGTAGCCATAGTATTACATGAATGGGTAAAAAAGGGAAATGAAGGAAAAATTAACTGCAATTGAGCAAAATACATTTAGTTTTATTCGATGTTTTGACACTTTATTTTATTTTCTTTGCCTTACAGATAACATTTTTTTTTAAATTACATTTTCGGCTAAGTTAATAGTTAAGATGTGTTACTCAAAAAATAAAACGGAAACAAAATATCTAATAAATAAATGCGTAAATTTGTACTGCTACAATTTTATTAGAGTAATAATAGCTTTTTACTCTTTACTCCACAGGTAATTTCTCGTGTACAGTGACATGCAAAGGTACAGCTATTCATAACCACCACGGTGCTGTCGAACAAGATGAAATCGCACAAATCATCTTGGACTTGCAACAAACTTCCAACGTATACTCCCATATCACTGTAAACACAAACAACCAAACGGGCTTGCCCGACTCTATCAGCTTCCCTATGACGGGACAGTGTGAGTTTAGTGGTCAGTTTGAGCAGACCATTGACTGGCAGTAAACTTGATTTTATTGAAAATTGTACAGGAAAGACTGATAGGTTTAAAAAAATAACTGAATGTATGTTTGCATCATAGATTTTGTTGCTAATTTTTAAAAAAATGCATTGCCCTGTTTGTATCACACAAGGCAGTGAACTTTTTTTTTTTACCTTAAATTAAAGAAAAGCCAAAAAAAAAAAACAACAACAGATCTTCATTAATGTGTTCACTCTAGAAAAATACAGTCAGATATAAAATTATTCGTCCAACTTTGTAATGTGCCATAAATCCCAAATTGTTGGGTTGTTTATTTCGTGATAATGTATAACATTTTGTACATGTAAATAAATGTGTAGAAATAAAAGTGGAAATTTTTAAAAACTTTTTATTACAAATATATGGGACAATTCTCATTTAAATTTTTTTTATCTTAATTCAAATCAAAATGTTTGTTAGTTTTAAAAAATATAGCTAAATTTTTATTTTACGGCAAGAAAGTAAGTGATTTTAAATTAACAATAGAAAATCTTATTTATGTTGTATTTGTTTCCAATTGTTTTAGAAATGTTTTAGTTGTAAAAAAAAATAAAGTGTTGGTTGTATTGGAATACATAAATAAAATATTATTTCACAAATTGGAAAAAAAAATTACATTTTTAAAGACGTATTATATTCAATTACTAGAATACATGAATAATGTATATTCAATATCTGGTGAATTTTGTTATGTGAATTTTGTTTTTCAAAATAAAAATGTTGAAACCTTAATCTTTACGTTGTTTTTTTATGTATAACCACCTAACAGTACAAAATAATACACAACTTGGGGTGATTGAAGATACCTATTGCATAACTGGTGTACGACATCACTCTTGTTTAATATAGAGAAGAAAAAGAAAGGTAATCAAAAACATAAATGGTAGTAGTAGTATGAGGAAATCTATATCTCAAAAGCAATAGCTCCACTTAATCTGTGACTACTTTCTCCATCTACTTTCTACACCCTGTATTTTTAAAAAGCCGGCAACGTTCCCAGCAATTAAATTTAATCGCATTTTATCAAAGCCGCTGTTTTGCTGAAGCGACTAGCATCTGTTTTAATGAGCTCATCATATAAAGGGATACTGTGATTAATACTATGCCCAGCCGCCTTAGATTTCTCTAACGAGAGTCAGGTATCCATCAGCGCTAGGCAGTGTTTCTTACAGACTTTTTTTCTCCGGGGGTGGGGGGGGGGGGCGGACTAATATTTCCGGAGGGGCGGAATCTGTTAAAAGTATTTCTATATAAATTCCATGCCTGGAACTGGAGCTATGATTCAAGGAAGTGCTATGGACTCGAAACTTTTGGGTAAGGGGCCTTGAACTCATCCATTCCTGATGAGCCGTTCATAAAGTTTATCTGGGTAATCCGCCTTGTTCTAAAAATACACATTTTGAAAATCAACCTAAGAAGGTGGTAAAAATCAAAATAAAAATAAATAAATTCCAAAGTCTTTTAAAGAGAAAACGCTAAAAATACTGTCCAATAATAATGTTACAAACAATTTTAAAATTATAACAATTTATAGGAAAATCCCTAAGTTAAAGACAAATATCTTTCCACTGTATTAGTACTTCGATGCCTGTAGTATCGATACTTGATATGATTTCGTGTATTTTTACAACTTAGTTCCCGTAAAAACTTGTTCAACGTTTCCTTGCCATTTGGCTGAAATACACTGCATTATAAGCTAAGATTTAGGTGGGAAACTTTTCAGAGACATAAAGGTAAAATTGTCTTATTCTTTTACTTGATAACTCGACTTAACAAGTCATTTTCAATGATTATTTTAATATCTTGGTGAAACTCAATAGGGTGACAACGTACATTTTATAGTCAACCTCCACTAATTTGGTTGTTTACTTATTTTCTTTGTTATAACTTAGTTTTAATTCCACGAAAATTTAAATCTGAAAATAAAAAAAAAATGAAAATTAAAAAATCTCCGTATTATTTAGATCTACTTGATTTATATTCCTTTGCCGACTTTATACTCTACCTAAATAGCTTGAAGCAAAGTAGTATGTAACGAGGTTTTAAGTTATTTATGTTTACTCAGTAGCATGCAATATCAGGATAAAATGGAATCGGGGTTTTCAAAAATGTCGCTGGGATCTTATCCAGTGGGTGGCATTGACATACTAGATCTTCCAACTCTATGTGAAATGTATAGAGACACATATAAAATTAAAGGTAAAATTGTAGTGAAATCATATAAAAATGTCACACAATCTAGAGATTTAGTTAACGCGTTAGGACAACAGTAAATTTTAAAAGTGTTAGCAAATAATTTGACAACTTCTATTGATCTCTCACAGGAATGTTTCACACCGAAAACCTTAAAGTTTCTGCTAGTGATGCGATTTGGACACAAAGAGCAGTGTATGATTCCAATGTAAATTACTTAATTAAACGTATTTAGTTTTTTATCAATATTCAATAATCATAATCAATGTGTATATTGATTTTGGTTTAAATAAATGCGACTTTTTATCCTGTAGTGTTATAATAATTTCGAATTGTAATTTATATACCAGGTTTCTTTAAGATACGTTGCCCCTTTACAAGAGCGTGGGAGTGGGGGGGGGGGGGGGATTGAAAACTTCCGGGGGATGGGGCAATGCCACTGGAGAAATGTCTGAAAGAAATACTGAGTCTATGAAATATTTCAATAGCAGTGTAAAGTGTAGAGGTTTGTTTCTGACTTGATGGCACTGAATTGGTAACTAATTCGATAGCTGATTCTTCTTCTTCTTCTTCGTTCTTAATTGTTAATATGGCGGAGGATTCAGACAACAAGTCCAACTTCGTGGACAAACCGGACTGTGGTCTCCGGTTTGGCAGGTGCCCCATATAATTTTTCCCTGAGTGGGGTGGACAGGGGCTGATTCAATTCTGAGAATATATTGTTGTATTGCCCAGAAACATGTTCTTCGACTAATTCATCTCAGATTTGTTCGAAATGATGCGTTAATTTAAACAGATATCTATACAAAAGTATGGCATGATATGACATTATATTTTTTAAATTTAAATTGAGGTGGCGCCCTTGGTCAAAAGTTCGGTGTTTCAAGGCAGAAACTTTGTCTTTTCTGACAGAACAGAGTCTGTCAAAACTACAGAGATTAGGATCAATAAAGGTGTTGTGAAAGGTAATCCTTAATACTTACCTTTTCATAAAAACAGATTACCATTTATATGACAGTCAACAGGTGATTGCTAATGATGAAATTCGACTTCCATTATTACCAGGTATTTATAACACATTGACTATACCAGTCAACGGTGGTTTAGCAGGAAAGATTGGGAGCTACATTGAGATAGACCCCGGTAGGTCACATTACAGCAACACAGACACTGTGTTTATAAGCCTCACACTCGAGCACAGCGGCTATGGTAACTGGACACGCTCATTTCATCAAGAATCATATTGCTGTAAGTAGATCTGGGGTGATTAAAAATTCTAGGTTTAGCCTTGGTCCTTGACTTAATCCTTCGACTGACGTGCGTTTCGCGAGTTTATACAGAAACTAATTTGCTAGTTTGTGAGTAAAATCTGGTATGGGGGGATTGTACATAAATGACGTCATGAAACGATATAGTCTCTCCTCGTTATAATCACTAATCTCCAAACCTGCCCTAAAAAAATTAACTTGAATTGACTTAGTCCTCTTTGCCTCCACCATTTCCTTCCATTTCGTCCGGTCACCGGCTATTCCTTTTGCAATCTCCCAAGACATCCCTGTTGGCTTCAGTTCTTCGAAAATACTCCGCCTCCAGGTTTGCCTTGGGCGCCCTGGGGATTCCTCAAACACCCGAATGTGACACACCTGTGCCACATTAAGCCATTCAAAATTTAAAATATAAATTCCGTTCTGTCTTTAGACGACTTTGAATGTATAGTAACTCTGGAGGGTCGTGTGATACTGGGCGAGGAAGAGCAAACATTGGCAAGAATCGTGCAGGAAACAGTGGAACCATCAGTGCTGGAAGAGTTTCTTGACTACAGCGAGACAGCTCTGTCCTGGAAAATGAAAGGCACTTACCTTTACAGCTACAAGGAGACACCTGTGTTATAATTTTCAGTCATACCAATCCAATAAAACAAATTATTTCATCCATCAATTTCTGTTTTTTTTTTGTTGTTTTTTTAAAGTTATAAAATGAAGTCGATTCTTCGAACAAATTCATGTTAAATGTATTGACTATTGAATATATTTTGAAACTAATAACAAATCATACACGACGTCGCGATTTTAAAACTATTTCAGCTGCCTCCCCTACCCCTCTACTTATCGTTACACAGCGTCACAAAACGTCCCCATAAGGTGAAGTCAAACCTCAGCCTATCACCCCTCTAAAAATTCAAACTTAAAAAAAAAAACAGAGACGTATTTATAAATATAAACTGTGGTTGGTCAACATTGAGTTTATTTATACATTTTTATTACCATTTACAAAATAGAAAAATTATTTTAAAAATTCAAAGGTATCGCTAAAATTCAGTTTTAAACATTACGTTTGAAAATACAAAAGCGTGATGTCTCACTTTCATAAACCCCCATCGCCTTTCTCTCCTTGTCAAAAATCGTCACAGAATGTCGAATCCCCCCTCCCCAATTTAACAGTTCCCAATTAATTTACTAACGTGAAGTTTTGAGTTTAACCTGATTAGTTCCTTTCAAAAACAATATTATTAGGAGCAATGTTTATTGTACTTATATGTTGAGTTCTTTAATGTGGACTAATACATTTTAAGTACTAAATGAATTTTTAAATTTTTCATAAAAGTAAGTGTGATCCATTACATGTGTACTCGCTATATAAAAGATGTGTACTAGTATTGTGTTTAAAAAATAAATGATTTAATAAAACCACAATTTAAAAATACAGTGTCTTCTTGATTAAACTTCAGCTTTTTTTTTACAATGAAAATTCTTGTTAATTAGAGTGTACTTTAAATTTAAATTAATTTAGAATATCATTTTAACTACTATTGTCAATGTACGAACGCCATTAAAAACATTCCCATAGCTTTGATTATAAATTAGTATAAAATATAAACATATAGACCGCAAGCTTAAATTAATTCTCAGGTAAATTGAGTACACAAAATAGCTGTATTCGATACCACCCACCTGCGCATTTCAAGTTACTTGGAAATTCCGATTATTACTAAAACATAAAACAATGTTATTATTAAGAAACATTGTCTACGCACTATTTTAAAATGACTAAGCAAAACTAACCAGCTTTCGGTATGTAAAAAAGTTGACGTGTTTCAATTTATAACTATCTAAACCGTGAAAACTATCAGCGCTAAAAATAGATTGTTCGGTTATTTCCCTTGATTACATACCGAGAGCGACACGTAACGAGAGGGGATAAAACCATCCGGCTTCAACGAGAGCTGATCAGACTATCTCAGTCTAACACAACAGATTTTCATTGAGTAAAGCACTTTGTGATTTTCTGTCATTTTAACAAGTTTCTATTTTATAAGGTAACATTGAAGATATTAATTGACATGTATTATATTAGGGTTGGTTTTAACCTAATTATTATTTTTAGTTATTATTGTTTTTAACTGTGTTAGAGTGTTTGATTTAATTGAATAATAAGATAAAGATAATTATAAGTAAATAATATCCATGATTTAATTATTATTTTGATTTTTATTAATACTTTATTGTATAAATATTAAATTTTTGTTTTGTTTTAAAGACATTACATTTATTTACACTACATCTAATTTTTATGAACCTGGGTATCTTTACACATTTTACAAATTTGATATATTTTTAAATTATTTAATGAAATGGTAATAGAGATATTAATTATTTTTAACGTCTTGGTTTAATATAGTAGATTACGATTATAAATTAGTTAACCAACCCACCTAATCATTAAAACACCATCCCCCCCCCCCCCCCCCAACCCGACTATATCCTAATCACACAATCATTAACGTGATTTTAAAGCCATGTTTGTTAGATACTGACCTGTTTATTTTCTTCTCACCAGGTTTCCTTCAACTACAAACAATGGCGGTTGATCTATTAAACGTTTGCAAACAATATGCTATTGATGTTCTCAAGGATCCACAAGGTATGTAGGTGTTTTAATATATATATATATATATATATATATATATATATATATATATATATATATATATATATATTTATATATACATACACACACACACACACATGTTTATATATATTTATTTATATTTTTATTTTTAATTTTTTTTTAAATTTATAAATATTGAAGAGAAAAATAAACTATTTTCTCTCTCTCTCTCTCTCTCTCTCTCTCTCTCTCTCTCTCTCTCTCTCTCTCTCTAAACACACAGTTGTACCCAATCTGGCCAACGTCAAACTGCAGGCTACGTCAGTCTCCTGGACACAACTTCTTGTAGATAACACAAGGAATGAAATTAGAAAGGTCAGCACTTTAACGCTTTTGCTGTAGGTACATAGATGTTTGCTCTAGCATATCTACTGGTGACGTAGACAATCCGACGTTTTTAAAATGTTAGTAATACATAGGCTTAAATATGATCTCTAGACATATATATATATATATATATATATATATATATATATATATATATATATATATATATATATATATAATTATATATATATATATATATATATATATATATATATATATATATATAATTATATATACATACATATATATACATATATATATATAAAATTATATATATATATATATATATATATATAATTATATATACATACATATATATAGATATATTATATATATATAATTGTATAGTGTTAACCCTATTTTCTTTACGATTTAGTTTCTTCATTTAGCAATGATATTAAATACCAGTAGGGTTGTAAAGGATTACTAAACATGATATTGTTATGAATTAACCAATAGCACATGATTTGTAAACTCATTATAGTTTTAATCAAACTTTTTATTTGCTAGGTTGGTGTCGCTTACAAATCCCACCAGCGTGAGCTGTTTAGTGAGGTCCAGGCCCACAAACAGTCTGAGATCATTACACAGGTGGTAATCAATACAGGTCTTGTCACAGGTAGGTTAATATGTCAGCAGGTTAAAATACAGGCACCGGCATTGACTGGTATTTTTTTAAATATCTGGGATATTTAAGTATGTGTTATATACAATTCACCTAGTAAAATGGAAGTTATCATGTTGCAAAGAAACAAAAATAGAATTAAAAGTGTATTAATGAGGTATTTTTTTTCTCTAAAACAGGAATCAACAAGAAATTAAAGGTTTCACTAGAGAACGCCCCGCCAATCTTTAAACAGACTCTCGGGGACAACATCTTTATCGACCCTGGAAGGCAGACTTCAGAGAGAAGGGACACGATGGCCCTGTCCTTGGGCAGCTCCCACGTGCTTGAAGTCTCTCAGAGGAGCGGTGCCGACTCAATGGCTACAGTGGCGGTTAAAGACGAGCGGTACTCGAGTAAGTACCGTCCTTGACCTTTGTGTGATTTACACTACATTCGTTTCCGAAAAATGAATCGTTAAACTAAAATAATTATTATAATGAGTTAGTTCCTGATATCAGGAAATTTTTTTTTTCTTTTCATTTTAAAAACGATTTAAATAAATGTTTTATTTGATCAACTGTTGATAAGTGACACGGACATACTTTAAGTGATTTTATTGCAAGTCAGTTATTTTGTCTGTTAAAATAAAGTATTGCAATTAATTAGATTAACAATATTTCTTTCTTTAAAAATATATTTATAATCACAAATAATAATTGTAATTTATTGTTTAACGTACAGAGTTCTATAACTAATGTTTCGGAAATAAAAATTAAATTTACTAAAACATGTTAAGTTTTTAATCGAAATGTCTTTAAATATGTAGTATTTTTAATGTTAAACAATGTGTCATTTTAAAAAGAATTTTTCTTTCAACAGGTGATTTTACCTGCCAAGTGAGCTGTAGTGGTGATGTTCTCTTTCCTGGACAAGTTTATGTAGAGCAAATAAACATTGCTCAACTTATTGCTGATTATAATGTACCCAACGTTCAAGTCGTAAGCTCAGGGCGTCTACCATCTTGCTCATTCACAATGAAAGGAAGATGTACATTTAGTGGAAATTTTGAACAAAATATTCACTGGCAATAGACTTTTATCAAGTTATTGGATCACTTATAAGTTTTGTTTGTTACATTTTAATACTGTGTTGGGAGTATGTCAAATACCATTTTAGTTTTAAAAAATTGAAATTTTATATATATTAATACTTGGCTCAAAAGTACTGTGTAATTTTGTAGACTTTTGTAGACTTATGTTTTAAATTGTGTTTAAAAATAGCTTTCAAGCATCGTTACAAAAGCTAAAATTTAAAAATAAAAATACTTACCTGTGGAAATTAGATTTTTTTTTATTTTTAATGTTGTTGTGTATATGGCGGTAATAGATTTAAAGAGGATGGAAGGGATTAGACAGTTGGGAGAAAGGTAAATGCGATTTGGAAGGAAGGATAATGTGACAGCTTTTATTTTTTTTTAAAAAGTCGACTTGTCATTTTACTCATTTTTTGTAAATATATGATTGTTATATTGACTCATTTAATAAAAAATGAAATTCCTAAAAATTCAATTTTGTTGTTACTTTAAAGTGAAATATTTTCATAAAAGATCGTTTGGCCTTAAGAAGTATATAACTGTTTTATTATAAGCATTGTATTCCAATACAATTTTTTTTGAATGTTTGAGGCGTATAACGGAAATCAAAAAAAGAAGATTTCAAAATAAAAATTACAGCACATCAAAATAATCACATAATCTCAAACTATTTAAAATAACCACAAATAATTATTAGACCTACTTTTACAAATCACATCTCATTAACTATTTCACCTAAATCTAAGTTATGAAATAGTGTTTTACCTAAATAGTTGTCATTTTATTAAGCGTGGTCAGTAAAAAGCAGGACAGGGTGAGCGAAAAATTTAATATTTACTTCATTAGGATAAATTATTATTTATCCGTGTTAATAGGCCAAATCTGGGAAGGCTCGATTACTAGCTCAGCTTTAGTGTGTACATGACCTAACTCGATAAAAATACAGGCAACTAGACACAATGCTGACCACAATAACGCTTTATATGCCGAGGTCAGGAAACACGTGATTTCTTTGACTTCATCTGTCCCATAGACCGTCTGGTCACCTACTACTAATTTAAAAAGCATAATTAATTTCAAAGAATCTACTCATGGAAAGTATAGGCTTTCAGATTTGTTTCGACAACAGTCTATACATATCTCCGAGGCTAAAAACCACACGAACTCATCCTCATCTAAAGGTAATATAACTGAAATAGGCCTAAAAAAAGTTTAATACATTAAATCTATATCCGAAGTGTTGATGTGGAGTTTTCGGATGGTAAGGTTGGTTTCGGAACCCGGGCTCGAGTTCGTACGACGACCCTGAGTCCACTCAGCTCTGATGGGTACCTGACTTACCTTAGTTAAATTGGCAGCTTAGCAGTGTACCAAAAAATGTGCCGATGTCATTGAAGCACATAAACTCTATTTCATGTGCCCCATGTTTCATGTGCACACACATGAATGAATATTATGATTAATCTCAATATAATACGTATATTGTCTATGAAACGTGTAAAAAAATATTACAAATATAAAACAAGTTTTGTCAGTGCCTTGGAGCATCAGGAAGGGCTACCTTTACTATTACATACATGTCTATAAGCTGACTCCGGTATGTCAAACAATCTTGGACAAGGGGCAAAACAAATTAGATTTCGTTTTTACATCTATGCTTTAAACTGCGAAAAAATAATTATGTTATTTGCGAAAAGTCTATGATCAAAATATATATATTTAATACTAATAATTTAAGTTTCATTGGAAATTTTTAAAAAGGGTTAATACTTTCAAATTTTTTTTAAAATTTGTAGTTTGGATTTTTGTTTGACAAATGAAAACTATTTAACCCAAAAACATTTTAAAAAAAATTAATTCCCATTCTGACCGTATCAGAATAAAATCCCTGTTATTCTTGAATTTCCGATTCTTACGTTATACATTTCAAAGAACGATACCAGTATCGATACTTTTCTATCAATTTTCTGTTTGTTGTTGTTACAGTCAGTGGTTCTAATTATAGCCAAGTTCTGTCTCATGAATGTTAGGGCCTATATAAAGACTGTGTCAAGAATTTTTCAGTATTTTGTGAACCGAGTGTGTTTTACTCCACGACTGTTCGAGTAAATAAGCCACTCGGTGTTGAGTTTTGTGTTATCTTTTTCGGGCATTTTTTCAGCTCTTATCAGGTCTTTTTTGTAATTATAAATAATGCAACAAAATTACTATTGTAACTTTTAATTACTTTAAAATATTAATAAAGGCTACATTTAAAAAAAAAACTTGTTAAAAATCTAATTTCAAATATTGTTTTCAATAGAAATGGATACAGTTGATTTGTTTTACTTCTGTGATAAGTACCGGGTGAAGGAAAACATTACAGGTAAGAATTACTGAACGAAATCGTGGCAGAATCTTCACAACAAAACCTCATAACGTACATTTAAATTAGAGTAAAAACAGTGGTACATGTTAAGACTAATTTTCAACAAATTAAAAGGAAACTTCGTGTAGATCTAAAATTATGAATCGATAAAACGTTGATTTAATACTGAAGTATGTTTAAAAATAAATATTTAGGCCAGGAATGTATTGGATCTCATATATACTTCTATTATATTGTGTTCTCAATTGGGCATATATTAGCATTGTATTAAAAATAACTAAATTATTGTTATCTGCGAAACAGATATACTCTACTTTACCTACTTTAGGGATTAGCTGGTAGAGGTATTCTGTATCTTTAATTATCTATTTAAGGTGCTGAAAACCTAGAGAGTCTTTCTCTGAAAGTTGTAGAAGGCAGCATGGTTTGGACGCCAGTTACGCCAGTCAAAGAACAAACAACATACCGAGTAAGAATTTTAAATTTTGACTAAAACTGCTAATGTGATCAGGAAACTTTATTAAACATAAAGGTGTACACTGTTGAGCATTAGTATTTACATGTGTGTAGTGTACACAAATATTGATTAATATTACTACATTACGGGTGTGTATAGCTTTACTTCATTAGGTTTTTAATTAATTTTGTTTTTTAGTTTAAGTTTGAAAATACAATTTGCTTATATATTATGTGAGAAGAAAGATCAATTTGGAAGGTCTTCACAAAATGGCTTAAGCACTTTCACAAACTCAAGGAGTGCTGTTAAATCTGAAACTGTGACTATCAATAGAGGCTTGGTTAAAGGTAGGGCTATAATTAAACAGAACCATGCAGCATCACAAAACGTTTTGATATACATTTTCATAACAGGCTAAAATGTTTTGTATTAGCTTTAATAAAATGTGTAGTTCTTAATACAAAACTACTATTATACACAAAATAAATAATAAATTTAACTAAATATAACTTTATTTTACGTTAACATGACAGATATAAGCGAAAATGAAAAAAAAATTAATTTATTAACAACCAGGCATCTACACCCACTTAAAATTGCCTTGTAAAGCTGAGCTGAAAAAGAAATTTGGGGACCACATATCCATTGATCCTTGCAGGCAGTGCTACAATCATGAAGACAGGTTAACGATAAACACTAAACATGTTTATTCTAATCCAGAAACTGGTTGGACGTGTACCTACGCAAAAGATACTTTACATTGTAAGAGAGTCCTTTCTGAAACAGCTATTATTTACAAATGAATGCGTGTTAGCATGTTCTATTATAAGTACACGCGTAGGTAAAATTGATTTACATTTTCAAATTTACTTAATATTCATATATTTCTTGCAAAAATTAATATTGTGATCTCAATTTTATATATTTTTTTATTCTAATTTTATTATTCACAGATAAGTTTGAATGCAGGGTTCAATGTTTAGGGGAGGTAATTTTTATGAACGTGAATGGATCTGAGCAGGACAGTATAACAGGGATTGTTAGGACAGTGGAGCCCACGTCCAGTCTACTTGAAAGTGGCGTTTTGTCCTGGAAAATATCAGGAGAATATTCCTACGCTGACATCACTGAGCCAATATAAGAGTCAGAGTTTAAAAAAAAATTAGCGATAAAAACTGTGTTTTAGTAAATGTTAAAATAATAATTGATCGAATAAAATATCAGATTTTATATTTGCAATCTTTAATATTTTTTTAACAGTGAGTATGGATAAATACTGAATTTTGCTTAAGCAGATACAAAACTTTTGTAAAACGTTAAGTAGTTTAACTGAAGGTAAAGGTTTTTTTTAATTAAAAACTGAAAAGCAAACATTTTTTAAAAATAACATCCGTGCTGAGGCACATTTTTCATTATTGTATAATCATTTACTTTATTTTTAAAAAGCAAACTTTACTCATTGCAATGCTTAAATAAAACGCTACTATATTTAGAAACGATAAGGTGTGTTGTTGTTGTTTTTTTTTTTATTTGACGTGTTTGTGTTGCAATTCATTGAAAAATTGTTTGACGATTTATAAAATTTGTGTTATTACATTGACAAATAGTTCATATGAACCAGCATAAAAGTGACCTTTATATCCTTATTAAAGAAATACCCTTCAGTCTTCAGTATATGTTTCAACCATGAACTGTTAACCTTATAGGCCTACAAAGAAATGAGTGAGCAGGTATTGAACATTGTTTCAAAACCATTGGTAAAACAACATTTAACCAAAACAAACTATTAAACTAAAGAAAGTAAAGAAACAAATACATGGTCGATAAGAGACTTCATATTTATTTTTAAAATCTAGCTTGATGTTTTATTTAAAGCTGAATTCACAACACAACATTGAAACGCTCGTCGCGTTAACAATTACGCATTATTAATGAAGAACTCAATATCATTACAGCATTAATAAGATTTGGGATATTTTAAAAAGTAGCTTATTTAGAGCGTAAAATGGTTTGAAAACCTCTAAAGAATGGAAAGTTATCCAAAACATTTTTTTTCATCTGATTCAGCTTCTTGAATTGTATAAAAAATAATTTTCAACCACACATGAAACAACGTCCATTGTTATTAGAGATAAACAGTATACTTGCAATAGTTCTGATGGATTATTACTTATTTTTTACATTTTATTTACATATGAATGTTAATATAATATTTCTTTCTAACTTCAAATATAAAACATTCTTACAATTTCACATCTTTAAAATATATTTTTTTTTTGCTTTTACTATAATATAAAATACTGTCTTCTTAAAATTTTAAATCTTCTAAAATAAAAATAAAACAACTGAATACATATTTAAACAAAATGTAATTAAAATTTTGAAATCTTTTTTCTTCAAAATATTAAAACAATCATACATTTTAATATTTCAAATTGTAAACGGTACTCAATATAAAAAATAACGGATTCTCCAATCTGAAAACATGTTTTCAGGAGGGCAGTCATTCATCTCCACATGGATGAATAGTGTTTATGACAATCTTTCGTTCCACTCTACTTAATTTAAATTTAAATTCCCTAATTCCACCGCATCCATTTACTCGACTTAAAATTAGAAACACAATCTACTTCCACTCCATCTCTTCCCTAAACTTAAAATAAAAATCAACAGTTCCCGCCACGGTCCAACGAGCACAACTCGGCAAACCTTGAGACGTTGTTGCGTAATTTGTTGTGTCTCTGAGTTTCGTGGGTTTTATAGGCTCCCGGTCTATCTCAACACCGTCAACCTCTTGATCCGCCATCATTTGAGCGATCTTCTGTTCGTCGATCTCACCTCGGTATATCACGTGACCTGAGAGTTCAAGGTCACCAATAAAATGCCCTGAATAGTAAAAAAAAACATAAACAAGGTTATTTGATGTGTTTTGTAAAATCAAATGTTACATGTTACTTATAATGAATTGAAATAATAACCAAAGTATGGGATGACAAGTAACTGAATGTATGTCAAAAATGTATGTAATATTGGTTTGAAATTACTATAATTTGTGAGATACTAGGCTAATTAACATACATTATAAGCCCAATAAAAGTTTATGAAAACGTACAAATCCAAATAAAAAGTATTAGTATTCGATAAGTTAATTTTAATAATTCTGATTATTTATTATTTAAATATCAAATAGGCTGAAAACAATATCTACACTTTCAAGTTCGCTGTGTTATTTTAATCAGGTTTTCAATCCAGGATTAACCTAATCCAAATGTGGTGATATAGAAACGTTAATGCCCCTGCTCACCTGTATAGTGCCCTCTGGTAGTCTTGACCGTGCCCGTGGCACCAGAACCAGAGTGAATGACCGAGTGACCACTCTCTATTTCAATCTCCATCTTGGTTGTTTGGTCATCAGTGTGTAAGGTAGGATTAATAATTAATTGCTTTCCAAAAGTGTTGATTATTTCTTGTCGTTCTTTACATGGGAGATCACTCAATGGCAATTCTAGTTTAAACTGTTTGCCAGGTGCTGTAATTATACAAAATTTGAAAATAATTATTCTTCAGCCTAGCAGTATAACATTATACTCAACTAAATAAAGTTAACTATATTATGTACAGTTTTTTCAAGCTTATCAGATACAAGTAAAACAAGTGGAATCTATATAATTATATATCACCTTTTAATAAGCCACTCGATATAATTACAACTGTCCCAAGTCTGGAATCTGTCTTGAAGTTGACTTTTGTGTTCAGATTGTCATTAAGATTCGTGGTATTGGTCAGCTAAAATAAAAACAACATCACTGTAAATATATATATATATATATATATATATACATATATATATATATATATATATATATATATATATATATATATATAATATGTGTGTCTGTCTGTCTGTCTGCCTGCCCGTCTGTCTGTCTGTCTGTCTCTGTATGTGGTCGTGCGTGCGTGTGTGTCTACTTTACTAATTGAAAATAGGATATAATTTGCAACATAAAAGCTTTCATACCTGACTGTTTGACTCTACAACACCTTGGCCTGCCGGTGGATCTGTCCATACCACATTCTTTAGACTCGCTCTCAGATTTTTTAGGTTGGCATGGCCTGTGAGTATTGATAACAGTGACATGTGTGTTGATAACGTATCAAAGATAGACAGTCATACATGTACCCTTATGCACATATTTACATAACTTTTATTTACCCTTAGACAAATAATACAAAATTAACCACACATAGAAAAATACAGATTTATTCAGAGATACATCTATTTATCCACACATTCATATATATATATATATATATATATATATATATATATATATATATATATATATATATATATATATATATATATATATATATATGTAACGAGCGAACAGTTACCCTGCTCGCAACGCCACATGTTACGAGATTATTTGCCTGTAGTGCCAAATGTAACGAGTTTAACCACTCATTCTACACAACATCGACTACAGTAGAAATACTCGAAGATGCAGGTTCGCTATTGATCCTTTTATTACATGAATCAAGAAATGCTTCAAAATAACACAATGAATCAACAGGAATGCTTCACAATAATAGTCTGAATCAACTGACCCCTAACAGTCCTCACTAGGCTTCATATAACTGAATCCACATGTCTATCGTCCTTCTTAACCCAAGACGGCTAACCCGTTCTATAACCAACTGTCACACAGACTGACTGATCTAAAGCGAGCGATCGAAAGAGAGCGAGCTCCGCCGTCCCCTCCTATTTATCCCTTGTATTCGTACTCGTATTCGTACTTGTATTCATCCGTAATCGATATTTGTAATCGATGTCTCCGACTACTAGTTGCGCAGTTCTAACGTACAGCCCGATTAATAAAACATCTGCATCCTATCACTCAAAGTTGACAGGCCGTCTGAATCCCCTCGTACCGTTTCCCAAAATAGCACGCGTTGGCTTTGAGATTGTTATCAGTCCGATTTAATAAGCCACCTGCTATCAGTTGCATCAGACTGTAATACTGCGTCGCGGCTTATCGTTCGTTATCAGTTGCATCAGATTGTAACTAGTAGTTAGGCCTACCCTAGTTACATCCACCCCTGCCTTTTTTTGTGTGTTTTCAACCACAAACAACGCTTGGCAGGTGCATTCCTCCAAAGTCAATCGCACCATCGTAAAAAAATTTATTGTTCCACTCACTGTCCACGTCGTCCCATTCGTATACAATTGACAGTTATACCTATATCACATATCAACTGTGTCTACATCATCTTCCTGAGACACAAAACAGTTCTAGAATTAACATCCACCCTTTCCATTTGGTGCCTTCACCAGTTCACTTTTATAGCTTTTTGAACAGTCTGTTCTCATACCAGCGCGACCATGAAAGAATTGATGGTTGCTGACAAAAAATTTCGTCTTCCTTCTGTTCCTCAAACTTCTCCGCGGACCACTTATCTGATGGTCTACTGTCTCTCTGCTTCTGGGAGGAACGGGATCCTCTTTGTTGCCGTTATCCTCCACTTGTGTATCGCTGTTGTTCTGTTGATGGTGATATGGTTCCGGGATGGGTATGTGAATTTCCGTTGTAACTTCCGGTTCCCTAATTGTCTTAGGTTTCTCTGTGTGTAACTGCTCTTCTTGCCTATTCCAATATTTCTTTAATTGAGCAATGTTCGCCCACCGATCCGGTTTGGCGTGATCGATGGGTCTTATCTTAAAGGGGCCACCTGCTACTTTAGGCATCTCCACGACTTGCCATATCTCCTGTCCCCAGAGGTCGTGGATCTTATTTCTGCCTAACGGGTGGCTACGCAGTAATACCCTGTCGTTCAGTTTGAGTGGCGGGTCCTTTGTCTGTACCGGCGGTTCCCTTCGCCGAGATTCATGTTCTAGTCTTTCCTGTACTACCCTGTACATTTCTCTAATTCTTCTCATATGTTCATTCACATATTCCAGTGCGGTGTATGAGCCAGTCATACTCTCCCTTTTTCCTAGGAACAAATCAAGAGGGAGTCGAGCCTCCCGTCCGAACAGCAACATGTGTGGCGCAAAGCCCGTTGTGGCATGGGGTGTGCAGTTGTATAGATATACCAACTCTGGGAGAAAATCAGGCCAACGTTTTTTCTGTTCAGGTTCTAGGGTACGCAGCAAATCATGCATGCTGCGGTTGAACCGCTCACACTGTCCGTTTCCTTTCGGATTAAATGTGGTTGTTCTAGATTTGTTGATCCCGTAGTGGCTGCACAGTTGGTTGATTACTTCTGACTCGAAGGCCCTTCCTTGGTCAGAGTGTAATTGTCTTGGTATGCCATATTTGATGAACCAATGTTCTATTAAGACCTTTGCCACTGTTTTGGCAGTCTGATCTCGTGTGGGCACCGCCACCGTCCATTTGGTGAATACATCAGTCATTACCAACACATGTTCCCTCCCATCCGATGATTGCTCCAACGACGTAAAGTCCATAGCCACAATCTCTAGTGGTTTTGTCGCTAGTAGGTGTCCTGATGGCTGTCTCATTTTGACAACTGGCATTTTCGCATGCTGACACCTCACACAAGCCTCACAATGGCGTTTGACCTCCATTTCCATATTGGGCCAGTAACACCTCCGTCGTAATATTTTGTGCGTCCTGTCCTGACCCTGGTGTCCTGCCCTGTCATGTGCCAACCTTAGCACTTCTTCTCGTAACTGTCCAGGCACCACCACCTGGTGTATTGTCCCATCAATTTGGTCATGAATTCTCCGCCTGAGAACACCATCCTTTATACTGAGACGGTCCCACTGACTCAGTATTTTCTTTGTTTCTCGACCAAATTGTTCTCTTTCCCTTCTTCCTGGGAATTTTTGTTCCTGGACGTGTTTCAACAGCGGCTGTAAGCCACTATCCGTTCTCTGGGCATCTCTTATCTCTTTGTGATTAAGGCAACTAAAATCACTACTGTCCATAAGTCCGGGCTCTGTGGAAATGTGCTCCACCCCGGTCTGCCCGTTTTGCATCACTTGTACCCCAATGAGGGATATCTGTTGACGCTCTGACCTCACATATTCCTGTCAGTGTTTCTTCCTCATCGCCCGGTCTCTCGTAAGGATTCCTTGATAAAGCGTCCGCATTGCCATTGGACCGCCCCGGGCGATATTTTATCTCCAGGTCAAAGAGTGCCAATTCTGCTGCCCATCGCTGTTCGATGGATCCCAACTTTGCTGTCTTTAGGTGACTCAAGGGGTTATTGTCAGTGTATACCACACATTTAGCACCTAATAAATAGTCCCTGAATTTTTCCGTCACAGCCCATTTTAATGTCAAAAGTTCTAGTTTCATGGCGCTGTAATTTGTCATGTTCTTCTCTGATTCCTTCAGAGCTCGACTGGCATAAGCAATAACCCTGAAGCCTTGCTTTTGTTGTTGTGATAGCACAGCTCCCAGACCTTTAGAGCTGGCGTCAATTTCTAGCCGAAATGGTTTGTCAAAGTCCGCGTATCCTAATATCGGCGTCTCTGTCAAAGCCTTTTTCAAGAGCTTAAACGAGTTCAGGCATTCATCAGTCCATAATTCACCTATCAGTTGTGTTTTACCTTTCTTTTTCTCCTTACTGTGTTTCTTTGTCATTTCGTTTACCAAGTCATGCAATGGTGCGGCAATTTTTGCAAAACCAGGTACAAATTTTCTATAATAGGAAGCAAAGCCCAAGAATGACCTGACCTCTACTGTAGTTGTTGGCTGTTTCCATTCTTTAACCGCTGCAATTTTATCTGGGTCAGTGGCGATGCCATCCGACGAAATCACATAACCCAAAAAATGTACCGATTTCAGACCGAAGCAGCATTTGTCTGGGTTCAGCTTTACTCCTATTTCCCTAAGACGGAGAAACACTTGTTCTAATCTTTCTAGATGGTCCTCCCAAGTTTTTGAATAAACTAGAATATCATCCAAGTACACCAACATTATTTGAAATAGAAAGTCACTCATAGCACTCTGCATTACTCGCTGGAATGTAGCAGGTGCATTAGTTAGACCAAACGGCATACGGGTCCACTCGTACAGTCCCAGTGGAGAAATAAATGCAGTTTTATGTTGATCGTTGGGGTGCATGGCCACTTGGTGGTAGCCGCTAGCCAAATCCAAGGTAGAAAAAAATCTTGCTCCCCCCAACGCATCAAGACATTCATCAATACGAGGCAAGGGGAATGCATCCCTTCTTGTGATATTGTTCAATTTCCGGTAATCACAACACAGTCTTATCTCCCCTGACTTCTTTTTTACCACTACTATCGGTGCCGCATACGGGCTTGTACTGGTTGTAATAATTCCCTTTTTTAGTAGATCATTCAGGTGTGCTTTCACCGCCGAGTAGTGACTTGGTGGTAATCTTCGGTAGGGTTGCGCCACCGGCTTGTCTTGTAGTAAGGGTATCTGGTGTTTGATTACTTCCGTGTACCCCAAATCACCCTCATACGAGGCAAATATATCACTGTATTTATTCAGCAATTCATTTAGTTTTGGGTCCTCAGTTTCCGGGAATGTATATGATCGGCCATCCTCTTTCTTCACCTCGGCCGTCACATTGACCGACCTAATTGTTACTTCATTACTGCTGGTATTGATCAGTTCGATGTACTGTGCCGACCTTTGTACCTCGACGTTCTGTGGTACTCCTACCAGAGTGTTAGGCGGTATAAAAATTTCCTCATCCAAAACATTTGCTACCAACCCTTGAACTAGTCCGTTTTCCGCTGATGTGTATGTCCGCAGTAACACGACGCCTGCCCTCAGTGCGGCGCCACATGGTTCTATCATCACATCACCATTCACGCTTCTATCACCAATTTGTAATGTGATTGCCTTGACCGTGTTTGCCGGGACTGCTGTCCTTCCTCTGGTCTTGGCAAACCTGGCCAACTTGGATCCCCGACCAGGTGTGGTCGATCCGACAATATTTGTAAGAAATTCTGGCAATTGGCCAAGAATATTCATGCCCAATAGGCAAGGTATATTTGACACATTTGTCTCTAGGTTGTGTTTCGTAACGAACACCCCAACCTGCTTCAACCTATGTCCCGACACCACGACATCTGCCAGAAAATAACCACAGTATGGAATGGTTAGTCCATTAGCTGCCGTTAGGCGCATGCATGTGTCAGACCTCAACCTATGGTCTTTTCCTTTCATCCATTTGGTGTAAAAATTTTCCGTAATTGTCGTCACCTGGGAGCCTGTATCCACAATTGCCTTCACCGCGATGTCCCCAATCGTAATCACCATTTCTGGACAGACTCCCATCATTTTGTTTCTTGGGCCATAACCTCGCCCCTCTGTAGCCTGGCCCTGCCTTACAGAGGACGACCGTTTCCCTGGCAGTACCGTGCCATATGTCCGGGTTGTGAACAGGACAAGCAAATTGGTCGACCGTCGGCCGTCCATTGAAGTAATGGCTTGGCAGGACGCGGCCGTCCAACCCGTCCCTGTTTTGTCCCGTTCTTTTCCTGATTCTCAGCTGTTGACCTGCTTTCTAACCTCTCCAAACGTTGGTCAACCTTATCTAGGTGGGCCAACAGTTGAGCCATCATGGTCTCCATCGTGTCGGCCCCTGTGGGTGGGGATTGTTTCTGTTCCGGCACAGAGACTTTGTCCACCGAACAGTTCGATTGGTCCTCATCCTCGGACCTGCGGATCGCTGAGTTCCTGACCTGAAGGAAGGTCAACTGCGGGTCTTTGTGGACCTCCTCTTTCAACTCTCTCCTTAAGATCGGGGTTGCTAGCCCCTCGATGAAATGGTCCCTCAGTAGGCGCACATCAATGTCAGGTGTTTTGCCCTTTACCGAATCAAAGGCCCTGTTCATCCGGTGTGAGTACTCCATCACACTCTCCGCCATTCTCTGCCTTAAGCCTACGAACCCTGACAGCAGTTGCGATCCCGACCGTCTCTCCCCAAAGGTCTCCATAATCAGATCTAGCACCTTATCTGGATCTGATTAGATGGTTTTATCGTGGCATTTGACCTCTGCCCTAACCGTCTCTCCTATACTGCCCATCAGCAGTCTTACTCTTTCCTCTGGTGACATGCCTCTCGAGGCCCAGGCCGCTTTGACCTCCTCACTGAACCTGTTGGTTAAAGTTGGATTACCGTCCCCGTAAAATTTGTTAATGTGGGACTCTCTGGGTAGGACCACTATATGGGTCTGCTTCTCGTCCCGAGTAGACATTTTATTCCGTAAGTAACAAAAAAAGAGTTCTTTCTTACCGTGTGTGTATGAAAAATTTTTCTCGTTCCTCAATTTTCACAGTTCCTGAATGTCCGAATTCACACACACACAAAACACAGTTATGCACAAGGTTGACTATGGGTGCCTCAAACGGCAAGTCTAGTTGAATTCATCCTGTCCGACGACGCCAATTGTAACGAGCGAACAGTTACCCTGCTCGCAACGCCACATGTTACGAGATTATTTGCCTGTAGTGCCAAATGTAACGAGTTTAACCACTCATTCTACACAACATCGACTACAGTAGAAATACTCGAAGATGCAGGTTCGCTATTGATCCTTTTATTACATGAATCAAGAAATGCTTCAAAATAACACAATGAATCAACAGGAATGCTTCACAATAATAGTCTGAATCAACTGACCCCTAACAGTCCTCACTAGGCTTCATATAACTGAATCCACATGTCTATCGTCCTTCTTAACCCAAGACGGCTAACCCGTTCTATAACCAACTGTCACACAGACTGACTGATCTAAAGCGAGCGATCGAAAGAGAGCGAGCTCCGCCGTCCCCTCCTATTTATCCCTTGTATTCGTACTCGTATTCGTACTTGTATTCATCCGTAATCGATATTTGTAATCGATGTCTCCGACTACTAGTTGCGCAGTTCTAACGTACAGCCCGATTAATAAAACATCTGCATCCTATCACTCAAAGTTGACAGGCCGTCTGAATCCCCTCGTACCGTTTCCCAAAATAGCACGCGTTGGCTTTGAGATTGTTATCAGTCCGATTTAATAAGCCACCTGCTATCAGTTGCATCAGACTGTAATACTGCGTCGCGGCTTATCGTTCGTTATCAGTTGCATCAGATTGTAACTAGTAGTTAGGCCTACCCTAGTTACATATATATATATATATATATATATATATATATATATATATATATATATATATATATATATATCATTAATCTAAGAAACACAAGCTGATATGCAAACACAAATTACATTATAAAATCACTTACATTTTATGAACACAAAAGAGACACTTAGTTACAAAAATAAATGTAATTTTTATTTTTGGAGGAAGATAAAAAAAGTAACACAGCATAAACACGAAATTAGTATTTGAACAATGCAAAGATTTACCGGCAATATTGTCATTCTTTCTCTGAGTCTCCACAACTTTTCCTATGTCGACTTCTTTCACCATCTTTGGTTTGTAAATATCTAAAATTCGAGATGAATTTATAAACAATGCAAATCGATTAATGATTTAAAGTTTTAAAATGGAACTTAAGGGGATTACAAATTAAAAATCTTCTAAACCGTTTTAAAAATACTACGAAGTATCAACTTGACATATAGTAAGATATATCAGTTTGTAAAAAAATTATAACAAGTTTTAGATCAATCATTAACTCTGGAAATTGATTTTACGATTAAAGTATCATCACAATAAAATCGTTTATATAATATTTCTCTACGTTTTTGAATATTGATAAACTTAAAGCTTTAGAGTTTAAATATTAAAGTTTAAAATTATAAACTATACGATTGATACTTAAACTATTTTTGTGAATAAAAAAAAAACAACTAAACAACTAAGTCTAATCACGAATAATTTACAAATATTCCCAGATTAACTATAAATTAATTTCTTACCTGATTCCTATTATTAAATTTTTTTTTTCACTACAACACAAACCAATCACTAGGCTATTCTAAACAAACAAGTCAGTACACTAAACCCGTCTGTGTAGGTCTGGAGTAGAACCACGACTGACTCGAACAACCCCACTCGCTCTCTCTTCCCGGTCTTGACGTGGCTAGAGTTATCGGGATTGCCCAGTCCTGGCAAATTTTCGATGCGCTATTTTTACACATACGATCAGAATCTATTTTCACTTCTTTTATTTTATTTCATGTACATAAAATAAATTATATTTTACTAAAAGGTAAAAATAGATTCAGCTGATAAAATTTTATTACAGTTATGTCTATTTAATAAAAGATTTTCCCCATTTTTTGAGTGTCGACTAAATTCTGTAGAAAGGAAAAGAAACGAATCATTTCAAATTCATAAGATGAACCTTCTTAATTCTTTGGTGAAACATTCAGGATAGGCCTATACGTTAAATTAAAATTAAATTTACAAATTATATTAATTGACAGTTTACTAATTGTGTAAAAAAAGTAAATTTTGTGTAAGGGCAAGAATATGTTAACAGAAACCAAATTGTACGATAAGTATCACATTTAATTCTTCTTACAATTAAAGATTTTCTATTTCAAAATTTATTTTTATTTTGTTAATGTTATTGTGGTAATTATGTTAAAAAGTGTATACTATTTGTTTTATCCTACTAGAATTGTATTATATTTTAGTACATTGCGTTAATAAGACTCCCCTAATTAAATGATATTTTTATCAAGTTTAGTGTTGAATAACTGTGTGCCTATCTACTACAGATAATTGTTGAGTTATTATTTTTAATAGTTTTAAAAAGTAAATTTAAGAATTTTATACTTTTTTAGAACAAAAAACAAGATTATATTTAAGTTACACCATCTCATAGTTTGCTATTTATTTTGCACGTACTCTCAAAAACATATCGCATTCAAATTATATGTTTACAACTTTGAATAGAGTGTAGAATACAAGTCGTTTTGTTAGGTAAATTAAACCATACTTTTGTAATCGTACAAAATTTGTACTCGATTACTTGTTTTTGTGCGTATCAGGAAAATCCATTTCTGTTTTTTCAAGGAAATCTTTTTTTTTTTACACACTGAGATTTGTGTATTTTATGAGGGGTATTTAATTTTTTTAATAAAAACCTTTTTCGATTAGTTTACTAAGATTTTTTTTCTCACCAATGATCTAACACGTAAAATATTCTTGAATACAAATGTAATATTTTTCTAAATTTGATACCTCTCGAGTTAGATATGTAGTTAGTAAAGTTGGCCTCTGTATTCACTTCTTGAAATTATAAAATTATTACAGTTTTTCGTTTTTTTTAATTATATCGCTTAAATATGAATTTATATTCATTTAATCCTCTGTTATAACGGACAAGATATGGAGACCATCGATCTATATGAGATATGTGAGGAGTACAGGGACAACAACGACATTGAGGGTAATCATTTTAATTCCTTGAAAGTATAATTTATTTTAATATTTTTTCGGCACGTACCTTGGTAATGGTTGGTAAACTTAATTTTAATTTTCTATAATTTCCAATCCTTGTATTATACCTTTGTTTCTCAATTACTTAAATAGATTAGGATTTGAATGTAAGGGGCTGGGGAGTTATTTAATTATTATTTTATTACAAAAAGGTGAATGTCACTTTTTGTGTTCCTTTGGGAATTGTTGTGGTTTTTAGTTAAGTAGTCCGCTATTATGGCGCTGATATGATTTTTATTTTAAAATGATTGATAGCCTGGTTATTGTGTCTTGCTTATATTTTGATGTTATTATTTATGCAAACTTTGTTTTGGAGTGTGGCTCCACTTTGCTTTATATCCTGAATGTAAGTTATTGTTGTATTAGGGACTATTTTCTTGTGCGTAGCATTGGTTTCTTTGTTCGTAGTATTGGTTTCTTTGTTCGTGAATGTGGGGTGTCGACAGGGAGGGAGATTCTGCTGGAATGTCGAGGCCTGTGTGTTGAAGAGTTTCTGTGTCACGTTTGTGGTGACGGTGGTCCGAAATTGTGTGTTTTGTTTCGTTGAGATCTGTTTGTTTTGTATGTCTTGAGTGTTTAAGTTATTTTGTCTAGATCTAAATTCTAGTTTTTTTATAATAACTTTTGGTTCCATATTTTGTAAAATAAAGTTTATATTATTGGTAAAGTTTTCCTGTTTTTTTAATTTAGACTAAGGTTAGGGTTTAACCACTGTGGGTTCTACCACAATTGCACTGACCGGACAGATTAGTTAGTTAGATAAGCCTAGAAGGGTAGATTTTAAGGTATCCCCCCCCCCTAGCAGGGCTTACAAATTGGTAGCACGAGTGGGGTCAGTGCTTTAGTCTAGTTAAATTTTTGTTTTTCTGTTAGAGCTAGTGTAGCTTAGATAAATTTTTGTTTTTGATAGGCCCTTTATGGAACCATTTGTTTTAGTTTTTGTTTAGTGTAGGAACCGTTTGTTGTTTAAAACACCCAATTCGGACGAGATGGCGGGGCACCCCATGAACATCATTATTGTGCCACCCAGAGAGGTAAAAATCCGCAGGTTCCATGGAGACAGCCATGCCTCGTTGGTGGAACGTTTCATTGAAGAGGTGCAGGTTGCATGGAGGGCGAGGAAAGACCTCTCTGCTGAAGAAAGAAAAGACCTCCTCTGGGAGCACCTTGGGGAGTCTGTTAAAGAGGAGCTCCGATGTAGGGGCAATGATCTGGAGCAGGACCCAGAGGCAACTTTAATACTCCTGAGGGACATTTACGGGGAAAAGCGTACCATCCCCCAACTAATGGCCCAGTTTCAAAGGGTGGTGCAAAGCCCAAACGAGACAGTGAGGTCTTATTCCCACCGTCTGCACCAAGCCTTTAGGGTGCTCACAGCCAGGCAAACAAACCTGCACAGGGCCCCTATGAGTCCAGTCTTCCTGCGAGACCAGTTTGTGCAGAACCTCAACCAACCCTATGTTAGGCGCCAGCTGGAAGATATGGTCTTCTGTGACCAAAAGGCGTCATTTATTGTCCTGAGGGATGCGGCTATCAGGTGGGCACAGGACGAATGCCCAGGCAGAAAATCTAAGAGTGTTACAACTCTAAACACCAGGCCTGATGTGCAAACATTTGCACCTCCCACTACATCCAACCTGGAGGACAGAGTAGACAATTTGGCAGCACAAATGTCTAGTATTTCTGCTCTCGTTTCCCCAAGGGGAACGCGGTTTGCACCCGACAAGCAGAGACCGACTGTGAGGACCAGGTCCTGCTTCAAATGTCACCAGCTGGGCCACATAGCCCGTAACTGTTATGGCAACATAATAATGTGTCCCGCTTTTAATCTGCTCACCTATTTTTTTAACATTGTTCTGTTCACACGTCTGGTATCTGCATTTTTGAATTTGTATTGCTTGCAGGTACTGCAAGCTTTACAGGGGGTGAATGTAAGGGGCTGGGGAGTTATTTAATTATTATTTTATTACAAAAAGGTGAATGTCACTTTTTGTGTTCCTTTGGGAATTGTTGTGGTTTTTAGTTAAGTAGTCCGCTATTATGGCGCTGATATGATTTTTATTTTAAAATGATTGATAGCCTGGTTATTGTGTCTTGCTTATATTTTGATGTTATTATTTATGCAAACTTTGTTTTGGAGTGTGGCTCCACTTTGCTTTATATCCTGAATGTAAGTTATTGTTGTATTAGGGACTATTTTCTTGTGCGTAGCATTGGTTTCTTTGTTCGTAGTATTGGTTTCTTTGTTCGTGAATGTGGGGTGTCGACAGGGAGGGAGATTCTGCTGGAATGTCGAGGCCTGTGTGTTGAAGAGTTTCTGTGTCACGTTTGTGGTGACGGTGGTCCGAAATTGTGTGTTTTGTTTCGTTGAGATCTGTTTGTTTTGTATGTCTTGAGTGTTTAAGTTATTTTGTCTAGATCTAAATTCTAGTTTTTTTATAATAACTTTTGGTTCCATATTTTGTAAAATAAAGTTTATATTATTGGTAAAGTTTTCCTGTTTTTTTAATTTAGACTAAGGTTAGGGTTTAACCACTGTGGGTTCTACCACAATTGCACTGACCGGACAGATTAGTTAGTTAGATAAGCCTAGAAGGGTAGATTTTAAGGTATCCCCCCCCCCCCTAGCAGGGCTTACATGAAGTTGGTATTTTTTTTTAATAAATCAATGTATAAACTGTACGTATTGTAATAAGGCCTACAACCAATCATGTGCACACACAATTTAAACTAGCGAATGTATTCTTTCATCAGGTATGCCAGAGCTAGGCAGACTCAAACTGAAAGTCTATGACGTAAAGTGGAGCCAGATAGGGCGTCCACAGGTATCTAATAACTATTGAAGGTGTACTACTAAACTACTAAGATTTGTTACCTTTAAGGGTTAGATTTAGTTTATGAAATTTTAAAACTATGGTAAATTGTCAATTGGTGTATAGCTAGGCTTAGCTTTATTATTGAGATAAATCTGTTTCGGATACATTATTTTTTTTTATTTACAAGTTATAATATTTTATAGTATGTTATTCTTTATTTTAAAAAAAGAATCGTTATCTTTCACAAATAAAAGCCTAATCAATTGACATTATTTAGTTTTGTACTTTTGTAAAACTTGTATTTTTCACGAATAAATGTATCTTACCTTAGCATAAATAACGAGACAATTTCAAATGTAAATAATTATTAATAACTGGTATTATGATATTATTGTATGTCTAAATTACCAGTTTAATTGCTACTTATAGAAAAATGGCAATGGTCTAGTAAAAGAGCTCAACAACCACTCATTCAATACTGAAATAGCAACATCACACGTGCGAAGTTTGAGAATAAACCAAGGCCTTGTAGTTGGTGAGTACACGGTGGGAGAGTGGTCGAATAGTGGGTGAAAAGTTGTTGAATATGGATTATGGCCCAATAGAAATAGCAATATTTGAATCTGTAATAATACACGTACATGTTTTTGGTAAAAAATATATAGAACTTCAATGGTGTTGGAATAAAATAAAAGCGAAATAGTGTTTTTTAGTTTAATTTGTTTAATAAACAAAGTAGTTTAGTTGGGTTTTTTTTTGTGTTTTTTTAATAGCATAAAAATGCTATTATGTAAACCATGAATTTCTAAAAAATGAATAATCTGACGTCATAAATATACGTATTTTTAATACAGATTGGGTATTAGTTTTAATTTATGGAGTCTGATGGAGCTAATTAAGTTGTTTTTTTAAAAGAATTTGTCTAGCTGTTGTATTGCAGGCGTCTACAAAAATATTACACTGCCGTTTCATGAATTTGACACTGAAATAACAATCGACCCGGGGAACTCCTTCTGTGAGCTGAGAGACAAGGCGAAAATATTTGTGGAGGGGAGTGCTGGGGGCCTTAAGAGAGCCTCAGTGAGACACGACATTCTCAAGTGTAAGTCAAAATACATGGGTCACTGTCAATTTGTGGTCATGGGGAGGGTCGTGTTGAGGGGAGGGTCGTGTTGAGGGGAGTGCTGGGGGCCATAAGAGAGCCTCAGTGAGACACGGCATTCTCAAGTGTAAGTCAAAATACATGGGTCACTGGCAATTTTTGGTCATGGGGAGGGTCGTGTGGAGGGGAGGGTCGTGTTGAGGGGAGTGCTGGGGGCCGTAAGAGAGCCTCAGTGAGACACGGCATTCTCAAGTGTAAGTCAAAATACATGGGTCACTGGCAATTTTTGGTCATGGGGAGGGTCGTGTGGAGGGGAGGGTCGTGTTGAGGGGAGTGCTGGGGCCATAAGAGAGCCTCAGTGAGACACGACATTCTCAAGTGTAAGTCAAAATACATGGGTCACTGGCAAAAGTGGAGCTTTGGGGGAGGGTCTTTAGTCACTGGCAATGTGTGTGTGTGTGTGGGGGGGGGGGCAATGGGTTCTTGTGGCTTTTGGGTCGCTTAGATGTGGATTTTTAGGCTGTGGGCCATAGAAAGGCCTTAGCTAGACTCCAAAGCAAGTGTAGGTTAATTTTTCGGGTAAAACAAACGTGGATCAAACGGGACAATGGTCACACATTTTTTGAGTTGCATATATTGTGAGTTAAAATTATTGTGTCACTAATTTAAATCCTCATGCAGTTGCTGATCAAACACCCAATGATTAAGTGATAATCAGTTCTCGTATGAAATGTCTAGTTTTTGTAATTTATCTATGATTAATTTATATAAACAATAAAAAAACACAGAAAAATAAAGTCCATTTGTTAACCCACAATATTACTGAATTATTTTTTTTAAATAATATTCTTTTTTTAAAATTACATTGTTACGGAATTCTATAAAATCAAGAATATTTATTGATTGACTGATTACTCTTCTATTGCAAATAGATCAGTTCGACTGCAAAGTGACCTGCACTGGGAAGGTTCTCTTTGTAGGAGACGGTGTCCAAGAAGTCAGCATTCTGGAAATAGTGGAGGCATGTGGACATTATGACCTCATTTCATCGTTTAAAGGCAGCAGAACTGTCAACTGGCAAATGTCTGGGGTGTACAAGTTTAATGAAGATTTTGTTCAAACTATTCGAGTTGAATGAGATTCAACTTGAACATCAAAGCGCTACTTGTTTAATTTATAGTTGAAATTGGAAGTTACTAAAACTGGAACACACCATATAATTGCTTTTTTTAAATTTAAATTATTCTACTTCTGGGTGGCAGCTGTTTCAAAATATTGCAAATAATTAGCATAGAATATTTTATTAATGTGGTATGTCTTTTGTTTGAAATAAAATACATTTACAGTCCTGAAAATTTTGTCGTTTATCAGTTTGTAATTCTTCTGATATTTGTTTTCAAAAACAGACTGTCTTTTAAAAAATAAAACGTCTATTAAATATTTTTATTGTTTTTGAACTTTAATACAAGTTTTCACGGTATCAGCGAAAACTGGAACGATGCTGAGGAAAATAATCTAAAATCAATAATGGCAGCATTAAGTATATCACTGCTTCAATCAGTTACTACTTCTGGGAGAGTCGTTGGTAACTAGAGCAAATCAAATTGATTTTTTGTTCTCACACACAAAGATTAATTTCAATACATTGACATAAAAGAAAATTCGTTACTTAATCATAAAACGAATTCACATTCTACACTAATAAACAAATCGTCAGAATAGCAGATAAATTCACAGATATGTTGTTGTTTGTTTGTTTGTTTGTTTTGTTTTTGTGTGTTTTTTAATTTGGGCAGTTTTTCAATTAAATGTCCTTTTTCAAAAAAGAAGTTCTCAATCAGACTAGCATATTCATGGGGCTAATAAAGTAGAATTAACAAATGAACTCTTCAGGATTAATGTGTGCGACTAATAAGTATGTTAACCGTGTATAATCAGTTAACAGAAAATGTTTTGTGAAAATTACAATTAAGTTATTTTAAAAATGGACAAGTAAGCAACACTTTAAACGTTTAAACCCATTTAAATAATGCAGTCTTTTAAAGTTCTAAAACAATTGCAATACATATTCCAGTTTTTAAAGCTGTAAGTACATAAAACTTAATTTTTCTCTCAAAATATTAGATTTGTAGACCTTTGAAACGAGCAGTAACCTAACTCTAATTTTTTTTTAAATTACATAAATAAAACTATAGTCTTAATGATCAAATACATATATTTTCGATTTGGTTACAATACTAAAATTTAATCTCCTTTCTTATATGTCTGAAGTACAAACCATCGAACTAATGTAATAACATTACATGTTCTAAATTAAAAGGCTTTTTTGTATTTTAAAAATAATGTTCCTTCAGTGTAGCCTACTTAGAACATTGATATAAATCTATAGAGTTCATATATAATATCTTATCAATAACACATAAAGAGCAATTAATTATAAAATAATAAGATACTTCAAGGTGAAAAACGTTGACAAAATCATAAGCGTTAAGATGCGTATACTGCAGAAAAAAATCATGACGTGTTCCTTCAAAACGGGGCGTCCCCTTTTTTGTGTGTTGGCAAAATTTACCTAACAGAATACATAAAAATAGTTTATATGAAAATAAAAAATAAAAAATATTTTTGAAAGAGTGTTCACATGTTTAAAAATAAAACTCAGATTTTTTTTTAAATTTCTATTTTTAAATTTTGATATTCCCCATTATAGCTACGGGCAGGCTAATAAACGGAACGTTATCGAAACACGCACCAAACGGCTCAAGCATTTATCTCTGTAACGTGTAGGAATTTGTACTTTTTAAAATTTACTTGAAGTAATCAAGAGTGTATTCAAAGTTCTTAGTGAATTTTTTTATTTACGTACCTGTAATATTTATAAGAAATCGTTTGTATTTTATTTTAGTCTTAACACACTTTTTTTTTTCAAATTTAAAATGTAGGTTTAACTGTAAGAAATTTTTGTTAATGTTAAAACATATTTTAGTTTCAGGAATACCAGTTCGAGTAAGTATAATTTATGTTTATATGTAGCTTTTTAAATCGAGTTTATTTCAAATTCAACATTTAGTTTCACATTTAACTTGAGTTAGTAACGACCATGGTGGATATGTAGACCAAACGTAATATCAGTACCATAAATAAAGCGATACCTTTAGCTTTCGTGATGAGAATTACTAAGTCTTATTTTACATACTAATGTGCAAATAACTTTAAAATTCCACCGTAGTTAAAATCAACATTTTATTCCAAACGTCAGCAGTGTTATTTTATTAAAAATGTTTCATATATAACATTTACTTCTAATTGTGCTGTAAATATTTAAAGTCCTTGACTGGCCATGTCAAACGTTCCATTGTTTATCATTTAGAATGCAATCTTTATATATATATATATATATATATATATATATATATATATATATATATATATACATAAAATGTAGAATTTCAATAATTATTTGTATAATACCACCATCATTATGCTTATTAATAGTGATTTTAATAGTAATTTGGACAGTATAGTTGAGAAACACAATCCAAATACCTAACTTCTAGTAATAACATCGTATGCTTTAATTTAATATTATATTGTTTATTATAGCCAACTTCAATACTTCAATACTTAGTTTTCGACGATCTCATTGACTTATATTTATAAAAAAAAATATCACTACTTTTGTATATATTTTATTACCAAAGATCGAATCAATCCTTTGCATAGAGCGATGGCTACAGTGGACCTTTACCAGATTTGTGAGAAATACAGAGATGTTCTTACTAAAAAAGAAAGGAAAGCAAAGAAAGGAAAGAAAGCAAAAAAAGCCAAAAAGACTCAAGGTCTGTAATATTTGGAGCACTCTTTTTACTGGGCAAAATTTTATTTCAAAAATTTTAATTTATTTATCATTTTGTAATTACCCCTCTTCTTTTTCCTCTTGATTGTTTAAAAAATGGACTGAGTTTTAATCCGTAAATATTTATAATTTGTTTTTTATTTCATAATATTAAATTTTATATATATTATTCCTTAATAATTATTAATTGGTTGTTGTCAAATATATAGCATAACAATATTACTATTCTGCTTATCGAAATTCATGTTCTTGTTAAGGGTTAATTCTCGGATTAGGGTCGGGTATCATTGAAGTAAGGATACTTAAAAAGATTTAAATAGCAATACCAATTTGACTAATTCCAAAATGTAACTGTAATGAGATTTTAGCTTTTAAAAGAATTCCTTTTAATTATTTTTTTTAATTAATACGCATCAGCTAATGAGATGTTATGAAAATTACTTTTAACGTATAAAGGAAATATGGACGGCTATTAATCAAATGTAAAGTACATTTAAAAAAATTAAACCCTGTGAAATAATGCAACTTTTTATAGATCTAAAAATACAAAATAAATGTGAATTTTTTTAAAGCTGAAACTACAAACAATGCAACACAAATTTGTAATGAAATTTGACAAAAATGACTGAAAGTTACATAATATTTTTCAATGGAGAAATGGTACATTTCAGTGTTACCAAAATATTTAGCCAGTGTAAGTTCAGAAAGTCGACAATAAATCTTTCTTAGGTATTTTGGACTTGAGTGGTCTCAAACTAACTGTCACTGGTCAAGTCGAGTGGAAGAGTCTCCCAGTGGCACAGCAACAAGTAAGTGACTGTAATATTGTTTATGGTATTCTTTTTAGTTATTTTGTTAGATATTTCATTTTTGTTAAAGTTTAGCTACACATTTTTTTGAATTATAATGTCATTATCTAGAGACTTTGTTTTATTAATTTTTTCTAGATTTTCTATGCATCATAAGTCGTTTTTAATGTTAATTTATAGACTTTATAAATGCAAATATTAAGATTATTTTAAAAGCGAAGCAAAGTTTATCTGTTGGTATTAAAGACTATTATATGTTACGTTATATATTATTATATGTGAATTCATCACTACTTTGATACACCTGCAAAACATGTTTTGCTAATGATGCAAGTTCTCTTAGGCACAAGGCTATCTCTTTCCTCAAAGAATTAGCGAGATTAATGTGAGTAGAATCCACGAGCACTACAGAAACGTCAAAATTCTTTCTGGGAGAGTCGTTGGTAACTAAAACAAAATCAAATTGATTTTTTGTTCTTACACACAAAAATTAATTAAAATACCTTAACATAAAAGAAATTACGTTATTGAAACATAAAACGAATTGATTTGCTATTTAAAAAATCCTATCAATGTTGAATATCTTCTAGGTATCTACAATCTTTTGAAGATGAAAGGACCGGATGGTAGTGAGATCAGTATCGATCCCGGGTGTTCATCCTGTGATTTCCAGGACCAAGCACAGATCACTGTACAAGGGAGCTGTCAGTATGAAAATATCTGTAGCTACTACCTTTACACTCCCCAAGTGACTGTAACCTTAGCCGACGAGAGACAAAAATGTAAATATCAATGGTCTTAGAGAAGATAAAAAATTATTCAAAATATAAAATGATGAATATTTCTTAGCAAAATGCATTTTTTAAATTGTTTTGCAAATTTTATCAATTTGTACATAAGAAATTAAATTATCCACCTATCTGCAGATAGTTTCGAGTGCTGGGTAGTCTGTGAAGGATCTGTCAAGCTGGTGTTGGAGAATGGTAGTTATGAGCTTGGAGACATTCTGGGAGTTGTCAGTGATGTTAAGGAAAGTTCACTTATCAGAACGATCAACAAAAAAGATGCCGTGTGCTGGAAAATGACTGGTGAATACACGACCAACGGTAACCCCCAGCAAACAATTGAAATAGAATAAGCGCCAAGCAAGAAAAAATGTATGAAATACAACAGAATGCATTCAAATATGTCCTAGCACTTAAAATAATTCGCTACATAGAAAAGATTAATTAATACTAGACCAATTTTTTAAACTTGAATTTTCAAGACAAATCTATCTTGTTTAAAAGTTCATTAGAGTATTGAATATATATGCAAAAATACATTTTCAAAAAAATAAACATGCATAAGTTTGTTTTTTACGTTCCTGAATTCGTTGATGATGAAAATGCTTCACTTATTAAAAAATGTATCTGGTATTATATTAAAGATCTGGTTATCATTTTGTATCTAGCGATTTAGAAAGTAGATGTTTATCATTACTGTAGAAAACATTTATCTAGACAAGGTGATATTTTAGTAGAGACCATTTTTGTGTTGAATTATTTATCGTTAAATTATTATCGTTAAATTGTTAGGGTGGAATCATTCTGGACTTTAATTATTTATGACTAACTTATTTAGGGTTTAATTATTTAGGGTTAAATTTAAATAAGTGTTGACAGGAATGCATTTTTCGAAACACCCAAGAATTTATCAGCGAATTGATCTGCTTAATGATATTATTTTTTTAATAAAATGTAAAAAAAATGAATTTTAAAAAGTTTTTGCTGTTTGTTGTGTGTATTTTAAGTGGTGTGTAATCGGACAGTTAATAGGTCCCCAGATGTGTTATTGTGGACATTTCAGAATAAATCATGTACACAATTATGTATATTATTATGTTACTGATTTCACCCACATTAATCTAAACAACTTACTATAGCAGAAAATGAATTTACTAAGCCAACAAAAAATATATATTCACAGTTTATTACTTTTTTTAGATAACTAATTATGTAATTAAATAAAAAATAGCTTAGTTAATCATGTCAATATAATTAAAAATAATGGGGACAAAGCTAAACATACAAACCTAACAGTAACTAGATTGGCAATTTAACAAAAAATTTAATCAGTGCTACTAAATCAATTTTCTACAACACTTGATCAGTCATCGCTCTCAAATATGTTTTTACAAACGTTTAAATATACTGTGATGTAAGCATCTTAAGTCAATTTTCCTCATAATTAAAACCAGTGTATCAATGTTTTCGTGATATAAAAAATAGAATCTGTGGTAGCATTTAATTAATGAAGTAACTGCGTCTTTTGTGAATGTTAATGACATTTAACAAATAATGCCTAATATATACTAAATGGTTATTCACTTGTATTATACAAAAGTATCTCGATTTTTGTAAACATTTTAAAATTCTCAATAATTGCATCACGATACAAATTCGCTAATAAATGTATTTGTGAAGTTATCACGAAATATTTACAACTAATGTCACTATTTTGGAACACAATCAGCTAGCATAAAACTCGAACTGTCCTGATATTTTCCATGTCACTGACAAAGGCAGCCCACCATCAGCCCTGTTGACAGTCAGGTCCTTGACACTAGGGTCTCCGCTCAAATCACTGACAATTTGAGCAAGTTCCTGTTGTTCAACTGACGACTCGTCTACCACTAGTACACACCCACTCACCGCAGGCTCGAAGCTGAAATCACCTGGGGAAAGTATAAATACACTAAGTACGCTATTAAGACATTCAATCTACATGCAAAATTTAAATTAGTCAAATGCACGGTGTTTCTTCCAGACATTTTCACCTGGGTAGGGGGGGGGGGCGGTACTTGAAATTTTGAGGGGGAGGGGGCGGACTTAAATTCCGGGGGGAAGCGGGTGAGGGGGGGGGGGTGAGAGGGGGAATTGACACTGTTAAAAAAAATTTCTATGTCAATTCAATTTTGTTCGGGGTGGAGGGGGCGGTAGACTTTCCCCGAAGAGATGCCTGGAAGAAACTCTGCTATTGCATAATTTATTACTAATACAGGAGCTGACAAATGGAGAAAACATTTTTTATAAGATTTAAATTGATGACCACACTCGATTAGAAAATTTCTAATTTCTAAAATGAATTTATTGTTTTATAAAAGTTTCAACATTATAATTTTACCAGAAAAGCATTTAGCAGAGCTTTTCTTCTCTACAGGAACAAACAATTCAGGTTTGTTGTTGTTTTTTACTGAGATGGTTTCTCCTCCCAATGATGTGATTACTTCACCAGGTAAGTTAGTTAGTGGTAGTTTGAAGGTCTCTATGGCCCCTACAGAAAAGTAATTAGAATGTCACAATTACAATTAAAATATTAAATAGAAAAAGCTTGACTTTTAAGTCTTAAAAATTGTTTATAATTTTTTTTATATATTTTTTTTAATTACAAGTTTTTGTAATTAAAAAATAGTTTATATAAACTTTCTACTGCATATATTTGTTTTGTTCATATACAACATAGGTAAAAACAAAACAATAATACGCAAACAATTTACTAGAGCTAGCTCTAAAGCCTTTTATTACGCATGCTAAAGTAACGAGTGTATGGTTATATCAATAATATATCTATTTACCTGCCCACGCGACTGTTTGTAGCTTCAGATACAGCCCTGGAGGTTTATTTGTTGTGTTCTGTCAACAGGCATTTAACAAATGATAACATTTTACTTGTTACAAGAAAAAAAAATTCAAATTAAATATTGTCGTTTTAGAATCTCATTTAACACATCACTAAACACCCTTTCAGTAGCGTACGCAGGGGGGGGGGGGGGAGCAGGGGGAGCGGCCGCTCCCCCTCTCGCCATTTTTAGCAAAGTGGCGCCTTTTTGGAAACTTTTTAAACTCAAAGTTTTAAACATTGATATTTGTTAAAAAATTATCTTTGGTCGGCAAATTACAAGATTTATTTCATGCAGCAATTAATCATAACAGTAATAGACTAGTAGAGTCAACGTTTACAACACGTATTAGCAGCTGTATCAGTTTGTCATTCTAAAAATAACCATTACGATGCATTGCAATGTTTAAAAAACCTCCACGGGTAGTACCACTTGGCAAGAGAGGTGTTACGTTTAAGGCAACTGTATAATGTATTTACTTACGAATAATTGAATTAGAAAATGTTACTTATAAAACTTCAAACATTTTTACTTTATATATATACAGTTCAAATCGTGTAATTTATTTTTTAAAATTACAATACAAACACAAATACAACTAATGTGGCACCTCTATTTAAATTTACTTATGGGGGGGGGGGGGGGGGGGGGGGGCGGCGTGGTCGAGTCGGTAAAGCTCATGGTTGCTAAACCGAAAAGTCTCGAGTTCGAACCCTCGGGCAGATGAGGCTCGTTAGCTGGGGACAGCCACTCTTCTAGGAGAGACAACTCCAAAATTAAACAACTGCTGCCTTGTAGTTTGTTCTTGGTTGGACAAAGGCTATGGAAGCAAATCCAAAAAGAAAAGCAGGCTGAAATCGGAGTCAATGGCCTCAATGGCGCATAACCTGTTGACACGTAACGCTTAATTGTGTTGGAAGCGTGGTCGAGTCGGCAAAAAGCTCATGTTTGATAAATTCGAACAAAGTCTCGAGTTCAAACCCACTGGCAGATAAATCTCGATCCCCTTCAACACTAATAATTAAGAACGAAGAAGAAGAAGAAGAAGAAGACTTATGGGCGAACTGCGTAGCGGTGGGGAAATTTTGATAAGGTCAAAACCTTCATCACGATGAAGTAGTAGTATTATGACAGTTTGATTACGATTACAAATTATATGGAACAGTATCAACTTTCTATTAATTATTATTTTAGTTTACTAGATCTAGATCTATATTCTATTTGTATAATGATATATTGTGTATTAAAAAACAACAACTCAATTTAAACTAAAACTATCCGCTACTTATTTAAATCTATTTTTGAATCAGTATACATGCGTAATTGAATATGTATGGGGTCGTCCATAAATTACGTCACACTCATAGGGGGGAGGGGGGGTTCGTAATTTTGTGACGGTGTGTGATGAGGGGGAGGGGGAGGGGTGGTTCAGAGGGTGCGACGTCGCACTTTTGCATTATAAAAAAGCAATGTTAGAAAACAAATTTTAAACGATGTTTTGCGTTTTAGAAAACTGTTTTATTAAATTGTAATTACAATTGATTAAAATACTTTATTTTGAGAGAGTTCAGACAAGATTTTGGAAAAAATATAGCTGTTTAAAAAAATTCAACTGCAATTTTGAGGGGGGGGGGGGGGTTGTAGGCTGAGTTGTGACGTCATTTTACGGTGGGGGGGGGGGGGGGGGGGGGAGGGTCTGGCTTTTTTTTTTGACGGAGGGGAGGGGGGGGGGAGGTAAAAATCGTTAAAAAAGCGTGTATTCTTTTATGGAAGACCCCCTAGGTTTAGAACAGTCATCTAAAAACTGACGCTATGTTCACTCTGATTTTGTTATCCACCCCCACCTCACCACCACAATTGTGTAGAGCGACATTAATGTCACACCTAGGTATACACGGGTTTGGATAATTGACCTAAGTAACCGGACAGTGGTGAATGAAGTTGAACCCCTCCCCCCCCCCCCCAACCCACCCCGAACTGATCTGTTAAGTAGCCTACATGTAGAAAAACGCGTAATGATACACCAAAGTACCATGCCGCCAGAAAATTAGCTTTTTAAACGTAAAACTCTGTGAATATTGTTTTTGCAATTACTAGTAAAAAGGTGTGTGATCAATACAGTGATCTAACCCATACCTATCACTATGTTAAAAAATGATCTTTAAAGAACACAAAGAAGAGGTAGTTAATTAGAAATATATGATCTGAACTAAAAAACCGACATATAGTTAAATGTTTTTCTATTACTTCGAAAACCGTGGTTTTATACCAACTCTGATTTTAAAAACTTTCATTATGCTGTAATACTTTAGCATTTATGATGACTTTATATTAAATATTGATTATAGACAAAAACGTTTTGTAAACGTTTTGTAAACGTTTTGGCATTTATAATTAAATGTGTAGATATATCGGCCTACATATTTATATTAAGACAGTGATTATTTCCCCTATTTTGCTTGTAAATAATTTTCCAGAAATTATTATGTAAGAATTTTTTTACAAGAATTACTAAACAGATTGTGTTACGTTCATTGTTTTTGGTTATAGTGTGTGTATATTTTTGTTTTGTTTAAATTGATACAATTTTTGTTTTGTCGGCCTACATGGTGTGTTTTTTCTTATTTCTTCAAAGTGCTACTTTCAATTTATTTTACATCATTGTAAAGTAATGACATACAGCTAGTAATTATATATATATATATATATATATATATATATATATACACGTATATAGAAAGTGTTAAGTATATATATATATATATATATATATATATATATATATATATATATATATATATATATATATATATACACGTATATAGAAAGTGTTAAAATTTCGGCGCCTTTTTTTGCTCTTTTTGCTCCCCCTACAACGAAAACCTGGATACGCCTCTGCACCCTTTCTATAACATTATTCATAACACATCGAGTTTACAATGCTTGTAACATACTTGTTTTATATTAGGCCTTAATTTTAATTATAATGAAATGAAAATTAAAATATTAAACCTGTTTTTCCTTTACGTTAAGCCAATCGACTTTTGAGATTTTCATTTTTAGGTTATTCAGCTTGACTGTACCTAGAAGAAAGAAAGCTCGACATTTAAAAATAGTATTAAATGATTTGAGCCAAACTGTGTCATCTTTTTTTTACATTCTATAATTTTGATGCTTTGCGGATCTTATTCAAATAGAATGAGGTCTACTAGCCTTAAAAAATAGGTTGCCTTAGTTCAAACGTGCACTTCATAGATTTGCCTGCATTTATAATTAAGTATAATTTTGTGTCACTTCTTTAAAGGAACGATTTGGGCTACGATAGAGATTTGATCAGACCATAATCAGGCCTGTAATATATTTTATTAGTCTTTTTTGAAGATGCAATACTGTTGGGAAAATGGGGGGGGGGGGGGGGAAACAAGAAGGTAGTGGGCATGAGGGTAGGGGGCATTATTGCGAGGAAAATATTTTTAAAGAAATTGTGCACAAATATGCCCACCATCGTCTAATATGGAGTGAATAAAAATCAAACCTGGAATGTTTCGTTTCTTTCTGTCAACCTCCGCTATTTTAACAAAGTCTACACAGTGTGTTTGATCAGACATATTTAGTCTGTGAAAAGGTAAACACAAACATTGACGACATTCACGTAATCACGTTTTTTTAAACAAAGGAGACTTTAGGCGTAAGGCACGGTGAAAATAAGCTTATTTTAGTACTATGCTAAGCTAATAAAATAAATAATTGTTAAGCGTTTAATATTATAATAAAAAGAAAATAATATGTCGTATGTTTCAGGACAATAAGACTAAAATATATCTATCTATCCATCTATATCTATGTCTATATCTATATCTATATCTATATCTATATCTATATCTATAACTATATCTATATCTATATTTTATTATTTATACACCCATATAATATATATACATATATATATATATATACATATATTTATATACACATATTATATATATATATATATATATATATACATCTATATGATAATATTTATCAAAGCTAAATACAACATATTTTACATAACAAATATTATATTTATATAATAAAATATTGACCTAAGCTATCGTCTTACCTTGATTTTAGGCGAAGTATTTTACGCTTGAAAATGTGTACCTTCTGTTCTATATTATATTCTAAGGTGTTTATTAATCGTCAAAATCATGAACTGATTAAAATAAAACAGCAACTAGGTAAATGGTTTCAATTGGGTTGTGATCTTCTGAAACACGTAATGGCTGACCGGTAATATTTCCCTAGGCAAGCCGTGGTAGATACTCGATACCAGCTGAGCGAAGATAGCGGACTAAAGAGTATCGATACCTGCGCTTCACTAAAGCGCTTCGCGAACGGCAACACAGCGAAGCGGTGAAAATATGGGTGAACGCTGTTTTTCTGTATAGCGTAATTTGTTGAGTTGTATAAAGTTTATAAAATAGGCTACTATTTCTCTGTATAGCGTATGCTGTTGAGTTGTATAAAGTTTATAAAATAGGCTACTATTTGTTAAATGGGGTATTAAATATTTTTAGATTAAAATATTTATAGGCTACGTTGTTATATTTATGATTTTTTTTTTACATTTTTTAATGTTCTTTATTTATAAAAATAAACATATTAAAAATGTAATCGCGAACCCACACATTTAAAAGCTATGTTTGAAATGAACTTTTTAAAATTTCAATATTTACATAGTTGACATGTGGTATAAAATGTATTAGTCTCGACACAGAAAAATAAAATAAAACCGGTCACATTAGAATCGACTTAATGTGACATTCTAATCTATATATATAATTCTCTTCTGGGAGACGCTAGAAAACAAGCTGTAAACGTGCTCCCTACCACCCCCACCCCTACATGGTCTTAGTGAGCTGTGTTCACTCTAAATGTTTACAAGCAGAGCCGGGTTTAGTGACGACTATTAGGGGCAGATAATTTAGTTTGAAACTATTTTAAACGTAGAGGGGAGGGGGGGGGGAAGGAAGGGGGGGGGGGGGTTATGGTCCTTAACGTGCTACTTATAGTGTTTTAAAGAAATATTTTCAGTGGCAGCGTTGGTACCGTCGAATTCACAAATTATGAATTACTGAAAAGTAGAAAAAACAACAACTAAATAGCGGCGTATGTTATGCCGCGGGCCGGCTCGTATTTAAATTTTCACATCCAAATGCATGAAAGGATTCGACAGTGTTCACGGGATGGGCAGAAAATGCCAGACAGGGTGGGTGGAAAGATTGGTGGGGTTCAGATTTTTATTTCAGGCAACTCTACAGGGGTAGGGGAAGAAGCTCGTCTACCCCCCCCCCCCCCCCCAACGAAATATAATTTATATAGAAAATATATACTTTTACCAATGTGTTCCCACCCCCATCCTGGGAAATTTAATCCGCTTATCCCCCTGAACGTTTCAAGTCTGAAAGAGACACTGGTGGGGTTGTGGGGGGGGGGGGGGGGGGGGGGAGGGAGGAGATGAATGAATAACACTGAATCTGTTTCAAGTAAAACTAAGCACCTGCGTCGTTATGTAAATCTTGGTGTGTAATGATTTTTTTTTACTGTAGCCTATAATGGAATGCTTGCTGTTTTTGTTTATTCTGTTTGATATTATTCAACACTTAGCGACAGATAAATACAATGAGCTAAAATAGTAGCTTTATTTTTATCTTTCTACACTAAGAAGGGAATGGTGGTTCAAAAGCAAAGAATGTGTGTGTGTGTGTGTGTGTGTTTTTTTAAGTAAAGTTTTTTTTTCTGTGTTCTATTTTTTTATTCTTAAATAAATGTTTTGGTATTGCCAAAAAAAAAATAAAAAATAATACATTAAATTATAGGTGAGGATGGGTCATTCGTTTGAATGACTAACAGTTCTATGGACAATGAACGTTGCATTATAAGTTGTTTTTTTCTACTCTAGTGCAACTTCACCGAGACCGAATTTCACGAGGGCTTCAAATAGCCCTTCTATAAAACTACCAACACGTAATTAAACATGAAACTAATGTTTTATTTCTTGTTTATTTCTATCTCCCCTCAGCTGACGCGAGCTTAGTGAATTGTTCCATAGAACTGTAGAGCCACGCATACAAAGAGGATTTTCGTTATCATGGCCTTACTTTCGCCATTACGTGTTGGTGACCTAGTTTCGTTTTATTTTTAGCGCTATTGATTTCTTGAACTGAAGTTTAGATACCAGTGCGGGGTAATTCTTGATTTTAAAATCACATATGTGGTCTAAGCTTTTGAGACACTGTCTATATGTAATTGATAAAGAAAATTAATTAATGCTAAGGAAAATGAAATTTTAAATATACAGTCTATTAGATATGAATGAATGCATCTATTTGTTTAAAAAAGGGAATATTGACTCTATACCCCTATAAGCAAATATATATATATATATATATATATATATATATATACATATATATATATATATATATATATATATATATATATATATATATATATATATATAAATTACTAGCAAAGACAACAATACTCGATATTTTTAAATGTTTATTGCAAAGATTTTTAAAATAAAAAAACGGATAGTTTATAAAATGTAATTATATCAGTAATATCAATATGATCAAACAAAGCTGCCTTAAAATGTAAGAAAGTAATAATGAATTTTAAAAATGAACATTCTGTATACAAAAGAAAAATGAAATGCTATGTAATAAAGTTTATAACATAATACATTTAATTTTTTTTTCTCAAATTCTAAAAAAGAAAATGAGACAATACACCCATAAAGTTGGGTCTTTTTATACCTCAGGCTAAATTAAGTTCAAACCAGTTATTTATGAAATGGTGTAAGATAAAAATTAAGAAATTTTGTATATCTAATTTTGTGTGTATGTATACATTTTAAGTTTTAATTTAAGTTTTTATAAAAACGCATGTTTATTTCTAGAAAACAACTTACTGAAAAAGAACTTTGTTTTCATAATTGTATTTCAGACTGACTTTAAAAATACGTTTGTATCTCTGATACTATTCTTGTAAATGTTTAACAGTTTTAAGTAAACAAATTAGCCCAATTAGTCCTTAATACTTATTATTAATAAAGTACACAAAATCAATTTAAGGTGAAAATAAATATATTCTTATCGTTTAAAAAATTAAGCAAATAAACAAAATGTTTAAAATTTTTTTTCAAAAAATTAGCTTTGACCGTGGCATTAATCCAAATCATTTTAAATGTTTAAAATGCACTGTTACTGAGCTAGAATAGGGTTTTAGCTCAACTGGATGATGAATATGATTCATTCTATTCTAATATTCTGCACATACTTCCCACTGGAGCAGTATTCACCGGTCATTGTCCAGAACACTTCAACCTTTTTACCAACGGGTCTGACAAGACTTGGGTTGACCTCTCTCATTATTTCCTCTATAAGGACAGACTCTGAGCCATTGGCCAACACAAATAGAACTTTGCCTTCACAAACAACTTCACAGCTGAATTCATCTGTTTGTTGTGAAAATATATTAAATTAAGATTCGGCATAAAACAACTATTTGGGCCTCAACTTGTTTACATCAAGGGTTTGAATTCTGTTTTCCTTATTGATTCTATATTAGGCATTTGATGAAATGTAATTACTGTGTAATAATGCCCCTTCTTTGCCTTCACACCTTGGTGGATTTAGAGGATAAACGTATATAAATCTCATAAACTATAACCAATATTTCCATTTCGTACAAAGACGAACCATAAGTGTTGAATTACGATCCCGGGTTCTGACAGATAGGCCTACTGGACTTTTAGGGGAAAAAAGGCGACTGGGCCTTGTGCTGACCACATTATCACTTTATATGCCAACGTCACAGAAAGAAATGAACTCTTCTTCACCTGCTCAATGGACTTGAACGGGTAACATTTTTTTTGTAACAGTATGTCAATTTAATATTAATTAGCAACATTTTAAAAACATGTAAAGAATGTTTTAGTTGAATTTTGTTTATTTGTGGTATCATTTGTCCTGATATATTATGTCCCGAGATCTTTTGTCCGTGAGATCATTTGTCCTTGCGATATTTTGTCTGGGATATTTTGTCTGAGATAATTTGTCCTGTCACCTGATAAACATTTGTACTTTTACTAATGCTTAGTACTGTTAACTTACACTTGTGTCTTTTCACAGGATCCTGCACAGTGACCACAGGCGTTGACCTCTTGTCAGATCTCTTGCAGTCAGCCCTCACCTCTATATCGATAGTGTCCTGATAACTACAGAACTCACAGCCAGGATCTATTTCCAGGTTACCCTTGATGTCAGGCAGTTCTAGATGTAGCTTCTTGGTAACACCTGGGGATATATATATATATATATATATATATATATATATATATATATATATATATATATATATATATATATATATATATAGCATATGAATTACTTTTTATCGTTGTATTAATTATTGATAGGATGGGATGGCAAGGGCGAATGGTAGAACGTACGACTGCTTAATCTGCCTCCTTATAGATCATCAGGTTAAAAAAGGGTAACTTAACTTAAAAATCATAATTTTACAGAAACGTGCCTTTTACTTTTCCCGTAATGATTTGAATGCTTCTGTAGCATTCGGCTTCTTTTGCGAGCTGTAAAATGTTTTGTTCGTTTGACATATCCTCCTATTAAGGAAAAAGGAGTTTTAAACATAAATTATTAAATACAGCTATTTAGCCACTTTATAAAAACGAACAGTTTTTTTTTACTTTTTATTTAACCGTTCTCATAGTAACTGCTGTGAAATTTACCTACACTTATATATGTTTAATTGATTGTGGTTTTATTTATTTTAAACCTAACTCTAACTTGAACAGTTTAGATTTGAGCCATGTTTCTAACTTTTTACCTAGATTCATATATTTCCATAATTTGCCAATGACACAAATCCTTTTGGGGAAAAACTTATAGATAAGTAGATAAACATTTGCATTACTCTTTCACTACTGGTATAGTAATTGGCAATCGTTCACATACATGGTAGGAACACTACTTACTTGTTGTGCCATGAGTTGAGTTTTCTTACATTTAACTTCACCTTTGACGTGCAGTTTCACATCTTTCAGATCTGTTAAACCTAAACGGAAAAGTCTATCATTAGTTACACAACCTCTGAAGACGGAGGGGGGGGGGGGAGGATGTAAATTGTAATATAAAGATAGAAAAACACAATTATAAATCATGGGACAGCGTGTTCGGATGGTAGAACTGACTATTGAAGGTTGGATTCTGCTAAGACTTCTCTCTTAAATGTCTAGAATTTCTCATGTGGTTTATGTGGCTTACAGAAATAAATTTTTTAATAAAGAAAAAAAAACTGAACAGCCAACAAAACAGAAATTTAAAAAAGAGGTATTTGATGAACTAATTAACGAAAGTAAAATGTTAGTCGTCTTGCAGTTAAAAGTACATTTTGCACAGTTATATCAGAGGAGGTTAGCTAAAAATTCAAGATAAATTTAAACACCACGATAATATTTCAAATAGATTTAGCATTATTCGCTAGTACTATCATAAAAATTATATATATATATATATATATATATATATATATATATATATATATATATATATATATATATATATATATATATATATATATATATATATATATATATATATATAATATTCTGATTTAGGCCATCTTACCAACAATGTTATTTTTCTTTTTGAAGATCTCACATATCTCGTGAAAGTCAATAACATCCATGTTCACGATGTTTAAAACCTAATGCTTAATCTAAAGCAATATTTGAAAATTATGCCAAATTTTAAGAACTTATAAGTTCCGATTGAGGAAATAAAAATAAAAAAAAATTAAACTCCGTCAATTGTATAGCCTAAATGGCAACTCGTCTGTGTAAACTATTCTAGCGTCACTATCTCCAACGCAGAACTTGTTCGACTCTTCTAAACCCAATAGAACTGCAGACCACAATGAAAGTAACAAAGTGAGTTCTACGCACACAATTTCAACAATTTATACTGTGTGGTCCGTTAGACAGCTCATTGTATCTGAGTTTTCCCGAATTTTTTTTTTTCATTTAACTTGTAAGTACTTATGTTTTGAGGAACTGGAAAAATCCTAAAATTATCATGTCGATACTAGGTATCGATGTCAATTTAAGAATGAGTATTTCGTTTTCTATGAAAACGTATTTGTCGGAAAATCGGACAATGTATAAATAGATTCTGGAGTTGTTGTTTTTTCGGCTTTTAGGGTTAGAAGCGATGATTTTTTTATAGATTTCGGAGAACAAAATTTTTTTAACTTCTGAATTTATTTTTTTCACATCGCCATTGACATAACTTTCACTTGACAAAGTGCAATACATGATATTTACCAACATAACTTCAAGTATATTTAGAATGGACTTCAAAAATTATTTTACCTTGTTTAAAATATTATTTTCAGTGAAGTCTCCACGATACGATTACACTTTCCTTTCATATACCGAGTTTCCTTGAAACAAGTGAACTCTGCACCATGTGTCTTGGACACGAACGAGAAAAGATGATGATTATAAAACTAACTTTGTTAATCGGGTGTGCGAATAGATTCGGCGTGGTCGGACTCGGGGCTGTACAGCTCAAGGTTGCTACACCGAAAAGTCCGAGTTTGAACCCCCGGGCAGATGAGGCTCGTTAGCTGGGGACAGAAACCCATCTAGGAGATAAAACTCTAAACTTGAACAACTGCTGCCTTGTAGTTTGTTCTTGGTTGGACAAAGGGTATGGAAGCAAATCCAGAAAGAAAAGCAGACGGAAATCTGAGTCAATGGCCCAAATGGCGCTTAGAATGTTGACACTTAATGATTATTTTTGTTGGAATATATTGCAACCAACATTACAATGATGAATGAAGAAGGAGAAGGATGTTTAAACAATTACTAATCCAAAAGACCGGCCTCGTGTCCACCCAGCTTTAAAGGGTACCGAACTTCAGTTAGAAAAGCTAAAAGCAGCTGATGAATAAAATAGATCACTTCTCTGAATTAGATGAACTCTACTTTAACTGTCCTTTGGTCGCTAGGTCTGACAGGATAATTTTACGTTTGCTTAAAGTAAGGAGTGTGTGTTAAAAAACTCTTAGATTTTAATTGTTTTTTTTTTTAATAATTAAGAAACAATAACTCAATGACTATATGAACTTTATTGTATAAAAAGAGCAGCAGTTTAGCAATCAAAGCAGCAAATTATGGCATTTGAATGTACACAAAATAAAGCGAAACTAAAATAATATAAAATGGTAAACATGTAGTAGCATGAGTGCAATTTTTAAAATTAAAAAAAAACTACAAGCTACAGAAGAATCCTATTTAAAAGAACTCCCATATAAGATCGATCCAAAAATACTATTCAATCTTCAAAATCAGTTTGCAATTGTTTTTGTTCTTTTAGTTTTCTACACAAAGTAATGTTTAATTACAGGAAATGGGATTATTACACTTTCAGTTGTATACATATCATATGGCAAACAACTTAGAAATAAAATATAAAGCATATAGTATGCTATAAATCATTGTATAAAAATATATTTTTAATGGTTCAATTAAAAAAAAGTATAAGACAAACGAATTAGAAAAAAAAACAGTAGTTTAAAGAACATTCAAATAAAGTATGCTGTAAAGCATTTTATGACAAGTATATTTCTAATGGTTAAATTAAAAAATATATGGCAAATGACTTAATACTAATAAAAATATAGATGTGACATTTCGAAGGCTTATGTTCAATGTCAGATGGGCAGTGTAAGTTCTTTTGTGAAGTTACTTTTTAATTAATAAGCAGTCGAACATATAGTTTTCTCAATTAACAAACCAGTTTAAAAACAAATTATGTAGAATAACGTTATATTCTCTGACAAGCTTACGTTTTAGTGACTATTAAAATATGTGAATGTTTAGTAAAAAATGTTTGTAATCAACAGGTCAAAGATAAACTGGATATAAAACCTAACCATTTATGAAGAATTCTTTGTAAAATAGAGTCTTCAGAAATGGTTGGTTGAGTAATTTTTAAATTCTACTTTTACGTTTTTATTCCGCAGCTAAAAAATAATATCAATTTTTTTTACAAATATATTTTTTAAAAATGACAAAAAAATTCTTTAAAACCTGACTAATTCACACATTAATCTCAGCAAAAAAACTGCTAAATATTTGTAGCAAAATAGTTTGGCAGTCAAATGTAGCGTTTGATTTATTATATTAAATGGTATGATCAGAGTTTATGTATAGTTGTATGTTGCTAGTTAGAGAGCATTTTGCGATTAACTTTGTTGCTATGTTCAGCTCTCATAAACTTGGTTATTATAAAAAGAGTATTAATATTTCACTACCTTATGGTTAGGCTAATACATATCAAGTATAAGCCTATCCCAATTTGTTAAAGAATAAGTTTTAATACTGAGTATTTTTCTGTTGGACCAGAAACAAGATTTTGGTAAAGATTTAGATGTAGGGCTAGACTATTGACTAGTCAAGATATAGGACTAGGATTAGGCTTAAGCTACGGATTGTTATTGACCATAGCGATTTAAAACTAAATCTGGGGAGAACCTATTTTAGAAGTACAAGGCCAAAATAAAATCTTACTACAGGTTTTGATTATTTTGTCTTTGTGGCGAACTTCGTTGAGTTAAAAGAATGTTCAAACTAAATTTAGAAATCAAAATACAGAGTATTACGGCGTTACTGTTACAAATTATAGAGTATTAAAATAGCAGGATAAAATAATAAACAGATATAAATTTAAAATACTTCAATGCTTTCAAAATATCTAATATCAGGATAAACAATAAACAGATACAAATTAACAAAACTTCATTCCTTTCAAAAAGTCTAATATCAGGATAAAACAATAAAGAAATATAAATTAATAAAACTTCAATGCGTTAAAAAAGTCTAAAAACAGGACAAAACAATAAACATATTCAAATTAATAAACCATTGCTTTCAAATCGTCTAATATTATGATAAACAAAAAATACAAATTAACACAACTTAAAAGCTTTCAAAAAGCCAGCAGGATAAAACAATAAACAGACACAAATTAACAAAACTTCAGCAAATAAAAAAATAAAAATCCAATGTTGGGTGCTTCCATGCTTCAATTACTTAAATTTGAGTTCCAGATCTTTGCCTGAGCAGGTGGCACTGTGATCCACATTACCCTCTACCCTCCAATAAACTTTGTCGCCCATGACTGTAAAATCGTTGGCTCCTGCGACATTCTTTCCCTGCAGAAATGTAATTATTTCACTCAACTCTTGACTGTCGTCGTCACAGTTTGTATAGTTACATCCAACTCGACCACGAAGCTCCAGATAGCAGGTGAACCGACCTGGGAAAAACATAATTGTTAAATTAGAAAAATCTCTAGACTATGTGTCATTAGCAGCCATACTAAAAGGTCCCGAAAGCTCAAAGCAAAAATATTTGAAGGTATTGATTTTAAAAATATTTGTACCCAAATACCAAAAATGTTTTAACTAGTACTTAATTTTCTATATATTATATATATATATATATATATATATATATATATATATATATATATATATATATATATGACAGGAAAAGACAGATTATACAATATGTAATTATGTCATTTCTTTCATATTTATATGTATTTTTAATCTGGTCTTGTTTTTATATAAAATCAGATAAACCATCATTGAAACTAAATATTTTTCAAGAAATCAGTGGCGTTTTACTACATTTATACTTAGTCCTACTCTAACTTTATCATCTTGACTCACTCCCAGATTCCAGCTTTTAATTTTTAAAACATATTGTACTTTTTTACTACCAGCTAAATTATTCTCCTAAATACCATCGGTCGTCTTCAGTTAAGTAAGCTTGAATGTGTCAACTTTCCGAAGTTCTCACCTTTGAACCCTTTCTCTTGTGATTTGATCACCGCCTTCTGTGAACCGTTGCCAGGGATTTCCTTCCGTTGCGATACGCCTGGTGTAGAACTACGTAACCCTATGGACGCAAATGAACCATTAGGGTTCAGCTCCACTTCTAAGTTGTTAGGCAACTTCAGCCTGACACTCTTATCTATCCCTGATTTGAATTGTTTTAAACATTAATTAATTAAACACTTAAGTTATTTGACTTTTTATTTATTACATGTAACTTAATTAAGACTAAACACAGCTAAATTATATGTATTATTTTTTTTTAAAAAAGCAATTTTAAATTATTTTTTTTATCAGAATTTTACCAAAAACCCGTCCTCTAGTAACTGAAGCAACCAGATCGTTCTTGGGGTGTTTGGTCACAGTCACAGTTGTGTTGCTTCTGCTGGCATTTGTTGAACATGATATTAGCACCTGAAACACGTTATTCAAAACAAGTACAGTTGAAACATGCAGTTTATGTCTGTGTTCAGTTCTATGTTATCGCGAGTCAAGGCAAATTTGAGGGTGACACCGAAGAGAATAATTTATTTTTTTAAAATTGGGCAACTGCCGACTAGCCTCGAAAAGAAGTTGTTATGCATGTATTAAATTGTCTCAGAACTTTTTCTGAATTCCTATGTAACTTAGCCTTAATATATTTTCATATATCTCTACAAGCAGTCTAATGTAATTACATTTTTTAAAAACCAAGGAAATTAATGTAATAAATAAATTGTCATTAGATTTTCACAACTATATTGACGTTTTGATATTTTTAAACACTCGTTTAAGAAGAAAGGGGAAATTGTTGCTTACATTTCTTTTTAACTTTTTCAGGCAGCCATCGTCTGGTATGGAATTGATCCAGCGAATCGGTGGACGTTCAGCCACCTTCAGCTTTAACCTTGCAAAGTTTACGTTGTAATCTGTTCATTGAAATAAACATACAGAAAATACACCTTTTTCACGTACTCTAGACTGATTCTCTACTGTTACACCCATTCACATACTTTATCGCTACACCCAGACAGATACTCTATTGCTACACCCAGACAGATACTCTATTGCTACACCCAGACAGATACCCTATCGCTACACCCAGACAGATACCCTATTGCTACACCCAGACAGATACTCTATCGCTACACCCAGACAGATACCCTATTGCTACACCCAGACAGATACCCTATCGCTACACCCAGACAGATACCCTATCGCTACACCCAGACAGATACCCTATCGCTACACCCAGACAGATACTTTATCGCTACACCCAGACAGATACCCTATCGCTACACCCAGACAGATACCCTATCGCTACACCCAGACAGATACCCTATCGCTACACCCAGACAGATACCCTATCGCTACACCCAGACAGATACCCTATCGCTACACCCAGACAGATACCCTATCGCTACACCCAGACAGATACCCTATCGCTACACCCAGACAGATACCCTATCGCTACACCCAGACAGATACCCTATCGCTACACCCAGACAGATACCCTATCGCTACACCCAGACAGATACCCTATCGCTACACCCAGACAGATACCCTATCGCTACACCCAGACAGATACTTTATTGCTACACCCAGACAGATACCCTATTGCTACACCCAGGTACACACACTACTGTTACACCCATAAATGTTCCATTTCTACAGGGGCGAGGATAAATCCTCCTCATTCTACGCTTTGTCATCTTCTTTTCCCGTTGTTGTCCATGATACATAGGGGCAGAAAAAGGGGTGAGCTTCTATATCCCGGCGTACAAGGTGAAACTGTGATCAAAAACATGCCCATTCAAAGTTTAATTGCCCTAATTTTGTAGTCCCTCATCAACACCTTAATTACAACCCTGAAGCTAATATGTGAACTCTAGTTTGAATACTACAGTTCATGTGGCAGATGAAGTAGAGTTATTTTGTCTTTGTAGTCCCAGCATACTAAGGTATCGTGTGGACAGAATATGCACAACGGGTTATAATAATTCGTTTAAAATGTATAGTCAAATGAGAAGATTTTAATTAACTCTAAGTATAATGGGTGGTTTGAAATTAGTACTTACTCAAATCCTGTCCATTTTGTAACTTGTAAGCCTCCTTACACAGTCTAGCTAAATTGATGTCTCCCATGATTGATTGTGTAGTCTAGAAATCTACGGGAAATTAGTCTGTCACTGTTTCTTTGACAGACACAATCTAAGTTTCTTTTTCAATATCTTTTACCATATGTAATAAAATATCTTTATATAAACTAATATATAAAAAAATATTTTAAAAAATTACCTTAAATAAGGTAACAAAATAAGTATTTAAAGGATTTGTTTACTTCCCTGTATACCTATAACTTAAGTAAAATTCAAAGTAAATAACAATATAAAAATAAAAAACTACATATTTTCAGTTTTTAAAAACAAATACTAATTAGTTAATCTATAGATCGTTTGATAGTACGGCGATCTCTTTGTATTCCAATCGACTACTATGACTATTAAATATATTTAAAAAATAAATTGAGAAAAATATAAGATTAAACAGTTCTGAAAGTAAAACTAGCCAAACGTGTCCGGCTCTTTGGGATCATGGTGTGGCCAAGGATGTTAAAATATGAATGTAATAAATAGAGGTCCACCTTAACACAAAGGAACTAATGCCGATTAATGAAATATACTAGTGATAACACAAGTAGACAATTTATTTCCCTAAACTTGTGACAAAAAATAGTGTGCTCGTAATTTTACTAGTAGATCCAAGCTGAATACAAAAACATTATTTTCTGCGGGTCTAGAAGACTATATATAGCTTTTGTTGATACTATATATAGACGTTTTATTCCACGCAATGAATTCAGATGTTCTTGAAAATTCTCCAATGTTAAAAAGAAATACAAATAGTTTACGATACAACTTGTATGACCCCCACCCCCTTCCAAAACGTCCTATCACCCCCACCCCACTCTTACTCCACCTACTACTTATAACTGGCTATTCGTTAATAACGGGAAATTTGTTTTCAGGACGCCATCTTAGCTGTTTATTCATTGAAAAACGGGAAATTTAAATTTAGGAAGCCATCTTTGTGGACCAAAAAAAGTACGAAGTATCGATACCATAACGATTACCTGGCAGACGGCCACATCAGGACGACTGGAATTGCGTTTCATGCGTGGCGCTATTTTCGAATTTCTGCTTCGCTTTGAAAGTTAGTTATATTTTTTTTTCTTGATGATAAAAATGCAAAATTTGCATTGCTACACATTGGCCTTCATAAATTTAGCACATGAATCCTGTCCTTTTTGGTTCGTTGGAATTTTTTCTGAATTTAAATCAAACACACTTTCATACCAGACAGAGTTTTACTGTTTATTTATTAAAGATCTGGTGTAGATTTGAATGAGGGAAGAGGGGGCACATTGAGATAGGTAGAGGGTAAGAGAGGGGTATAACAGGGGGACCTCATAACCCATAGTGAAGGTGATGAAATGGGAATTTTTGGGGACTTCGAGTTTAGTGATTAAAAGAAAATTGAAAAAAGAGGACATGTATGAAATAAGATGATGAGTAATTTAAACGACCTTTTTCATTAATAGATTTACTTTTTTTTATCAGACATTGGCTGGGGTAAAGGAAGTAGAGTTGGCATGTCTATCTCATCGTGGATTCATAAAGGGTAAGTGTGGCCAAAACTAAGCCTGGTCACATTTATTCTATCCGAGTCTTCAGGTACCAATTAAAACTGAGTCGACTCAAGCACGCCCTTAAGACTTGAACCGTAAACCAAAACGTAAGACTTTAGGGTTAGATATCGTGCATTCTACCACACAACCACTATTTAGACATTTTGTGGCATGATCACAATGTCACATTTTGACAGTTATGTCAGGGTTTATGTTGCAGATGGTTTGTTAGTGACATGTCAGTAGTCTAGGGGTGGGAGGAAGAAGGTGGGGGTACATTTTCTAGAAAAAGTTTGTTTATATTATTAGTGTATTTTCGTATTTATCGTTTGTAAATTATAGGGGAGAGTGGATGAATTCAACCCGTTATATTCAAGCATAGATTATTGATATTGCTGACCACTCTTTATAATTATAAAGAATTAAGTGGAACCTCAAGGAAAAAGAAAACAGAAAAGGCCAAAGGAGACGTGGAAGCTCACGGCGGGGAAGCAGCTGGCAGAGGCAGGACTGTCATGGGGGACTGCCAGGAAAATGTCATGAGACTGACAAAAGTGGAGGGAGCTTTTTGTGGCGACCTCATGTGTCATGGGCACAAAAATAAAAGATGGTGCTTAAGTGAACCTTCCGTTAACTCTGAAGAGCACCTGATCTGATAATTTAACAGAATTCTACACCTATATTTGTTTTTAATATATGCGACAAAGATCCCATTAGGCAATTTTCTAAGAGTTTAGAACTTTACATAGGTTATATAACACAACACGTAAAATATTTCAACAATTCAAAGTTTATTTCACTTTCTTTTACAATAAAATATTTTTTTTTATATTTGAATGTTGAAAAGAGTTGGCGAAATATCACGAAAAGCATTGTAATTTTACAGTCAAATTTGAAAATTAATCACATTTTAATGAATATTCCAGTATCAGGAATATGAATATAATTTTTTTTTAAATATGAATATGAACAGAACATTAATTTTTAACTTTTCCATTCAATTTTTGCTTCAGAAGAAACATAAAAATCTACATATCCCTTGACGGGGATCTTCACAGCCTCCGAGAGACCCCTGGAGGATTCCGTATACCTTGTCCCTGGGGGTGGGTCAGACAGCGCCCGACGTTGATGATCTACCTGGTCCCCTAGAACCATCTCGAAGACATCGTTAATGGCGACGTCCATTTCACCACCAAGTCTACCGGAAATAAGGATAACTGCAGCGAAATATCCTGGTGAAAAAATATAAATAAAATTGTAATACAGAGATCAGGGAATAAAAAATGTGAAAATGACATATCTTGAAACTAACACAAGAAAAGGTTACCACTTGGGACAGTTGGAGAAACTAGCACAAGTAAGATGGGTTACCATTGGGGGACAATAGGAGAAACTAGCACAAGAAAAGGCTACCACTGGGGACAGTTAAAGAAACTAGCACAAGAAAGATACCTTATTACTGGGTACGGAAAAATTAGCACAAGAAAAAAGATACGTTACCACTGGGGACATTAGTATGACAAAAACTTGGCCTACAATGGTTTTTGTCCTCATATAACAACATATTACTACTTATAACAATAACGTGTATTGAATTGCTGCTTTTAAGATATAATGTTCAGAACGTAAAAATCGGCTTCAAAATTTAGTTCGCTGCTCACATTGCAAATGAAATATTTTTTTTATAACAGGTATAAACCCTTATGTATTTTACTAATTATTTTTAAAGGTCTGGTGTAGATTTGAAAGAGGCAGGAGGGGGCACATTGAGATAGGCAGAGAGTAAAAGATGGGCATAACAGGGGGAACCCAGAGTGAAGGTGATGAAATGTGAATTTATGAGACTTTTTGGAAGTTTTAGGGTTAAATTAAAGTTGAAAAAAAGGATTAAAAGAAGAAATGTATGAAATAAGATAATGAGTAATTTAAACGACCCATTTTTTCTAAGTAGATTTGATATTTTATATTGTGTGTGAGCAGAAACGAAAGCATGATGAGCTGACCTCTGTAGTGGGTGTTCTTGGTGCTGACCATAGCACTAGCCCCTGCTGTGGCGCCTTTAGTGGAGCGGGTGCTGGTCATGTCAAGACTGTCTTCTTGTGTCTTGTCTAAGACACTCAAGGCAGGGTCTATGTAAACTGACTGCCCAAAGGCTTTAAAGACATCGGGAGGGACCTCCTCTTCATTCAAAGGTAACTGTATGATGGTATTCAGACCTAAAACACAACAAATTATTGTTGATTAAAAGGTAACTTAATGATGGTATTCAGACCTAAAACACAACAAATTATTGTTGAATAAAAAAACTCAATGATGATATTCAGATAAAAAACAACAAATTATTGTTGAATAAAACGTAACTTAATGATGGTATTCAGACCTAAAACACAACAAATTATTGTTGATTAAAAGGTAACTTAATGATGGTATTCAGACCTAAAACACAACAAATTATTGTTCAATAAAATGTAACTTAATGATAGTATTCAGACCAAAAACATATTTCACGTGTGATTGTATATTTTTATATATAAGCTAGAAGTGTTATTAAGATCGAACACATAATTCAATAATTTTAATGTAATGTAATGATGCTTTTAAAATTAATAGCTGCTTTAAAAAAATTAAATATGCTCAACATTTTAATTATCATTTCATTAATAACATATCTGAAGCGTTAGTGTAATGTTGCTGTTGTTTTTTTTAAAGAGTCGTTTCAAACTTTAATTTGTCTTGTTTAATGCCCGCCTCATATAGTTTAATCATTTAATTAATGGACCCAACGAAAGGGTTATAAATGGTTAATACCTTAAATTAATGGACCCAACGAAAGGGTTATAATTGGTTAATACCTTAAATTAATGTACCCCTACGAAAGGGTTATAAATGGTTAATACCTTAAATTAATGGACCCCTACGAAAGGGTTATAAATTGTTAATACCTTAAATTAATGCACCCCAACAAAAGGGTAATAAATGGTAAATACCTATAATTAATGGACCCCAAAAAAGGTTATAAATGGTAAATACCTTTAATTAATGGACCCTCGGTAATGTTTAGGATCCAGCCGCTTTTGTTTTTGCATCTTAGAGCCACCATTCTAGATTTATCTTCTGCTGTGGATGCTTGTTTGTTCTCGTTCTGAAAGATAGTTGGACATGTTTTTATGGTTCATGTAAGTGTCGACGAATAATAAAAATGTTGCTTGAGATTTAACAATAACGCAACATCTACGAAAATTGTTTTTACTCTGTATGTTTCACTATTATTACTGTCATTAAGACCTGGGAATGGGGGTCATTGAAACAGGTCAGCTCTACTTCACCTGCGCCAATAGACCGTTAGATTTGAAAGGGTGCTGTACTAGTTTAGGACTAGTATTGTGATAGAGTTACTGTTAGAGGTTTATTTTCTTTAATGTTTCCTACATGTCTAAAGAAGGTAGTACAAACCTTTACATTGCTCGGATCGGAAGAAAACCCCCACCATGTGACGTCATCTAGTTTTATTTTGATATTTCTCAGGTTGGCGTTTCCTAATTTTAGAAAATAAAACAAAACAAGATGAGAAAATGTGTGGACATATCACAGTAAAAAACATGTTAAATTTCTGATAGTAAGGAGATGTGCGAATATAAAGTACAAATGTCAAATTAATTTGTGACAGTAAAGAGATATGCGAATGTAAAGTACACATGTCAAATTAATTTGTGACAGTAAACAGCTATAAAAATGTGACAGTATAAAGATGTCACATACATTTGTGACAGTAAACAGCTATAAAAATGTGACAGTAACGGCTCAGTCCACGAAACACACTGATTAGTTTCGCACCGCTGAGCTTGTTTGAACAGCTACAAGCGGCGAAAGTTAAAGTTGTATTAAAACATGTATCTATGTAGGTTAACTGTGGTTCTATGTGGGCGAGTGGTAGAGCCCACGAGCACCAACCCAAAAGTCATGGGTTCGGTTCCTCGTCTTACCGTCTCATTTCCAAACCTGAAGAAGGGGATAGGCCTACAGGATGAACAAAGTTCTTCTGCCAATACTTACATACTTATAACAGACAAACGTACCTGATAGGTTATTATCTTTACGGTATTCCTCAACAGTCTTTTCAACGTCGATCACTTTTAAATTCGCCATCGATGCTAAAATAATTATGAAAAAAGTCAGAGGAATAATTTTCTATAGGTTACACGTTACTTTTTGTTTTACTATTAGATCTACGTTCATTTTAGAAAATGTACATTTTTATTCATGCGTTGTATGGACGAAATATTTCAGAAATGTATTTATGATATTTGATCAATGCAGTTTACACATAAGTTAGTATTAAGATGTTTACTTACTTTTAAAACAAATTCCACTCACGAATTAAAGGACATAAAACAATATATAAAACACGAAAAAGTTTTAAGTATACATTTTAAAACAATCTCTAAAATGTATGACAACAGTCAAGTTATTTTAAAATTGAACTTATACATTATTGTTAGTATTGGTCTTGATTTGTATAGAATAAATTATGGGTAAATAAACAAACAATTTTTATAAAAATAATTTAATATATAATACCTAATAATAGGGTGATAAAATTATCTTTTATAACTTAAAGAAATCACTAATGAGACAAACCTGAATCCAATATGTCAAATCACTAAACAAGACAGGCGAAAATTCGTGTGGTTAGCGTAAATACTTGATTAGGTTGATCCTCGTTTTCATGCCCGGCAAGTTATAACTACTCTCTAATCGTCAACAAGGATTCCCCTTTTTAGCCGCGCTGAGCTTTATGACGTGTACACATCGGGAACTCCGTATCGAGGCGGCTATTTATAGAACCAACGACACCGTATCTGAAGCAGGTGATTTGGTTTCGTTTTTTTAAAAAAAATTAAACTATAAGTAACGTATCGAATTAACTAGTGGCGAGTTTTAGAGTTGGTGAAGTAAAAGTTTTTTATTTTAATACTTCCATGAAAGAAAAAAGAAACAGGATAATTAGTAAACAAGAGATTGTTTTTACAAAATCTAGAACTACGGCAGCAAACTTCGGACAAGACAAAAATCAACATTCTTGGTAAGTGTTTGTAAATTTAATTAAAATCTAGTAATAAGTGTTTAGATAACATTTCATTTCGTGGGGAAAATATTACAACCGGGTTTTTAAAAAAAATTCACCTCAAATAATTTATCGTAAGAGATCGAGTATGTTTGATTTCGTCCATTTATTTTGATATTAAAATCAATAGACCTGTATGAACACGATTCAGATAGTGGTTTATATAATTTTTATATCTGGGTTAGGTTTTGAATATTAGAATTTGTGTTGAAATAGGAGTTAGAGGTGAAAGATTGGCGACGATTAAAGTTAGAACAGGCTAAGGCTTTTGATTAGGTATATGATTAGCATCTAAAACGATCTAAAGCAAATAAATCTAGAATAGTCCACAGAAGCCAACATTACCTTCTAGTTTTATCTGTACATCTTGTTTTGTTTTGAAACAGTAATTAAACAAAAGTTTAAAAGATTAACAAACTGACATTTTTCGAATATTAATTAATTTCTAATTAATAACTTGAAATAACTTTAAATAACAAGCTGAAATCTAAACACATTTAAAACTTGAAACCACCTACATTTGTTACATAACATTTCTTTAATTACAGGCCACTTTTTATCTATAAACTCACACCCACTGTCGTTATTCTCTCCCCTGACTCACGTGCACTAGACGTGAGTACCTCGTGTGTGCTCATCGCCTACCATGCCTCAAATCAACGACCCAGAAATCTTACTAGACCTGAAATGGTTGTCTTCAGAATATTTTAAGTTTTTACCCAAAACAAAAGGTACGTTCACAAAAACGAATTAAATATCGATGTTCAAGTCTAACTAGTAGACTAGGTTGATAGCTTTATGATAGTAGTAATCGAGTAGTAGTGCGCATGACTTCTTAGCCGATAAGTCCAGAGTTTCGATCCTCCCCAACTCTCCATGACAGTTGAAGCTCGTTAACTTGGTCTAAGAAATCAAACAATGAATCAAATAACTGTGGATCAGGAGAGGGGCCCTATGGTGATGGGATAACTAACCTTGGTGATGGGATAACTAACCAATGTGATGGGATAACTAACCTTGGTGATGGGATAACTAACCAATGTGTTGGGATAACTAACCTTGGTGATGGGATAACTAACCAATGTGATGGGATAACTAACCAATGTGATGGGATAACTAACCAAGGTGATGGGATAACTAACCAAGGTGATGGGATAACTAACCAAGGTGATGGGATAACTAACCAATGTGATGGGATAACTAACCAATGTGATGGGATAACTAACCAAGGTGATGGGATAACTAACCAATGTGATGGGATAACTAACCAATGTGATGGGATAACTAACCTTGGTGATGGGATAACTAACCAATGTGATGGGATAACTAACCATGGTGATGGGATAACTAACTAAGGTGATGGGATAACTAACCAATGTGATGGGATAACTAACTAAGGTGATGGGATAACTAACCAAGGTGATGGGATAACTAACCAATGTGATGGGATAACTAACTAAGGTGATGGGATAACTAACCAAGGTGATGGGATAACTAACCAATGTGATGGGATAACTAACCAAGGTGATGGGATAACTAACCAATGTGATGGGATAACTAACCAAGGTGATGGGATAACTAACCAATGTGATGGGATAACTAACCAAGGTGATGGGATAACTAACCAATGTGATGGGATAACTAACCATGGTGATGGGATAACTAACCATGGTGATGGGATAACTAACCAAGGTGATGGGATAACTAACCAAGGTGATGAGATAACTAACCAAGGTGATGGGATAACTAACCATGGTGATGGGATAACTAACCAAGGTGATGGGATAACTAACCAATGTGATGGGATAACTAACCAATGTGATGGGATAACTAACCAAGGTGATGGGATAACTAACCAATGTGATGGGATAACTAACCAATGTGATGGGATAACTAACCTTGGTGATGGGATAACTAACCAATGTGATGGGATAACTAACCATGGTGATGGGATAACTAACTAAGGTGATGGGATAACTAACCAATGTGATGGGATAACTAACTAAGGTGATGGGATAACTAACCAAGGTGATGGGATAACTAACCAATGTGATGGGATAACTAACTAAGGTGATGGGATAACTAACCAAGGTGATGGGATAACTAACCAATGTGATGGGATAACTAACCAAGGTGATGGGATAACTAACCAATGTGATGGGATAACTAACCAAGGTGATGGGATAACTAACCAATGTGATGGGATAACTAACCAAGGTGATGGGATAACTAACCAATGTGATGGGATAACTAACCATGGTGATGGGATAACTAACCATGGTGATGGGATAACTAACCAAGGTGATGGGATAACTAACCAAGGTGATGGGATAACTAACCAATGTGATGGGATAACTAACCAAGGTGATGGGATAACTAACCAATGTGATGGGATAACTAACCATGGTGATGGGATAACTAACTAAGGTGATGGGATAACTAACTAAGGTGATGGGATAACTAACCAAGGTGATGGGATAACTAACCATGGTGATGGGATAACTAACTAAGGTGATGGGATAACTAACCAAGGTGATGGGATAACTAACCAAGGTGATGGGATAACTAACCAATGTGATGGGATAACTAACCAATGTGATGGGATAACTAACCAAGGTGATGGGATAACTTACCATGGTGATGGGATAACTAACCATGGTGATGGGATAACTAACCTTGGTGATGGGATAACTAACCAATGTGATGGGATAACTAACCAATGTGATGGGATAACTAACCAATGTGATGGGATAACTAACCAAGGTGATGGGATAACTAACCAATGTGATGGGATAACTAACCAATGTGATGGGATAACTAACCAAGGTGATGGGATAACTAACCAATGTGATGGGATAACTAACCAATGTGATGGGATAACTAACCAATGTGATGGGATAACTAACCAAGGTGATGGGATAACTAACCTTGGTGATGGGATAACTAACCATGGTGATGGGATAACTAACCAATGTGATGGGATAACTAACCTTGGTGATGGGATAACTAACCAATGTGATGGGATAACTAACCAATGTGATGGGATAACTAACCAATGTGATGGGATAACTAACCAAGGTGATGGGATAACTAACCTTGGTGATGGGATAACTAACCATGGTGATGGGATAACTAACCAAGGTGATGGGATAACTAACCAAGGTGATGGGATAACTAACCAATGTGATGGGATAACTAACCAATGTGATGGGATAACTAACCTTGGTGATGGGATAACTAACCAAGGTGATGGGATAACTAACCAATGTGATGGGATAACTAACCATGGTGATGGGATAACTAACCAAGGTGATGGGATAACTAACCATGGTGATGGGATAACTAACCATGGTGATGGGATAACTAACCATGGTGATGGGATAACTAACCATGGTGATGGGATAACTAACCATGGTTTCCTTTCAGCTACATAAGCTGGTACCAAATTTAAAAAAAAAATTAAACTGGCATGGGCAAACTATGATATTTTCGTAAAAAGCAAATGGTGCCCTGGAGAAGATTTTACTTCTCTAAATGCATCCATTTTCTCAAGAGGTAAATGGAGCTATAGGCCTATATCTAGGAAAGATGCCAGTGATGTATGTCTGATTTGGTGAAAATAGCAATCTCTGTAGATTTCAAACATTTTGTATTCATATTGATTTAGTGATGTACATCTGGTTTGCAGAAGATATCAACTTCTGTAAATTTTTAACAAGTATTCATGTTGATTTAGTGATAAACATCTGGTTCGAGGATAATTTCAACCTCAGTAAAAATTTAAACATGTCGTATTCATGTTGATTTACTGATGTACGTCTGGTTTGAGGATAATTTCAACCAGTGTTTTTTTTAAACATGACGTGCTTATGTTGAGTTAGTGAGTTCTTTCCCTGCAGATCTAGAGGTGACGTCATACTTCGACGGTCTGATGGTCAAGCTAAAAGACCTCAAATGGGAACCAGAATCCAACTCCAGCCAGCAGAGTGAACTGGATATTTCTGGAAATGTAAGGGTTAAAAGAATATTATATTAATATTACATATTAGTCTAGAATTTGGGGGGGGGGTCGGTGTGGTCGAGTCGGTAAAGCTCATTGCTGCTAAACCGCAAAATCTCGAGTTCAAACCCTCAATAGCGCATAACCAGTTGACACGTATACTTAATTGTGTTGGAGCCCCTCCAACATTAAAATTTTGAACGAAGAAGAAGAAGAAGTCTAGAATTTACATTTGAAGTATTGATGTTACAGAGGTCCGATAATAGACTCTTCTGAAAATAGGTGTATTATGTCATTAGTAGTATTATGATATGATTGATAGAAGGTAAAGTGTTAGGGTCAGAAATTAAAAGTAGGTTCATGGTAGGAATTTGTTTAGTGTTTGAGTTAGGCTTAGGATTTAGTGCTGACATGGGCGAGTTATGTTAGTATTAGCTTTACTACTAAAAACCTAACACCCCTGTTTTAAGAAGAGTCGATTATCGTGGCATAATTGGTCCTGTGTGATATATAAATATGATTGGACCTAATAGGGCTGGTAAGTAGGTCACCAAACAGTTCTACGGCTCAATAAAACCTGCATGAGCCATAGAACTGGTTGGTGACCTACTTACCAGCCCTATTCTCCTTTACCAAATCTGGCGAATCAAGCGCTATTTTTAAAAAAAATCATGTGAATTTTTTGTTTTAACTCACAAGGTGGGCGTGGCCTATAGTGAGCTGTACGGGGAGGTCATCAGCAAGGTCAACATGGCCGTGACCCCACAGGTATCAGCGGAAGTGGCTCTGCTTCATGGGTGTATCATAGGTAGGGTTTTAGTTCACTTGATGTCAGGGGTAAAGGGGGTGGGGGGGGGGTGGGTGATGGTAGCGTTTTAATTTAGTTGTTAGGGTAACATGGTAAGATGGTTGTTAGAAAGCAGAATTATACGGTCTGCTTAAATATATAGGGATTAAAATTATGGTGTATTATATAGAAAGTAAAATTTATATTTTGAGTTATAACAAGTTAGGTGTCATATGACTGAGTTGTGATTATTAAAGTTTTAAAATATTAATTTTAATTAATTAAATTTTTAGAATTGGCATTAGATTCAAGATATTTGGGAAATAGTTTACATTGAAAAAAGTTAAGATTAGACTGTATAAGATTACATTGTAAATAATTTTGAGTTAGATAAATCGTTTAATGTTTAGGCTATTCAAATGACAGGGACTAGGAGGGTGTAAAAATCAAAATAAAATTGAATAGTTTTTATATTTATCTTCCCCCAGGTCTTGACGAAAGGACGGTGGACTTACCTCTTGAAGGTCTACCCCCTGATATTAAGGAACGTACGGGCGAGAGATGGGAATTTCAACCTGGGAAATTAGTCAGCACTTTTACAAAACCTGGTCCGACCTTTCAACGTGAGGTCATTAGTTCCAAATTTGGGAGCAGTGTTAGCATTAATACGGATCCCCTAGTAGGAGTTTCAACTCGAACAAAAACAATTTCAACAGCGGCGACGAATGCGGAGATTAAATCATTTAATAGCAGCTACATCAGTAAGTTTGTATTTATATGATATATATTCCAATTTGTTTTAAGTATTTATTAATCGCTACTTCTGCTTTTGTTTTGTTAAGGAGTTTAAAAGTAGCATTGTGTAGAATTCTTGTGTGAAAAGGTATTAAATGCATTCTTGGCTTTGAAGTGCTTGTCCTGTTATTCTCGAAAACAAATATATAATTTAGAAAATATCTTACATTTACTTTAGTACTAGCATAATATTTAGTACAGATACCCTGATTTTAAAATCTCTTGTGAGCCTGTGAATGTGTTTGCATTTTTTACACTTGAACTCATTATTTTGTGTTTTGTATATGTTCCTACTCATTTTTAAAGTTTTACACACTATATAATCTTTATATTTTCTGTCTTAAAAGTGTAATCCTCCAATTTAGTGATATTTGATAACAAATCTTTAGAAATTGGTGTAATTTTAATTTTATTTTAATTTTCTAGGATACTTTACTGCTCGAATTAAACTCCGAGGGAATGTAAAATCCGTCTATCAGGACAAGAAATCTCAAAGACAAGTAATCAATACGCCAATCCACACTATGATAGAGAGAGTAAAGACAAATATGAACGATGGCTTTGAAACTTGTTTTTACGAGATCAATAAATTAAAAGTCAGCAAAGTTCTAAATAATAAAAGTGTTAGTTTTATGATCCGTGGTCAACTGAACATCAAATTTAAAGACATTGACTTTCTACAAAGAGATTATATGCTATGGTGACTTAAGGCAACACTGCTTTCTTTGGTTTATGCCACGGTTTTAAAACAATTATACGACAAAAAAATTTTCTGCTGATGTACAACTGTAAATATGTCTAGAAAAACATTATTTATTATAAAGTGATATTTATTATGGCTATTGCTAACATCTGTTTCCTGTTTAAAAACACTGGTATTAGCTTTCTTTATTCACTATGTGAAATGGCATATATATATATATATATATATATATATATATATATATATATATATATATATATATATATATATATATATATTCAGTTATTAATATTTAATCAAAAGTCAACCCTACTAAGGATCTGATTTGCATGTTTATTTAAACCCGATTTTGTATGGGTTATCCAATTGTATGAAAATAGATCTTTCTGTATAAACGTGTATCTAAATAATATGTAAATATGTGCAGATGTAAAATAAAGCTCGCCTATTTAATTCATTGTGTTTATTGTTTTTTTTTTAAAGAAATATTTTCGTTCTTTTAAAATTGTATCTAACATTAGTCAATTAATAGGAGACTAGACAGCAGTGCATTAAATTGGTGGTGTATGGCATAAGGATGTTGTGTTTAGTACTGGGTAGACCTAGTTACAGCCTTAAATCTAAAGGTTCTCCATTAAGCGAAAAAGACTTAATGCTAGCATTGCTATGTATGTCTATAAGTGGGTACGATGCAGTGCTAGACCTATGGCTATGACGAGTATGTTGCGCATATTAAAATTAATTTGACCCCTAATTATATTTTACTTGCACACTTCAAAATAGTATTGATTTTAAACTAAATAATTTGACATAAGCTATACTAAAAAATGTCGCATTAGCTAGACTATTTAGAACTAGTAACATAAGTCGAAGCCTAATCAAATTACACAGGCAAAATGGGGAAAATGTGTGGTTGAAATGTTGCTATATATATAATTGGCCATACAAATTACTATCTTATAGGTTGTGTTGAACTGTGGTGTTAGTTTACAGTATTTACTAATTTTAGGTTGGTTATGATGCGTGGAAGAAATTTTTTTGATACACATTATTTCAAATCAATCGTAATACTTAATCTTAATATATATTTAATACTGCTACCTATGCTATGAAATACATGCATTGATTTAAAGCAGGGGTCGCCAAACAAAGGCCCGCGGGCCGGATGCGGCCCGCCAGGTCATTGTATCCGGCCCGCGACGATCTTTTTGTCCACTGGATAAATGTTTATTGGAGGTGGCTGAGGAGCTATGCACAGACAATTCCAAACAATTTGAAAATGTAGCTTTGTGTGCAAATACAATTACTCGCCAGGTTGCAGACATTGGTGAAAACATCATGACTCTAATAGTGAAAAATTCAAATAAGTTTCGCCATTTTTCAGTTGCAATGGATTAGTCGCTGGACAACTGTTCCACCTCTCAACTTCTTGTGTTCATTAGAGGTGTTTGGATGAAGACCTGAACATAACACAAGCAGTGGCGTAGCCAGGATCGTCTCAAGGAGGGGTTCCAATTTTTACCCGGGGACAAACTTTCGATTTGCACCCCCCCCCTCAAACTTTCGATTTGCACCACCCCCCCACTCAAGCTTTCGATTTGCACCCCCCCCCTCAAACTTTCGATTTTCACCCCCCCTCATACTTTATATATCTATACCGAGGGGTCTATGGGGGAGTTATGACCCCCCCTAACCCCCCCCCCTGCCTACGCCACTGAACACAAGAGCAGGCTTCCTTACATAAAATGTATGACACTGTCACCGAAGAGGATATCTAACCAAAGATAATTCAGAGACAAACACAAAATCGCAAGATTTACCATATTTCACATCAGTAAGATTGCTAATTTTGAGAGAAAATTCTGAGCAGTGTATCTAAGAAAAGAAATAGGTGACTTCCTGATAGTAAAGGCAAATCACAGCCATTATTGTCTGATGAAGAGTGGGTAAAGAAATTGGCCTCTGCTGCAGACATAACTAGTCATTTAAATTTTCTGAACCTAAAACGGCAACAGAGTGAAATCTAGTTTCTGATCTATGCACCCACCTATAGGCCTTTAGATACAAACTTGTCATGTTTTTGGAACAAGTACAGGCCAACAACTTGGCGCACTCTCAGCAGTGCAAGGTCTTTACGGCTGAAGCAACCACTGTGTTCCCCACGTCATTTAAATACAAGATCATTAAAGACCTCCAGCTGCAGTTTCAGTAGAGGTTTTCTGACGGATTCAAAGGCAGAAGAAGTGAGACTGTTTCAAAGCCCATTTAAAGCAAATGTGGCCAGTTGCAAAGATGAACTGCAGCTGGAGGTCATTGAATTGCAAGAAAATGACTTCCTTAAAGACACGTTCAAAGAAGGGCGGATGGGTTTTCATACGTTTTTGCACAAGGAAGACTTTCCTAACATTAAAACTTTTGCATCAAAGTACATTTCAGATTTTCGAACATCATACCTGTGTGAACAAACATTTTCAAGAATGAAATACGTTGAGAACAATTTGAGAACAAACCTGGACGTCTGTGGGTGGGGGGTGGACATTTGAAATTGGTATATATTTCTATATAAATTATATTTCGTTGGGGGGGGGGGGTGAGGGGATTTAGACGTTTTGGGAGGGGGGGGGGCGCCACGACCCTGAAGAGATGCCTTAAAGAAACTGTGGCCCCCAACTGATACGTGATAAATAATGCGGCCCTCGGGCTGAAAAGTTTGGAGACCCCTGATTTAAAGGGAATTGCTATTGACAATGGTACATTAACTCTATTTACGTTATAAATTAATAATAATAGGCGTTTATATTCTAAAAGCAGTGGTTCCCAACCTTTTTTTTACTCTAAAGCACATTCTAAAATATCGGTAGGGTGGCACCACCTATTTTAAATCGACAAACTACTTCCATAACTTGTCATTTTCCCATAATTTATTTTCTTTTTTCTTATTTTCTTAAAGTCACAATGTATTAATAAATAATAAACAAAAATGTTTCAAAGTAATAAAATTATTTGGCCTTTTTTTTCAGATTGCATACACACAGAGAAATGTATTTACAAAGCGTAAAGAAAGTAAACAAAACACATACATACAAAGAAAACATTTAATTTAAAAATATAATAAAGTCAATGTGGTCTTTGGCATAATGTTAAAATAATGTTTATTAAAAAATTTTGTCTCTGTCGAATAGTGAGAGGCGGGCACATACGAATCGCTCAGCGGGCACATGGTTGGGAATCCCTGTTCTAAAGTCTTCAATTGTAGCTGTCATTTTAGCAGGTATTTTAACTGAAACAATACAAAAAAAATTGTAATACCAAATATAAAAAAAAAAAAAGTGATGATGGGTTAAAATTCCATTTATTCCGTAAAATTTAAATAATTAACTTAATCTAATTTTCATAAGTTATACTGCTCTAAATTTAATTGAACAGACGTGATCACTTACAATATATATATATATATATATATATATATATATATATATATATATATATATATATATATATATATATATATATATATACATATATATATATATATATATATATATATATATATATATATATACATATATATATATATATATATATATATATATATATATATATATATATATATATATATATATATATATAAAACACGTAGGTACTTTTTAATAATGATTACATTCCGAAATATTGCTGAATTCACGCGGGGGACAATTTGAATGAAACATGCCACGTAATCTCGTCTCTCTTTAGCTGCGACTGGTGCCAATAGTTTTTATTTTTATATTTCACCGCGTCGATACCGAGTATCAATTCCAAATGTTATGGTTGTTGATTTTTAAGACCAGTCTTATTGAAACGTCTAAGGTCTCGGTTGTTTTATTCCGATTTTACTTTATTTAAGAAGATCTTTTACATCAGCTAGAGTTTCTGAAGTTTGTGAATAAATTGATTATCTTGACTTAGGAAATGTATAATATTTAGAAGTTTGTTATAATAAAAATCCGTGTTTAGCATAGTAAAACATTTCGTTTTAGAGTTTATTTTTGTAAAACATAAAAAATTCGAAAATGGAATTTTTAAAATCAAATTCCTTCGTTTTTATTTTCAGTTTATGCGATTTATTATAGTGGCAAGTAACACAGTTAATATGGGTTGTTGTAGTTCAAATAACAGGTTTGTAAAGCGTTTTAGATTTTTTTTTCCTAACGTATTTTATACAATTTGATTTGATATTTTAATATTTTAATATAATATTCTCCCCGAATCAATTATCTAAATATTTAAAATAGATCAAACACTAGGAATCAGATTGTTAAACTTTAATAAACAACAAGTTTTGAGTACAGAAAAACGGTTATCGCTTTCTTGATTTTACTACAGAAATTAAAAAAATAGTAAAAAATATATTTTTCTCAACACAAATAATAAATATACCATCTACGTTTTCAATGGCTTAAACAGTCTTCATCGGTTGGTATCAATTAGATATATTTTACCCCATTAACTTGTAGATTCAAATTCGCTAGTTTCGAATGCCATCGTTTTCACATACCATCGTATTTTTTTATGTGCCTATACCACATAATAATATATAATAGTATGTAATTTAAAATAAAACTTCTAAGCCAATATATACATGTTTTAACAATTTTTCTCAAACTCTTTTACTGAATTAGCAGTGCAAAATATGAAAATATCACGATTGGCAGTTGTCTAAGGTAGGCCTACATGTATTTTACATAATTACATAAATAAATTAATTAATTAAAATTGAAAGATAAGAAAATTCTTAATTGATGATTCAACCAAACCGCTAATCCATATATATATATATATATATATATATATATATATATATATATATATATATATATATATATATATATATATATAAAAGAAAAGAGTGGGTAACGTCAATAACTAGGAAGAGAATCACGCATTTCTTTATAGTTATTTAAATAGTAGTGTATTATTGTGTATTTAAAGAAAATCATTTATTTTCTCCTTTTGAGTTCATTGTTACATACAAGCTTTTTATTAAAACGTTTTTCATGAGTTTAGTTTTCAGTACTTAAAATAAAATTATTTAAAATTAAAAACTATTGCGCACCTGATGAACATAATAAGGCGCGTATAATAGAACGGAATAGTTGGAATAGTTGGATAAGTATGCCTATTTATTTGGACACAATGTTAATTAATTCCTTAAAAAATTATTAGGCTTCCAATTTAGTCACATTTAATGTTAGATTGCATTATTTTCATGTCTTAACCCATGTGCCAACTTTGAAACTAATCTGTCAGCATGAAGTGCTCTAAATTTCGTTCGAGCGTTTCGATCTATGACGACAAATTGAAAGACTGACGACAGACTTGACAAGAAAGCAAGTTAAATAAAAACTTGTAAAAATAGCGATTGAATAGAATTTCGCACAATTACACGAAGTTTCAATTAGCAAAAGTTGAACATGTTTAAGAAACTAAGGCATTGCGAATTTTTAAAAATATATTGTTTACCCGATAATTTCACAGACATACTTGTACAGGGACTTTATATCTTGGACTTTTGCTTGTCAATACTGATTCTTTTTTATTGATAAATTTACTGTAGGGCATTATTTCCACTTTGCATTATAGTATGTGTGTAAATGTGGATCTTGCTGCATGGATTTTTCTGTAAAGAATAGACGCCAGTTGCTGATTTATATATATATATATATATATATATATATATATATATATATATATATATATGTATATATATATATATATATATATATATATATATATATATATGTATATATATATATATATATATATATATATATATATATATATATATATATATATATATGTATATGTATATATATATATATATATATATATATATATATATATATATATATATATATATATATATATATAACATAGCCCTGACTATAGTCGTATATATGTATATACTATTATGTATTGATACATATAATAGTGACGATGAGGCAGCAGCAATATCTCAAGATCTACACAAAATGTGTAAACTTTATGCCCAACTAGCAAATATACAGTGTAAGTAGATTCTAATTCTCTATATAAGTAATCATAATCATAAAACATAGCTCGTTTTCAAATATTTACAAATGATTTATAACGGAATTTACTGATCGGAGTTTTTAATTCATTTTGTGAAATTCGAGTTCATCGATGTTAATCAAATTAACCAATGTATCTTCATGTGGAAAATAATAACATAATTACAACAACCTTTTTTTTGTCAGATACAATTTACTTCATATAAATTAACATAATCTTTATGATTAAAATAGCTTAATAAAACATAACAGCTTAAAGTAGGTGTTGTTAGTGTATGTGAACTTGTATTTTATTTTAATTTTTGCAGATTCTTCTCTAAATTTGGGAGAGTTAAAATGTTCTGCCGTCACTACACCTAAGTGGGTATCATCAAAACCAACTTACAGCAAAAACTTTGAATGGCCGAAATATACAGTGAGCGCATCAAACAGCATCTTCATGATAAACAAACTTAGTATTTAAAGTGTTATTTTTTGTGAAAACTAAAATTCCCATCTAAAGAACGTATATTTAACTAAGATCTAACAAGAAAATCTTGACTTTAAGAAAAATTGTTTACAAAATGTATTGTTTATCTGTTTTTGTGCAACTGTTAAATGTATATGTTACTCATAATTTTGCCAATCATATAATCTTCCATTAAATTTCATTATTATTTTACGATATCTCTTCAGTTAATTTTTTCATGAGAAAAACAAACAATACTATAAGAGCTAATAATCAGAAATACATTTGTTTTTTTTTCTTCAAAGAATGTAAATGTAACAATGTCTTTTTTTTTACAGAAAATAGTCTGTATCTTGAAATATTATTCGTGATATATTTTTCAATATGGTGTGTTTTGTTATTCAATAAATTCCATAGATGTTGCCTAATAAAGGTCAGCACAGTAACATAACAGTTGAAAGAGAAGAAGAAATGTATGAAAGCATTCAAGTTACAAGGGGGTACCTCTTTGGTATGAAGAATCTTGTATCTTCTTACTTTCAGTATGTTCAATATATATAATACATAAATATATATGTATAATATATATATATAAATATATATATATATATATATATATATATATATATATATATATATATATATACATATATATTTGTATATATATATTTGTATATATATATTTGTATATATATATATATATATATATATATATATATATATATATATATATATATATATATATATATATACTGTGTTTTAATAAAATGAGTACCCATTTTTATCAATATCAATGATTCAGGTGGCCCTGTGTCTTCTGTATACAAAGAGGTTAACATTATTTGTATACGTTTTTATTTTCCCCGACTAGAGTCAAGTGTCTATCAGAGCAGGATCTATTATTAGACTTCCTATAGTGTTGTGCCGGGAACCTAGCTCGTGACACTTTGTGTTTGTGATTTTGAGATCCTTATCGACCTGTTGTTTTTTGATGTTTCATATAACTAAAATGATCAAGTTGTGATTTTCAGGTCTCAGTGTAGAGTCAACTGCCCCTCGAAATATTGATGACAGGTTTAATCCGGCTGGAAAGAAAACGTCACTTAACACAATTAAAAAGACAAGTCAATTTCTGTTTAAGTCATCTGATCAAATAATATTACCTAACTGCTGTTATACTGGTGAGTTTGTATGTTTGTTTAATTGTCTGTTGTGTTGATACGTAGTTCTGAATCCACCAGTCAAAGAGCACAACGTTCTTTTTCAAAATCTCTATCGTGTGATATTTTTAGAAGACTTGTACGTGGAAAGAAAAGCTCCCTGTTCATGCTTAAAGATGAAGTAGAGTTTCTTGACTTTGATATAAATGGATGGTGCTGTCACCCTCCTTAACTCTCCCCAACTTGAGTCGGGTACCTAAATGACCTGTGTGAACTCAGGGACATCCTACAGTGCCTAATCTGGACCGAGTTCCGAACTCGAGACCTTCAGGATAGTAGCCAAACGTTCTACACTACGTCGTACCATTTTAAGTCTTGTAGAATAATGCATAAGATTGGTGTCTGTAAATTGTTTGAAATTGAAATTTATTTTCATTTGCTTCAGGTCGGTTCACTTGTTGTCTTCGACTAAGAGGTCAAGTCATATTTAGAGAACCGGAAGGATCCGTCCAGGATCTGCACAAGACACGTCCAGTAGCCGTCCAGGATCCATTTATCGGCGCCATCGTTTCATGTCTACAATTAGAAGATCCCAAACTTTGTAACATGTTTGTAGTTGATGGTAAAGATGTAGTATGGAGAGTAGAGGCTAATGTAGAGCAACGATGGATAACAAAAAAATGATATTATAATGCAATTTAAACCGTGTGCATGCAAACATGTTATTGTATTACAATTTTAAATTCTCACTGGTGTAGTTTTTTAAATAAAAGTTTCCTTTTTTTTAACAATGAATCATTGCAATACAAATATGTACGTCTTCAATTATTCTCTAAGCATTTAAAATAAATTTGACTTAATTTTAACAAGATAAATAATCATTAATTTTAATTTTTCGACATAGCTTTAGAAAATAAGTAGAATTTTCGTTTCAAAATGTATGTTACATCTTTAGAAGTGGATGTTGTAAATGTATATTAAAGTAAATTAAACTTTTTTAACAATGTGTTTTTAACAGCTTATCATTAATTTTCTTGAATACGTGTAATTGTTTTTTTTTTAAATTATTCTATTTTTTAAATATTTACAATAATTGAAATGATTTGTTCCACACATAGAGAATGCTTGCAAAAGAGATTAACGTAGAAAAACTTTTGGATATTAAAATCTATCCTAATATATAAAAGGCCATGTGCGCTCTTCTCTCTCTCTCTCTGTCCGCAAAATATTTTCGCCGGACATCACGTCAGAATCGGCAGCGATATATCGAGAACATTTTACGGACTTTTGTTGAAAATAATATGTTAGATGTTTTAAATGTATAACCACAATTTTATTTAAAGAAGAAAAATAAAAAATAAAGGCGTATTCGAATGTAGAGAAACAGTATTATTTATGCAACCGGAAAAGCATTTATAGATGTGAAAAAGAACGCATAAAACTGTGACGTCACTAATGTTTATACATTAACTAATGACGTCATCTGCCGTGTTTACAATAAAAAGAAATGAACTATTTCATTCAAATTTGATTTAGATCTACGTACACTATGAAATGTATACAATACAATTTTTCCGGCCTAAACTCATAAAATTTATTTTATTTATTTGGATTCTAGATCTAGAGATTCTAGATCTAGAATCTAGACTAAATCTAAATCTACGCAATAACTAGACGTAGACGCTAAGATCTAGATTTAGACTCTAACTTCTCTAAAATCTATTCCAAAAATAAATTTCTATATTAGGACTAAACTATTTCAAGACTTATTTATTTTATACAAAATCTTTGTTTGGAACTGGCTAATTTGGGATAAAAAAATTAATTTGAAAGAATAGGCATATTCGCGTAAGTTAAGATTTTAAAATACGTGTTTCATTCTCCGTATTTTATAAGGTGCCTAAATAGCGGAGATGTTAGTGTACTATAAACCACGCAGGTGGTGCGGGTTCGAGACACGCCAACTCAACTTGGTTAATGTATTTTTTTATTATGCTCGGGCTAAACTTAAAAAAAAAAAACTGTTAGCATTCTAGATCTAGATCTAGATTGTCGGGTGTCCGATAGGGCACTTCCCGGCGCCGCAGGCGTTTCAAATTTGGCAGGATCTTGCCTTGGGGCGACAGAACACGGGGGCCGGTTAGCCGCAAAGTCTACGATGAGGGGGTCGAAACTGACCTCGACTGACCGGTGCCTTATATGAGCTATAAATCGAAAAAAAATGTCCACGGAGGAACCTCTTCATAACTCTTGAGGTCGTAGACAGACCCTCGGGGGAATTAATTAAGCATTCAAATTCTCAATGTTTTCGAAAGCCTAAGCGAAGCTAGGCAGCATACCCAGTAACATAATAGTGTGAATACTTCACTTTGCTACAAAATACATTATTGTAGTTTATCTGCAATAAAATAATTATGTTAATGGTTATTTTGAAAACACATTAAATCAAATGTGGACATCTCTCATTATTAAAACTACTTCGAAAAATGCTCTCCCTCTACACGCACACACACACGCACACACACACACACACACACACACACACACAGACACACACATATTTATTAAACACCCAGCCCACACCCTAATGTAAAAGCTTCTCAACTTCGCAGTTTACAAAATATGTAATGATGCTAAAAGATAGCCAAAAAATATAATATATTGACTAAAATTAGCTGTTAATTGTCCAGATATTAAAAATAAAGTAGTATTCTGTCATTAAAAACAGAAGTCTCTTGATGTTTTGCTAGTGTTGGTTGTTTTTTTTTTTTGTTTAAGATTTAAAATATATATATTTCTTTCAGTGGGCAGTGGGTTGGGGTCCTTGCACAGCCCCTCCCCCCCAACACACACATATAATATAATAAAAGGAATATTAAATGTTATTAAAATTGAATTCATTTCCTTTCTTGTAAATCCCACCCAAAAATGCCACGCCAATCTCAAGAGCAAAATTTCCGAAAGAAACCCTAATTTAAGTAACCGCCACCAAAGTAAATACAAGTAAAAGATTTATTTGATTATTTTTATTTGATTTGTAACCAAAGTCTACTATACATGATACGTTTCTATTTGATAATTTTTTTAAAACTAATTATACATTTGCTTTTTTTTTCTTAACTGGGCAAGCTTGCGTACACTCATTAAGAAAGCAGATTTTATTTTGTTCAAGTATAGTTAACAAATTCTATTTTAAAGATTCAAAATACGTGTATGCCAGTCTAATAAAAAAATTTAGTGACGCGTTTATTCGCATTAACACGCAGCAGATAGCCGGATCTAAAAATAGAACGTTTACTAATGCGAACGGGGATTCCATAGGGTCGTTGTGGTAGTTCAGCCTTAAGAGTTTTCGTTCATTCAGGAGTTTAATATTCCGTGTTTCACACCCAGATTGTTAGCTGCTGAGCTCCCAAGTAGTAAGTAAATGTAATTAAATGTAAGTAAATGTAAGTAAATGTTAGTAAATGTAAATATACGTGATTGTCAGCTAATTAGTAGTGCGTGTGTATTGTGTGTTGTGTAGTGTGTATTGTTTCTGTGTGTAGTGTGTAGTATGAAATGTGCAACGTTTATGGACAGATGTTATGTGTTATGCTTTGCATTTGTTAAAAACAAAATTTCTTTTCAATTTAGTTTATAACAGTAGATATGCCCTTATGGCGCCATTAGGAATTTATTTTAAAAAATATATTGTTGGTTGTAAAAACATTATTGTGATTCAAAACATAGTAGTTGGGTATAACATACAAATCCGTCGAATATAAGTCTATAAGACACTATAAGTAGTAATACCTATACGTTTTTATTGTTTACAAAGATAAAGTTATGTCACGTGAAGATACCCATATGCTTGATGTCCACTGGATGGCGGCTGAATGGGTCAGTTATCAAAAGAAGTTCCAGGGAAAAACAATAGGTGAGTTTCGAAATTTCACTTTTTCGTGGCAAATACATTGTTACATGATTTGTGGCTGTTTTATATATAAATATATATTACTATACACACACACCCATATATATATATATATATATATATATATATATATGATATATATATATATATATATATATATATATATATATATATATATATATATATATATATATATATATATATATTTATATTTATTTAAATATTTATATATAATAGTATGTATAGAGTATTTATATATATGTATATGTATATATATATATATATATATATATATATATATATATATATATATATATATATATATATATATATATATGTATATATATATATATATGCCAATATTCCCATATACATTATACGTTTTATATAAATACAGAAAACTCAGATAAAACATATTTTTTTAGTTTAAGGCATTGACTGAAATAGCTACGAGTGCCTCTTTTCAAACTAAATTGACAAAATGATAATTTGTATATGGCAATTAATTTTCAGCATATATTGACGTAAGCTATCTCGAGTTTGAAGACAGGAAAACTACAGTTGTTGGTGATTCTAGAACCTCAAGTGAACTACAAGGGAAAGAAATACAAGTAATATTGTTCATATTTTTACAATTTAAAATTATATTACATTTTTGTCTGTACTGAAGACAATGATTTAAGATCGTACTTAAGTCGGTATGGGACGGATTGGCCTAGCGGTAGAGAGCTAGACCTCTAATCCGTAAGTCTTGTTCAAGCCAAATTGACCGTCCCTGAGTCCACCCAGCTCTGTTGGGTACCTAACTCACTCTAGGAGAAGTAAAGGCGGCTGGGCAAAGTGCTGACAACACTATGCCTTCATAATCCGAGGTCACAGAAACAAGTGAACTCTACTTCACTTGCCCATAGACCGTCAGGTTTTGAAGGGGAACTTTACTGCTTAAAAGTTGGTAGGCAGGCAATAGTATGTGGCGCAAGATTCATCGGCTTATTTACCTTGTGTATTAAATATATATTTTAAAAAATATCTTAAACTCTGTTATAGACTGAATTCATTTGAATTTTTTAAGAAATTAGACTAATTAAAACCTGTGTAATACTATTTGCAATTTTAAAAAGGTAGTTTTGAACCATGTTTTTGTGTCCTTGAAATATCATGATTTTACTTACTTCACAAATTCGTATGCTAGTGCAAACACTGAAAGTTGAGTGTAACAGTCATATTTTGCTCACCATTGACAGGTTGGGGTAGTATACGCACCACATCATAAAGACAGGAGAACCAAGTTAAATGTGGTATTAAGCCCTCAGAAAACAACTGAGATCACTGTGTTCAGGGGCGGAGTCCGAGGTAGGTTTAAAGAAATGTGTCTATCTACATTGTTAGGGCATAAGGCCTTGAAATGTGATCTATAGAGACTAAATTGTTTTGTGATTTAGCTTCTAGGTGGAGTAAGTACTATTAACATATGGATTTATTAAACACCCTTAAATATTATAAATAAATTTCAAAATTTGAAAGATTGTGTCTACCAAAAAAAAAAAGTCAGTTCAAGTTAAGTAGAGTGTAGTATGAAGCTAAACTTCGGATAAAAATGCCATATTTAAAAGTTAGTGGTCATGGTAATGAGGATTATAAACTTTAACCTTACTTTAGTATCATATAAATAGTATTATTGCTATACTTTTTTTAGACAAAGAACATTTTGATAATTGTTGAGTAAGCAAATATCATAAACACTTTTAAAACATTCTTTTATTTTCTAAATTTTTCAATGCTTGTATTGATACAACCTTAGTGTTTATTATCCCCGAATCGTTACCAAATATACCAAATGGTACACGAATTATTACTTAATATAATCTAAAGTGAATATTGTTTTGTATTCACTACAGGCTTAGACGAGTGTATACAGCTTCACTTTGATGAATACACAGACTATTCACTGAATTGTTGGGAGGATTTCTATGAAAAAAGAGAGCAGCTTCGACAAATCCGTGTAAGAGATGTTGAGATTCCGGACAGGATGTTCAACAAAAATCATGCCCATGCCATAGTGACACCTATTCAGCAACACAGTAGCAGTAAGTACTAGCAGTAAACCCGTACACTTTTCAATCCATGGAACAGTCAATTGTGTTCTTTTAATCTGTTTTACCAAAGCCAAAATTTCAAGTATAAATTTAGAGAGAGGATTTTTTTAACATTCTGGCATATCCGAGCCAGTCGATTAATTGGGACAATTCCGGCATACGGAAATTTTACTCTGAATGTAACACATAATCTTTTTGCAGCCAGCTCCACCAGAAAATTTAATTTTAATCTCATTTACGATCCTACTCCCCTAAAAATATCAACGCAAAAAGAACAAATTGCATTATTTTAAAAGCAGTTTACTGGTTATTTTTTTAAAACTTTGAGTGATTTTATTATTAATTTGTATTACATTAAAACTGTATTAATTACAACTATTTTAAATTCCTTTACCGGTAGCTTTTAAAAATATCTGGATTTGTTTATTCATATACTTAACACCATAAAAATTACAATTGTTTAATTTTTCTAGAAACGTTCGTCAAGAAACTCAAATTGAAAGGTAAGGTCGAGATCAGGTTTACAGATATGAAACAAGTTTCTGTAAATATCGGAGACATTGTGTCTGATCTAAAAAACTTGTACAGGAGAAACCAACCTTCAGACCTGTCCATGGTCTCCGTCTCCAGGTCTAAATCTGTCAAATGGGAAATGGAACTCAAAGTGGAACAAAAATGGGAAGTCGACGCCAGAGTAACCTTTCCTAACCTTAAAAAATAGCTTGAGAATATTTACTTGTTTAAGATCGCAATTTTTCTGTTTGCATTTTTAAAAGAATAGGTTACTCGATAAGTAGTGTAATTGAAAACTAAGACCATTCTTCTAAATTTAAGAACTACTCAAATTACGAAGATTATGTCTATTTTTAAATGTGTGTGTCTTTAAAGCTGTTTAACTATAAAGATTTAGATTTATTATTGAAGCACATTTATTTATGTATATAGCTACAGTAAGTTTATACTGAAATTATTTTATTTTATTGTGTATGACCAACACACATCTGATTCACGTAAGTAACTTAACTGTTCTTAACTGAAGTCAAAAGGGACATAGACGTATGAAACCAAATTTAATATAAAATATAATTTGATATTAAAGGTTGATACCCTACATTACACACTGTTACAGTACACACTGTGTCCACTACTAACTACAAAAAACACATTTACAACGAAGTGCAATACATATTGCACATTATACTAGCACACTGCAAAAGAAACAAGGAATTTCTTTTACCATTCCTTGTCTGCTAAATCTGTATTGTTCGCGCTTAAAAAGTTGCATTTTATTAAAGCAAAGTCTGCCACATATTACGTCGTGATATTGTATTGATATTAATTAACTACAACTTTTTATAAAATATACTTTAAATGCTATTTTGCTGTGTATTAATTTTATTGAGTTTTTTATCATTGGGTATTTGAATGTTTTACACTGTGCAAGTTTGTTGAGTTTTGACTTGATTACTCCATTTGTTCGATGTTTAGAATTGAAAACTACTGCCATTTTTATTTAACTATATTTTTGCTTCAATAATTATGTATAATGAACAAACAATAAAATTAACAACAGTCATGAATTGAATGAGCATGGATATTAAGTTGTGATCATGTCAAAACATCAAATGCTGTTTTTTTTTTAATTTGGTGATATATTCTTCTCATTCCAAATGTTATTCAATCAAAAACAATAAACAAAACTCCAAAACTCAGAGTATTCTCAGTTTTATTTTATTTTTATTTTGTGTGTGTGCCGTAATGCATGTGAAGCTAACAGTGTGTCACTGTCTCCAATCAGATGTATATCAACAATTTAAATAATAAACGACTTTGTAATTTGTTGGGTGTCAAACTATGGTTGATGAAGATGTGACAGCAGGAAGTGTAAAGTTATTGTCTGTGTTTGCAGGGATTGGAAAAATAGTACTAGGTTAATATAAGTATAATCAACTATTGTCAAAGATAGCTATATTATTAGACTAATCCTGGCTTCGAGACAATAAACACTTATCCACATCCATACATTATTCATTGCATCATCCACAATAATACAGTTTATTATTGTATAATCCACATCCATATAATTTATCATTGCATTATCCCCATCCATACAGTTCATCATAAGGACGTTATAAGGACACGAGATATCGATCCGAACTCGACATTTTCGGAGTAGTAATCGCGTTATAGTTACTACACGTCTTTTTAAATCTGTACTACTAAAAGTTATATCTTAATAATCGTTCGGGGAAGGCGCGTCAAAATCAACAACTATACATACTGTATCATTTCATTGTCTGGGCTGGCGAAAGTTTGTATACGTCTAACTCAGGGGTCTCCAAACTTTCCAGTCCGAGGGCCGCATTAACTATCGAATTTCAGTTTGGGGGCCAGGTTCTTTCAGGCATGTATTTGATTTTTCTGGGCAAAGTTCCTCAGCCATCACTAACAAACGTGGACGAAAAGATCTCCGCGGGCCAGATGAAAGGACTTCGCGGGCCGCATTCGGCCCACGGGCCGTAGTTTGGATACCTCTGTCTAACTGAATCATTGCTCTTAATGCTGACGGGTTTTTGCAAATCAGTGGCGTTGTGGCAGTAGCGTCAAAAGGCGGGGACGGCAGGTACGGTCCACACCAGGTGACACAATATTTGGAGTGACGCCGAATAAACAAAAACGTAAAATGTACTGTCCGCATTTTGATATCAGTGGCTATGTATAGGCTAGAGAAAGACCAAATGCTCTACATCTATTTGAAGGATTTTATATAAATGCCAGTGAAATCAATGAAGATTTTTTTTAAACTAATTTTTTTTTGGATTCAACTAAAGTTATGAAAGTCATTTAAATTTTCATCAATCAAAAAAACAATCGGAAATTAAAGCATCTTTTATCTGTATATGTCTCTTTTCGATTTTCCGAAGCTATTATTAGCTTGTGTAATCTCTCCATACTCAGTTTTCCCACCTCAAGTATCGAAAATTACACGAAAAATTGTTCGATTACTTTTGGCATGATAAGAAGTATTCGATACCAAACTTTCTAGAAAAAATCGTGGCCAATATTACGTGTAAACGAGTACATTTAAAATAAAACATAAAAAAATAGTAATGACTCAAGCTGACGTGGCTGCTTCTATAAAAGACAAAACCTTCGGATTACAGAAACTTGCTAGGAGCGATCAGATATTCAAATGTTTTAAAATGTAGAAAATTTAGATTTTTATATTCGAGATTCGTACAAACAGTTCGTCAAGTATAAAATATGTAACTAGCATCAATCATTTGGAGTCATACATTTTAAAGATACTTACATTATTCAGAAAACATATCATAGTTATGCTGGCCAACTGTTTTAATAATGTTTAAAATTATTTTAAATCGTCAAATTTAGAAGAAAAAAAATCTACTTTCAATATGATAAGTTTACAATATTAATAAAGTATTTAATTTTCAGAAATAGTACGAGAATAAATTCACTTTAAAGTAAAAGAACTGAGATCAAGATGGAAGCCAACCAAAAGCTGATTTCGCCATTCAAAGAAATGTTTCTAAAATCTCGTCTAAAGGGATTTAATGGATGCGGGAATCTCAAGCGTGCTTGTTTTCTTTACAGTGGTGGATAAGACAGGTTGTCAGGTACTTCGTGGTGCTGACTGATCCGCACCCACATACAGAGACATACACATACAGAGACACAAACATACACACACATATATATATGTATATATATGTATATATATATATATTTATATATATATATATATATATATATATATATATATATATATATATATATATATATATATAATATCTAGCAGTTTTAAAACGTAGTTTATTTTAAAATTCTTAAAACCACAGGTGTAAAAATAATGTATGTTATTTTTAAAATATACTTCTAGACAGTTTATCGTGAAGTTCTAGTGTTGTGACGATCAAGCTAGTTACTTGAAAAGCTGTCTTTAAATAGTTTAAACGGGAAATAAATATAAGTTATAATTTCAATAGTTTCAACCTTTTCATTTACGTTCTTTTGAATACCGTCTGTTAATTTGTTTTCTCCCCATTCTTTCACCTATGACTTAATATCTATCGGATAAACCTAGCAGCCCGAACACGACACAGCGAGAAAATAATCAATGACGCGCTAAAAATAGCTTGAATCTAGGTCACCGCTGTTGTTCGTTTAGCTGGCGAGGAATTCCCTTACCCGCGTATTCAACAAGCGAATGGTAAAATAGGAAATACAGATAAGGTTGACGGGGGTTTGCTAACTTAAAATAAACCTGAGGCAATGATGACTTTTACCTATCTCCCCAACACGTAATCTTACCTTTTAGTATACGTGGCTAGTTATGACGTGTTGGTAAATTGTAAATAAAAGTAGGCATTTTTTTCCCCCTTAGCTCTGAGGTGTTTTTATTTTATTTTTATTTTATTTCCACCATACGTGTTTGATACATGGAAATACCATATTACATGTTGTTTAAAAAGAATCAGAAAAGGGCATTTTGAACACTGACGAAAGCTGAGCTGGAAATTAAAAATATTTTTTTACATTAGTAGAATTGTACTTAATTCTAAAAAAAAAAAAATAGCAATACGTGTTTGTGAAATTCAAGGGGCTTTTTTTTAAACACCTAATCTATTAATGAGCTGTTGAAATTTTATTGAAAATAACCCTGTAGGTTGATAGCTATAAGGGTGGAGGGGAATATTATTACGTGTTTATAAACTATTTTAATGAAGGGGTATTTTTGATTACCTTTTGTATACTGAGCTGGTAATAATTTTAAAGTAAATATATCTTAAAATATCCCACGAGTTGTCAGATACTTGGAAATAACATTTACGTGTTTGTTTATATTTTTTTTTAATTAAAGATCTATTTCTGACACATAACATATGATGAGTTGTGAAAAACTAGAAATTTTTTAAATTTTAATTTCATTAGACTTATTGTTTTTGCAATCGACCTTTTTATCTGGTTGATTACAAAATGTTAATATTAAGAACTTATGTACTTATAATAATGTTGGTTCTGAAAATAGCATTACTTTTTTTTTAATATTTAAAAAGGGGGATTTTTCTGCGACCTGGGTATATGCTAGAAATGTATTATTTGAAACTAAGTGGAAATCTAAAAATTACATTACGTGTTTATAAGGTTTTAAATGGGGATTTTTTTTAACTGACGCACACCGAGCTGTTAAAGCTAAGAATTTTTTTTTAATGTGACTGGAGTTTTCCCTTATACTGAAACACATTTACGTGTTCTGTACAAATTTTAACAGGACATTTTCTTTTAAAACATGACGAACACTGAGCTGTTAAAACTAAGAAATTTTTAACTTAAAATAGCTTGTGAGGTGGCTCATGGAAATACCATGACGTGTTTTTGAAATTTTAGAAAAATTTAACCGCCTGACTTCAACTGAGCTGGTAATACGTAGGCATGTTTTTGCAAGAATTCACTCTAGAACTGGAAATACCATGACGTGTCTTTGAAGTTTTAAAAAAATATTTTTGACGAGCTGACTTAAACTGAGCTGGTAATACGTGGGCATGTTTATGCACTAATTCACTCTAGAACTGGGAATACCATGACGTGTTTTTTAAATTTTATAAAAATATATTTTTGACCACCTGATTCTAACTGAGCTGGTAAAACGTGGACATGTTTTTACCTGAAATAGCTCTGGAACTGGGAATAACATTACGTGTCTTTTTGAAAATTAAAAGTGGGGAAATATTTGAAACCCCCCTGACGTACGTTTGACTTAAGAACAGCTCAGGTGTTTTTTAAACTTAAAATAACAACATACGTGGTAAGTACGTGGAAGGTTATGACGTGTTTGTATAAAATTTCATCAGAGATATTTTTGAGATTCGTGTTGAGTTGTTGAAGTTGGTCCTAAAATAACATGAACTGTGGCTGGGAAAACCATTACGTGGTGACAGACAAAACTCGAGGGAGGTTATTGATTATTTTTCTTCCACTTTCAATGAAGGTTGAAAAACTGTAAATATTACAATTTAGTATTTTTTAAGCTACATTTACAATGACCTGTTATAATTTTTAGAGAAGAGGTTTTCTGACCACCCCTTGTGTAGCCACCCTATGTCGTGCCATCTAATGTTTGGCTAATTTATATTTAGGCCAACCCCTCCCCTAATTATATTGTCAGTTCATTTTCTTGTAGCCTACTGTAGTGAAAATATTGTTTAATTTTATATTTTATTTAATTTAATATTTTTTTTTAAATATAAAATTTAAAATCGTGTGGTTGGCAATGGATTTCCTTAAAGTTGTGTTATTGTGATAGATGTTACCAGTTCAAAACCTTTTTATACCCTAACACTTAACACATCACTAAACTTGCGCTCACTAACATCAGTATACTAATTTTCGTCTACGAAATCCACCAAATGCATTTTTATATAGTATATTATACTTTTAACATCATCACATACAAAAAGAAAATATACATAAACAACAAATTTACGATGAATAAAAATAACATAAACCCGGTAAGTTCATTTTTATATAATCTATTGTTTAATTAATGTGTATTCATGTTGGGAATTATACATCACTTGTAAAATATAGATGTTGATTTTTCATTAAATAAGAATTTTATTTACTAGACTTTATTCAATTACAAAATTTTACTTCAAATCTAAAGGCTAAATGAAAAATAAATTTACTTAACAGTACTAATTCTCATAAAACTAGAAAAAATAGTAAACAATAACAGTATTAATAGTAGTTTATAAAATGTGTACTAATAATAATAATAATAAATATAAAATTATAACAACGAGGGCGATTATTATAGTAGGAGAATAAATTCTACGTTCTATATTAGAAGCTCCGCTAAGTTGCCGAAAGCCGAGCGCTCGTTCAGCGCTGGTATCGATTCTCGCGTCTAGCTAGCCCGCGCCGCGCAGGTATCGAATACGTCATGGGCGCTGCATCGGGAAATTTTCACTTTGTGGCATTACGTGTTTCGTTAGTGGCATTGATATTTAAATTTGCCACGTATTTGAATTGTCCACTTTGCCTATAAAACTGAAAACTTAACAAGTATATTTCACTTCTACTCCAACTGTTAAGATATAGACTTTAAATAGTCTAGCAAGAATTGTTTTTAGTTTTAAAATTAGGACAACAGTGTGCGTTTTTTTTTTCCCGAGGAAATCCAAAGTATTTCTAGTAGATCTAATCAGGTAATATTTGAATAAATAATTATCGCCATTTTACACTAGCTGTCAAAGAAGATTTTTAATACCAATTTTATAATATTACATTGGCTTTCTAAAAATATTCAAAGCTTAACTATTGGCTGAGCTTATATGATTTGTTTTTAAAATGTGATTAAATTTTTTTTAAATGTATCATTTAATTAGCATAAATGTATACATTTATACTTTCGATATGTATTTAAATACACACACACACATATTTATTTATATTCACACACACACACACACACACACACACATATATATATATATATATATATATATATATATATATATATATATATATATATATATATATATATATATATATATATGTGTGTGTGTGTGTGTGTGTGTGTGTGTGTATTTTTTGTGTAATATATATATACAAAGTTATTCACATATATGTATATATATATATATATATATATATATTTATATATATATATATATATATATATATATATAGTTGTTGAACTGCAATATATTGATGGTAGTTTTAAACTAAATCCCCTTTGTAATTGCAGAATTAACTAAACATGGCTGCACCAGGAAGCACAAACAACGTAGACTTTGATAAAATCGCAGAAGTTTACAAGAAAAAAAATAACATTTCAGGTTTGCTTCTATTTGTTTAAAACTTATAACCATAAAGATGAATGTGTTTACATAACGTTTAGTACAAAAGTGAAGTTCTCTTTTTTGAACCTGATGATTATGGGGCAAGTGAAGTAGAGTTTAGCTGTTTCTTTGACCATTTAAAGGAAAGTGTGGTTGTCAACTAACAAAATGTTTAGCAAAATATATATTTTTGTGATTTGAGTTTCAGTTTATGTCAAATTATATATATATATATATATATATATATATATATATATATATATATATATATATATATATATATATATATAACATATTTTACAAGTAATACATCAATTACATTTATAACTTGATATAATATGTACAAACAACAAGAAATTACCCAAACTTGTGTTTCTAGAACAAATGATGAAAAAAATAAAAAAATAAAAAAATATTTCAGATGATTGTAATAATTGCATGTTCCATATTAACTGACATTTTTGTTTCATTAATTGGTTTGAGAAATTATATATATATATATATATATATATATATATATATATATATATATATATATATATATATATATACATATATATATATATATATATATATGTATATATATATATATATATATATATATATATATATATATATATATATATATATATATATATATATATATATATATATATATATATATGATTGTTGTACAAGCCTCTTTTGATTAAAAATAATGAAAACAATTATTTATTCCAGGAAAAACGAACTTAGACAATGTAAAGATAAGTGTGTTAAATGTAGCCTGGAGCGATTTCAAAGACAAACAGGTAAGAGGTCAATAAACTGGGTATAGTATATTTTTCCTTTCCGTTTAGATTCGATCCCCAGTGTGGGGTGGGCTACTTGAATTGACACACGAATTAAATACAATATATGTTTGTATTTGTTACCATGTTTCCGTTTTAATATTGTGGATGCTGTACCACTAATTCAATGTTTACTACACAGAACACTGACAAGAAAAAGCCTGGATTGTATTTGAAGCTACAAAAGGGAGCATGGACCGGTTAGTAATAATATTTATTTTTCCAGATATATAAAAAAAATTAACTTGAAACTTATTTTGGCTGAATAGTTTATATATATTTTTTTTGGTTAAAAATATATTTTAAAGTATTTTACCTGATGTCTAAAAATATAAATGATGAAACTATATGTTTAAATCATTATAGTTTAAGATATACATATTTGTTTTCACGAGTTTATCAACAGGAAAAATGTTATGTTTAATTTTACTTTTATTTTTTTACTTTTATCAACATAATTTTTAGTATAGTAAAATAATTTTGCCTCATTTTAAATTTCTAATTTTTTTTTTAAATTACTATCTGCCTCCTGTAAACACCTATATTATATCGCCTGTTCAGGACTAACCAGTACTTACAAGTTAACCCTCAACGGTCTTCCTGCTGACGTAAAGGCTGCGATGGGTGGAGAAGAGGTCAAAGCAAAACACCCGGACAACCAAAATGTAGTTTTTATACCAACAGAAGGACAGAAACTAGCAAAAAGCATCGCTGGTAATACATTTAATCATTTTAATTAGTCTTCGTTGTAAATCAACATCAGAATGAAAGCAAAAGAAAAGATTTAAAATCTTTCTAAATTTGAATAAATTGCAGTTTTTTTAAAATATCTATTTTCATTTAGTATTCAAAACGTACCACTAAATTAAATGAATTAAATATTCTATTATTAATATAATATCGTATATCCAGTAATATAAAATCGTATATCGTGTATTATAAAATCGATCTGTAAAATAACAGCATACAGTATTTTTTTAAATAATACAGTTTCAAAACATATTTATTTTTCCTATCACAAACAACTTGATTATTTCTAAATTGTTCTATCTGTTAATCACTACCTAGATGATTGTATGTGATTAATTAAGTTATTTTTTTTAAATTCACTATAAAAATAAAATAATTTTTTACTATAGAAATGTTTCAGAAAGGAGTTATCAGTATTTTTAAAAAATAGTACTCGCCTTTAAAAAAACACCTTTAGAAAGTACAACTAAAAATACTAATAAAACGATTAAAATTATAATCTAATAATGTATACATATTCGAAACAAATTCAAATAGTCATATAAAGTTAAAAACCAGAAATAATTTAAAAAAAAAAACTAATATTTTTTCCAGGTAAATTTAAGTTTGATGGCTCTGTGACGGGTAATGTGATCTACTCGGGGACTGCAGTTGAGCAGCAAGCCGTGGCTCAGATTGTCCAAGATTTACAAGGGGACGAGACAGTCAAGAACCTGACAGTGACCACCAATGATAAGAAGATGCCCAGCTCTGCAGACTGGAAGGTGGAGGGGGAGTTCGAGTTTTACTCGTCTTAGTTCGTGTGCTTGTGAAGTGGTGTGTGTCTTTTCGTTGAGTGTAAGTTGAGTATGTTTTTTTTTAACTGACAATACATTCGTTTAATGTAAGTTTAACTATGTTTTTTTTTTCACTGACAAAACATTTGTTTAGTGTAAGTTTTGTGTGTTTTTTATCCTGTCATAACATTCATTTTGTGTAAGTTTTGTAAAAAAAGTTACACTATCATAACATTCGTTTAGTGTAAGTTTTTTTTGTTTTTGAACTGCCATAACATTCATTTAACGTTAAGTTTTTTATGGGTTTTTTTTACATTCTCATAACATTCGTTTAGTGTTATATTGTGTATGTTTACTTTCCACTGAAAACACACAACAAGTAATTTTTTAAAAATTGTTTAGAGTTAGTTAATTATTTGTTGAATAAAGCACTGTTTCTGTGATTTAGACTTTTTGTTTTTCATATAATAATTCTTATTTTTATACATAAATTGTGTGTTTTTACACATGGTATTTTGTCAAAAAATCAGAAAATATTCTAGAATATAAATGGCATTGTGGGTATTTTTTGTTTATGGAACAAATGTGTGTAAATATATCAAAGCCATTTCTATTAATAAATAGTAAATCAAATATAATATTTACATTCCAGTTTTTAAAGTTTGCATGGGATTTTTTAATGTGAAATTGTTACTATTATATGATGCAAGGGGGACAACCACTACACAGTTTTTAAATAATTATTTTCGTTAAACCTTTAACATAAGACTATCCAATCTTCAATATAAAAATAAAAATTATAACTATAAACGAGTACTTTTATGTAGAGTAAAAATCTTTTTGAATAAAATAAAAGTTATCCTGTTTTTATTTTTAAAAATGTATCAGCATAACTGACAGCTGAATTGTTTTTTTGAAAAAATTTCGAAATGTTTCTTTTTTCTTTTATTTCCATTTATAGGGAATAATACATCAAAATGTAATTGATTGTCGATTTTAAAAAAATCTATTTCAGAATTCCTATAGAATACTAAATTTATTGTTGAAAATACTTTATTAATTTTGTATTGTATGCTGTGTGTGACATATTACTCAATATTCGTGAAAAAATTATATGTAATTTTCTAAAATATAAATTAATACTTATTAATACTTATGCACTTTTGCAAGCTTGATTCAGGAAAGTTAATATACTTTTATTAGTTGGAGACCATGTTTTGAAATATATCCAATTTGAAGCGTTGAAGATTATATTTTATCTCTTGTAATTAATTTTTTAAAAATGTACTACTTACATGTTGGACACATTTTTAAAATCCGATTCATATAAAAGCCTTTTATTTAGCTATTTAAATGAAAACTAATTAAAGACTATAATTTCTTAGTGTTTTTTTATAACTGCAGTATCAACACTTATGATATTGTTACCTGATCTCATGTATTTAGCCTTAGCTATAAAATACAATTGTATATATAAGCATATTAGATATGTTTTAAGAAATCGAATGGGCTTAGTGATGTGTACTCGGTATAAAAAATATTATAGCTTAGTTAAACTGAACCAGTATAGATTTAATTCCATTGTTCAGTTAATATTACTTAGTCTTTTATATCCTTTTTACTTTTTATACAATTTTTATAAAAGCTACTATGCTGTTATTATAAATAAACACATAAACATATACAAATGTATAACAAAACAATAAGTTCTGTACTTGTTTATTTTGGCTGTAATTAGTCTGGTGCTTGAGTTGTAAACAGTTGTTAAATCTTTGCTGTATTAAAAATAATATTATATAATGATCACATTTTACAAGACACGTAAGGCTACAACAAGATGTCTTTAATAATGAACAGTCGAATCAATATACATTTGAACAATTTCGACAGTTATAACTTATTAGCTTTTTAAAGTCGTTTTTCTTTATTTTTTGTTTCTTATTTTTTTTTTAACTTGTCTTCTTAAATATTATTATCTAATTAAATGAAACTAAACAATGATTAATTTTAAATAAGAAAACCCATAAGAACTCAAAAGAATTCCCGATTAAAAAAAACAGTTGTAAAAATAACTCCAACTCAACATCCATTAATATTTATTCACTGTTTGTTGTTGCACCAGTTCGGCTTTACAACGCCGCGTCACTGCGCGTGTCCTGATACTAGGCCAGCCGGTTTCGGTATCGGCTAGGTGACGCTGACGTGTCTATTTATAAAGCGCTCGAGGTTTCGGTATGTTGCAGGGTAATCCCTTTCCTGTGAGATAGGCTTTTCCCGATCATGTTTTAAAAATAACTATGAGCAACCCTGTCGACTGCTGTTTGTAGGTCATGGGGAACGAGAGATAACTCTGAAAATATTTATAATTTATAATAACATTATTAACATTCGTAGATTTGATATAGCCTAACTTTCGTTTGCCTAACAAAATTGAGTTAAAAGCTAATCACGGAATTATTTTATCAATACAAGACCTTAAATACAGGTGCTTTGTTTTTCAAAAAAAAAAGCTTTAAACGTAGGTTTTGAGTTGTTCTTTTTTAACAAAAAATAAATCTAGTAATGAAATCGATTTTGTGGAAAATGTTACAATTATGAGAATTATAGAAAGGATCTGGGTTTTCTACGGCTATGACATTTCAATTGAACAAGAATATATTTTATGTATGATATATTATACACGAAAGTTAACTTAGTCGGAAGAAAACAATTATTTGATTATCTGGGTATTCGATTTTAAGTGAATAAATTCGCTGCGCGGTCTAAGGGAGGCTACTCTATAATTATTTTACATCTAGTTTCAAGTATATTAAGCTTGATTGCAGTAAAAATCAATATTGTTTGTTTTTAGTCTAATGTTAGAGTTTTGTATAAGAGATCGTGCAAATAATATGTACAAAAATTTAAAAATGCTTATTTCAACTTACAATATGAAAAAAATAATTCAATTTAATTTTATCTGTTTAATGGAGAAATTTAAAATTAATAAAACAAGGGTGTGGATTTTGTATGGCTAATATATTTCAACTGATTCAAAATAGGGTTATATGTATTATGTATTTTACAAGTAAGTTTAATTAATCACAAGAAACAATATGCGACTCTTTAGTATTTTTGCTATTACTATTATGGTATTGCATTTTCAATTTATGTGTTCGTGATGCTTTGTGATGTAAGGGAAATTACTCAACATTTATTTTGCATCAAAATATTAAAAGAGTTAACGGGCTTGATTGTTGAAAAAAATAATTAAAATCAATATATTTCTTAGTCTAACGCTTGCAGTGTTTCTTTCAGACTTCTTCTTATATATATATATATACATATATATATGTATATATATATATATATATATATATATATATATATATATATATATATATATATAAATATATATATATATATATATATATACACACACATATAAATATATATATATATATATATATATATATATATATATATATATATATATATATATATATATTTATTTATATATATATATATATATATATATATATATATATATATATATATATATATATATATATATATATATATATATATATATATATATATATATATATATATAGGCCAATTTCATTAATTAATAAATATTAAATAGGCCTACATAAATCAAAATGAGTCGCCTTTCTTTTACATTACTTCGAGCTAATTTTACGTAGATCTGGATTTACCTAGATGTAGATCTACCTAAAAGGATAGTCACATTACCCAACCATACCTTTCAGTTTTTAAAACAATCACGTTGATAGGGTCCGACCCTATAAATAACAAAACAGCGGCCATATTGAGAAAACATTTAGATCTAGATCTAGAATCAAGAGTAATTTCCCTTTAATTTCTATTTTACAAGCTTTTATTTAACTTGCATCCTTGTCCCGTCTGTCTGTTTGTCTAGAACGAAACGCTCGAGAGCAATTTAGTTATAGACTACTACTGAAATAACTATAAAGAAAAGCGTGGGTCTTTTACTTAAAATTAGTAACGTGTTACAAGACAAAAACTTCAACAAAAACTTCAACCGACGCACCAAAATGTAGCATCGCGGTGGCGTTATACAGGTTGATGTAGAACAGTGGTTCCAGAGGCGTATCCAGGTTTTCGTTGTAGGGGGAGCGAAAAGAGCAAAAAAATAGGCGCCGAATTTTTAAAACGTTCTATATACGTGTATTATATATATATATATATATATATATATATATATATATATATATATATATATATATATATATATATATATATATATATATATATATATATGTTATTACTAGCTGTGATGTAAAATAAATTGAAAGTAGCACTCTGAAGAAATAAGAAAAAACACACAATGTAGGCCGACAAAACAAAAATTGTATCAATCTAAACAAAACAAAAAAATATAAATATATACACACACTACAACCAAAAACAATGAACGTAACACAATCTGTTTGTAAAAAAAAATTCTTACATAATAATTCCTGGGAAATTATTTAAGACAAGTGAAATAGGGGGAAATAATCACTCTCTTAATATAAATATGTATATATCTATACATTTAATTATAAATGTCAAAACAAATAAATAATTACTTAAGAATATAATGAAATTGTTTAACACTATTCGTGTTTACAAAATGTTTTTGTCTATAATCAAAATTTAATATATCGTCATCATAAATGCTAAGGTATTACAGCATAATGAAAGTTTTAAAAATCCGAGTTGGTATAAAACCACGCTTTTCGATATTTTAAAAAATCATTCGGAATAACAGCCCACATTTAACTATATAGATCTATCGGTCTTATAGTTAAGATCATATATTTTAAATACCTACTGCTTCTATGTGTTCTTTAAAGATCATTTTTAACATAGTTATAGGTATGGATTAGATCACTGTATTGATCACACACTTTTTTACTGGTAATTGCAAAATATTATAAAGCAAGGTTGTCGGGTGCCCGCAGGTGCATTAAATTTGGCAGGATCCTGCCTTGGGGCAATAGAACACGAGGGCCGGTGCAGGTTGGCCGCAAAGTTTACGAAGAGGGGGTCAAAACTGACTGCGACTGACCGGCACCTTATATGAGCTATATTACGAAAAAAAAACTTTTACTTGATGACATCCTACATGTCATTGACATCCTTGTTGACATTTTTTCATCCTCCGACACCGAGACAACTTACTTAAAACTTTGCAATCATCTACATCAATCTGTATAACGCCACAGTGATGCTACGCTTGGGTGAGTCGGTTGAAGTTTTTATTGAAGTTTCTGTCTTGTAACACTTTAGTGTCTATTGGATACCATAACTTTTTTTTTTGCTGATATGCCAACAATTACGTCACAAAGGAAAAAAAATTAACAAAAAATAACCCTTCCATGAGTAACTCAAGTAACTGGGAAAAAAAAATTTGATAATAATATTTAGAGGTATACATTAAGAGTCATAGCAATCAGGCATCTGATGGGTTTGAACCCATAGCTTCTGGCTCGACAGCCACTCCCCCATGTCTGCTTGACCACGCATCTTCATGCCAATTTGGGTATTTTTAACATTTAATCTAGCAAAAACTGTCACGACTGTGAATAGCCACAATACGGCTATTCACAGTCGACTGTGAATAGACACTTCGAAAATTTAATGAGTCACCTTTTTTCACATTCTAATCTTGGCTGATTTTATTTATCTAAATTGATAGATTACCTTTTTTTTAATTCCAATTTTTTTTTGTGCACCTTGGACATGATTGATAGTGATGCAGATGATGATAATGCCATATTAATTAGGGTAAAGAAGAGCACTATAAGACACACCTTTTAGCAGCTGTATTGAAAGTTTGTCCCAGGAAGGGTTGCTACGCCTCTGGTACATTTTAAAAGATTTTTTACTAATCCAAGTATTTTCGACTATTGAAATTAATGAATAATTATTCTAACACATCTTACACAATATAAAATTAATTACAAAGTCTATTAAATTTACTTAAAATTGGTTTAGTTTAGCATTTATACTAAATTATACTAGTGACACTATAGTCATACCCCAAAATCGGCACTTGGGGCAAATGTAGCCGGACCATGGTGCATAGGTCTACATAGGGACCTGGATGCTTTCCCCTGATAACCTATATCAAAATAGTGCTATGGGTAATTTACTAGTTGTTTTTTTTTTCAGATTTTAAAGTACACTTGAAAAATATTTTAATTGCTTTCTCACTCATGGCAAAAGTGGAAAAGATAAGCAGGCATGCTAGATGTAAGTAACTTCAATAGTCTATTTTTAAATGTATTATATTTTTTAAAATTTTGACCTGTATAAAATTTAATGAGTTAACCTAAAAAAATCTACTTTTAAAAAAACCTTAACAATTGTTGATCTGTTTTGCAAAACAAAAGCTGGTACTAGTGAGACCATCCTTTGTGGTTCAGCTCTGCAGTTCATCTGCAATGTTGGATGAATATGATCTTCCTTCTCATGTTCTTCTTCGTTCTTAATTTAGTGTTGGAAGGGATCTCCTCCAAAACAATTAAGTATATTTGTCAACTGGTTATGCGCCATAGATGCCATTGACTCCAATTTCAGCCTGCTTTTCTTTTTGGATTTGCTTCCATAGAACCAACCAAGAACAAATTACAAGGCAGCAGTTTGATTTTGGAGTTGTCTCTCCTAGAAGAGTGGCTGTCCCCAGCTAACGAGACCACTCTGCCTGAGGGTTCGAACTCGAGACTTTTTCGGTTTAGCAATCATGAGCTTTACCAACACCACCACACCGACCCCGTTTGAAGGCTTCCTTTTCAAATACTTGCTCAAGTTCATCTTTAATGTTTAGTAAGATAGATACTGCACTCGTTTATAATCTGTGTAATAATACCATCAAAATAAGAGCTAACTAAAATAAATTATATATTATAGGTAAATCAAAAGATCTTAATGATGGGACTGTACAAGTTGAAATAATGGCTGATGGTCTAAAACCTGGCAAAGATCACCATCATCCAAAAAATGGGACAGTGTTCTTTGATTGGCTCAACAGGTTTGATCTTTATTAATAAAGCTGCATATTTACATAAGATCCCCTTATCTGGAAAAAAATATTGGTGGTAAAAAATTTGCATAGCTTATATAATTCTGTCAGATGTTCTAGTCACAGTAAAAAATAAAGCATGAGTGATGTCTCAAATATTCTTAGATAAAACTGATTGGGATGGCAACTCTATTGCAGTTGGGATATAGACATTTTAAAAAAAAATTAAATTTTCAAATACTTACATTTTCAATATAGAAGAAAATCTTGTAGAAATAAAAATTGCGCACCAAATAATCTGTGTATAATAGTGCTGAACATTAGTACTTTATAAAGAGGAATCAAGTTAGACATAAGTTCATATGCATTTGTTTTGTTTTTTCCCACGTTTTCTTTAACTTGCTTTCTCTGTCTTTCCAATCAAATCTTGCGATCGAAATTTCTGGCACTTCCCAGTTAGCTAGCGCGCTGAAATTTTCAGGGAAGCTTTCTTTTTTTCATAGAATATTCAATTGTTATTATTACTAAATTGATCAATGGAAACATTTTATTGAGCATTTTAGACCGCTATATAATCTATATATATAACTCTCCTCTGCGAGCCATTAGAAAAAAAACCAGCGACGCGTAGCTCGCCTCTCTCTTACCGCGCGCAGTAAAGCGAACGATCCCACGTCGCGACAGGCTTAGGGGCAGATAATTTAGTTTGAACCGACTTTAAACTTACAGGAGGTAACTATTACCACTGGTGGCCAGTTTGGGGGAGACGATATGGTCGAGTGGTTGGGCACACGATTGCTATCCCACTCGACACGGGTTCAAATCTATGTGTTCTAGTCAGTAACCAGCCCTCGTCCTAACCGCTATCAACTAACCTCTGACAATCATTCACTTGCGATTGAGACAGAAGAAGAAAGGGTCTCTCGTTTTTTACGAGTTGTCTTTTTACGAGTTGTCTTCGTTTACCCAAAAAAAAAAGTGAAAAGATAAAATCGATAGCAAGATTTCAATGCAAACAAACAGACAAAGACTAAAAAGTAGAAAATAATAATCATTAAAAAAGTTTTAAAAAACCCACGTTTTCTGATTGAACTAAAAAGTAGAAAATAAATACTATACATCACAATAATGCAAGCGATCACTCTACTTAGTCTACTATAAGCGATCAAAAACGTGGGGCGCCGTGATTTTCTTAC